CCCGTCTTTTCGGCCCCCTACTTTTGGTAGGCTAATACTAAAACGTATAACTTTTGAATATTAATAACTAACCTGTCTTAACATAAAAACATAGATAAATCTTATATACATTAAAGGAGTTTTTTTGAATAAATCTTCAGAAATTAGGTTTTGATATAGTTTACTCGATTTTATAGACCTGTGGTGAAAACTAGTATTATTGGTGTAAAAGGGGTGGCGAAAAGTGGGTGCCCAGACTTACCTGCAGAGCCAAACCCACTGCGAGAGCTAGGCGCCGCCGCGGCATGGAGGCACTGCCGACTCGGCCTAGCCAAACGGGCTGGTAACCTGACGCCACCAATGGCGGCACTCTAACGGCTAAGAGACCCGCAAATTCTACATCAGCAGCAGCTACAGGGTCAGCAAGCCCCGTCTTGATGGCACTTGCAGAAGAAGCCAGACAGTATAAGGTCATGTAGTATCGCAAAAACGACACCGCTAATTGCGGGCAGCAATTAACGCCATATACACCCTTGTGACAGGTAGGAACAAACATCGTTCTGACTATCACTCAACCAATCCGTCCAGAGCGTTGTCGCTAGCTCTGACGGCTCCAACAAGTAGGCCACAAAAAAAGCTTCCGCCTGTGTAATTCATTCCTCAAGAGAACGACCAAAAATGAGACAGGCATAGCCGCGGCCCGACTATAGGCAACGTAATGCCGGAGCCCCGCTCGCTGCCCGCAGGCCCCACTCCTGGCCCAGAACCGGCCGCAGGTGCAGGTGCAGCCGAAGGAGGACCTCCGTATCTTTGCCCGTAACCTAGAAGAGAACTTGGCGGCCGCTCGTAAGAACACCTTTCACGCTGCGCCAAACTTTATATGAAGCTTTAGGCCTGGCGATAGCGGATATCCCTGACCTCTACAATGTCGGCATAGGATGTTCCGCCGTGAATAAACAAATGCAGGAAACAGTACTCGTAAGCAAGGAAAAGCTGGCGGAATGCCTAGGTGCCTACCAAGTTGAGACGCCCACCAAGTGGTATACCTATGTTGTGCTTCGGTGCCTAACAAAGCTACGCAGCATTGGTGGGGACGTCCTGAACCTTACCGCGCTCATTGAAGACGAGGTCCTCGCTTAGACAAGACAAAAGCGTGTTGCTCGACCGTCGCGTCTTGGGCCGAACCTGGTCACCAACGAGATCTTTTAGCTCGTATCCTTCACCTCGGAGATCCCGCCCTTCAGGCTCTTCAACCAAAGCGGCAGGTCGCTGCCCATTAAGAAACGAAGGACGCTGGCCCGACACGACCCCGGCCGCCAGGACTACTACTCGAACCGGTTTCGCTGCCGACGGTCGCTCTGCAACAACTGCGGGAGGCCCTACGACTCGCGCGAAAAGGAGCCTTGCACGGCTAGACGCTAATGCGTAAACTGCTGCGGCCCCTTCTAAGCTAGCCACAAAAACTGCTCAGCAAGGCCCTTGACCGTCAATAGCATCGCTTCCCTCCTGGACCGGAAGGAGCGGGCTCGAAACTGGAAGGCCGGCCAGAAGATGTCTGACACCATACACAACTCCTCGAACCGACAACGCTGAGCAGCCGGTAGAAAGGCCTGTAAGCAGCCAGAGCCAACAGGTCGGCGCCAAGCGCGCATGCACGAGAAAACCATCTGCAAGCCTCGTCGTATGCCTCGGCGACGGCAGTACTGATAGCCACAGCAGCAGCGTGGACCAAGACCAGGCAGGTAGCGAATTGGGCTTCCAATCCGACATTCTCGAAGCAGTGTAGCGCCTATAAATGTGGACAATCTACAAAGGAGGCTGATGCAAGTATTTATAGTTATCAATCTCTCTGCGGGTTGGGGGTAAAGACCTGTGCAGCGGCCCGCAATCTTCATCATAAGTTCCACTTCTAGGCATCGATTATCTGCCGACCTCCAGTGGCTTGGATCGCACTCCTCTCGCACTCATTATCACCCCGAGTGATCCAGCGGTCGGTCGTATCCGCTGGCCTCTACTGAAAAATTAAGCAGAGTCGAAAACTATATCTCGGTCTCTGAAGGCCTGAAAGGATTCTGCTCCTGGGAAGAGTGATAGTGACACGATGGATTTTGCCTCCAATCAATCATTAGAAAGCCCTAGCTGCTAAGCCGTGCGTATAAGCTATTGACTTTGGTATCTGAGGCTATGAGGTACATTGTGAAAAAAGGATTATAGGAATCAAATGACGGCCAAAAGGAATTCCATGTTCAACCCACTGTCCCCTTCTCAACCGTCAGATCCAACCGCCCTCAGTAACATTCATCTTCCTTGCCGGACTTCTCGCTGGTCTTCGGGGTGGCTTGGTCGGAATCTCTTGAACATCAGATTCGGCTCTTGGTATCCTTTCCGATCGGCCACCGTATATGGATGGCATAGGAACGTTGATGGCCCCCGCATGATACGGGACCTCCAAGATACTGTCCCTCTTCTTCACGGGCGTCACTGGCCCCCCTATCGCAGCTTCGTGAGCCAGCCGCTTCTTCTTCCTGGACCGGTTCCAGATAAACAATGTCCCGCCCATCAAGATGCCTAGGAAGGCAAGCGCGCCAACAATGCTCCCTGTGATGGCGCCAGGCGAGGCTTCGCCAGCCGCATTGGAGGTTTCCGAAGGGAGGTCTGGTACCAGAAGCCTGGTCTTGGTGGTGACAGAGACCCCAGCTGTGGTAGTATATACCTTGGCCGTACCAGTCGTCTTGGCGTCGTCACTGGTTCTGGGTGATTCATCCTTCGTAGTGACGGTCAAAGTGCCCGCTGGCATTACGGAATCTGATATCAGCGTCCCGACACCGGAAGCAGAGCTGCACTGAAGAAGCGTGTAAGTCGCGGCATCGTCGATCGAGTGCCATGTCCAGCACGCCGTGTGAGGCTGTGGCCCACTATGCGTTGGTTGTTATTGTCAGCGAGATGAGACTCTGGGATTTGCATAAGATCGACTCACCAGCAGAGTTGGCCAGGCTCGCATCTCCTCACGGCTTTGGCGGTCTCCACGCATGTCGTGGGTATGGGGCTCCCGCAGCCCATGTAAGACCCGGAGGAGATGCAGTCAGTCTCGGGGTTGACGCAGGCGTACGGAATGGCGTTTTGCGGGAACCTGGGAGCTTGTTAGCCTGTGCAATTCGTCGTGTCTGCGGGGGAAGACGTTTACATGAGAGTAGTCATCGGGAACGGGATGTAACCGCATGTATTCGCATCTGCCGCGACGGCATGACGAGTTGGTACCGCCATATTCATGAAGAAGGAAGTAGTAAATCGGGTTTACCCTGTAGGGAGGAGAAATGGTGCAAGTCCAAGGATCTCACGACGGTCCATTTTGTAGCTGTAGGCAAATCACTGGAGTGATTCACTATTCAAGATAACCTAGATCAAGAAGGATTTCAATCAATCATACCTATAGTGAATCACACCCAGGTGGGGAATTTGGTGGGAAGCATCAGATGAAAGACCAAGGTGTTAAATCAAGCCTGACCGGCTAAATTGTGAGCAAGAAATATTACCAAGCCTAAGTATGTGCTCGAGACTACCGTCGACTGACAATCAAATCAACCCGATTCGGCGGTCCTAAAGCCTCCAGTCCCACGGGTATACCACAGCCAATATCCATCATTACCAAAAGAAAAACTAAAAACAAAAACATGCCGGAGCTTGATCAGCCTTCGCCTCCTCATCTTGATACAACCACATCAACAAAGAAACAGCTCAGTTTTGCTGCGGCGGCATCTGCATACCCACCTTCTGCGGCTGGTACCCTTGGACGATGGGCCCAGTCGAAAGACGGGCCTGGACCTCCTTGTCCTGCTGGATGAGCGCGCAGCATCCGCACCAGTAGCTCACGCAGCAGTCCGAGCCGCCAGAGCCCTTGATGCCGAAGCGCTCGCGGATTTCGCCGCGCTTCATCATGGCGTAGATCCAGCCGCAGCCGGTGAACCAGGTGATGCCGCACATGAGCAGGCAGTCGGTGTTGATGGCTTCGTACGTCTGCATTGTCGGATCGCGCATGCGCTCCGAGGTCTTGCCGAGGACTGGGGTCCTCTTGTCAGCCTTGATTCTGGGGCACAAAAGGGAGAGGGGGGGGGGGGGGGGGGGGGGGGGCGGTGGGGGGGGGGGGGGGGGCGGGGGGGGGGGGAGGGAGTGGCGGTCTGGGGGGGGTGGGGGTGTTTGGGTGGTTGTGTGGTGGGGGAGAAGGGGGGGGGGGGGGGGGGGGGGGGAAGAAGGGCGGAAACTTACGCAAGCATGGGAGACATGTTCCCACGATGCAGGTATCGCAGGGACCGCAGTCCATCAGGCTCGACTGCCATTCTTGGGTTTGGACGTTGGCGCCTTGGACATATTCCTGCTGCATCGTCTGCTGGTGCTGTGGCTGATGTTGAAGCTGTTGTTGGGGTTGCTGTTGGGGCTGCTGTTGGTCATAGTACTGCTGCTGCTGCTGCTGCTGCTGTGGTTGCATCTGAGGCTGCATCTGGGGCTGCTGGTACTCTGCCTTGCCTTGCTGTGAATAGTCCATGTTGACGGGTTGTGGTGCTACTGATGAAAACTATGTTCAGAGTCGTTCGAAAATAAAATAAACAAGGATACCAGAAACAGGGAAACTTCGAAGAGAGAGTCGGTGCGGGGAGCGAGGGCGAGGGCAACCGTGTTTTGATATACAACGTTTGGCCTACATCTAAGACATGACACGAACAACGCTTCGACAAACGGGCTGATAGCTGAAGGACTTGCTACGGGCTGGACGAATGCAGACGACCGATCACACCTCAAAAGGGGCCGGATGGAGTTTAATTGGAGAGCCCCAGGTAGACACAAGCCACACAAGAACAGCCCCCCAGCTCTCGTAGCTGAAAAAAAAAAACAAGCTTCACCAAAATATTACCTCATTCCCAGTCCACCCGCGCTACTGTAGGCTGGCTACTAGACAACGCCAATAGGCGTTTTTGATGACTTTGAGACAGGGTCGTGCTTCTCGTCGGGGGGAATGGTGGCTTGCTCATGTCAAGCTTTTTCTCCAGTCCTCTGGCCCATTCCTCTGCAGGCCCAAGCTGCTCATAGCCTTGGGACCCTTTTGAACGGAGAGATGAACATCCCCACAACCCAGTCACTCGCCTGTCGGTTGCCTGAATCCAGTGCGTCCGAGCCAGATAAGACACTCCTTGAACCGAGCAGCGCCGGCGTAAGAAGAACATGTCAGACGATGATCCGACAATCCATTACTCACTCGCCATGCCTCCGTCCTCCCTCCCCCTCTGTGGCTTGCTGGTCGAAGCGGTGATTGGAGATATGGCTAAAGGAGGCAGCAGCCGGCTCATGCACCGCGGCGGGGACGCTAGACCCGACGATGTCGGATGGCGTCCTAGGGCTGAGCTTGGCGGCCAAGGGGGCAAGTTTCGCGAGGCAGATTGAGAGCTGCGTTGAGCATTTGATTTCATGTAAGGGGCACCTAGTCAATACACCTAATGTCCTTTAATGAGTTGAGAGCTCCGGGCCATTGGCACGTGGTGATGGTAGATGTGACTTGTGGTTGAAAAGCCTCACTTCCTCCCTCCCAAGTTGAGAAGAATTGCCTGCCGCAAGTTGCCCAGTCCGCCGAGTCTCCAATGAACGGGCTCTGGACGATCAGAAGACGGGCCCGACAGTGATCGTCATGACTAAACTTAGTCGGACAATCCTTTTAGTTATTCTCGCCCGTGGAAATCGATATGAGTCGTACGTACCAGGGGCGTTAGTTGTTCAAAGCTCAGCTCAGTTCAGCTCACTGCCACTCAAAATCCAATAGCTGCAACGAAAAAGTGGAAACATTACCCCCCAATTTTAGGCTGGGATTTTGAGGCTGTCCCTGCAAGGTCCCCTTTTTCACACCCCTTGCAACTTGCAACCTCTCACCCTTGTCATCCCATCTTACACTACCATCGCAACGTGTCTCTCATGTTCCAATCCATCAGTAACGTCCCAAGCGAAGAGGGGGAAAACCTAGATGTGATTCCGTCGGCTTGGCTTGAGCCTAATGGGCACCCGCGTGCCTTGCCTCTGAGCCTCACTTGCTTCGCCGTCAGATCATATATGTCCATCAGTGCGGCTATCGCAGCAATCGATCGATCGAAAGAATTAAATACCAAGCAGTTCTCAAAGGTACACCACACCGGATGAGATTGAAAGTTGGCCTGGTTATGGGGGTATATTTTCTTGTAGGCCCTGTTCCTTAAATTCATCAATCGATATGCTTCACCCGCCTGTGGTATTTTGCAGCGTGAACCACCTGGGCAGGGCTCGAAGATCATGAGGCCTGATTCCGAGGTGCGCTGTGGACAGTCATCAGGTATATTGGGTTTTGAACATGCGCATCACGCTTCACCGTTCACCGCGCCCTCCTTTATTCAGACCGCTCCCCTCTTCCCGCCTGACTCTTATCGCGAACCCTCTTGCTCATGATGACATAATCCGGCACGAACACCTTTCCGAAGCGCAACTTCCTCTCCACAGGCGAAAGCGCATCAATCTCGAAGCCAAGCTTCTCGTAGAAGGCGCGCGCCTCGGCGTTGGCGATGAAGCAGGTCAGCATCACTTTTTCGATAATGGGAATGCTCTCTGCCACTTTCACGAGGTAATCCATGAGTGTGCGGCCCACGCCCGCGCTGTATCGCAGTCAGTCTTCTCAATGTCCAGAATCCTCCATCCCCCGTGGGCAGGAGGCGCACTGAAGCGAGCAAACCCCCGGCATCCGGACCCAGGCGCCCGGCTCCTCATTCAGACTCATCCTCTGAGCGGAAACAGACATGAGAAAAATGCCAATACTCACCCTCGTAATTCTTCCAGGAGGTGTATCTCATAGCAGTAGACCACAGCCTCACCCTCTTCAAAAGTAGGCATCAAGCTTGTGAATCCACAAATCTTGCCCTCCGCGCCCGAACCACCCTCTCCACTCTCACCGTCAGCAGCAGCGGCGACTTCGGGCGCCGATACATCGGCCTTTTGCATGAGTATGTACCGCAGTCCGGGGCTCTTCATCTCTTTCATCTTATGACTCGGCCGCCATCCATCTTTCGAAGCGCGGTAGTCGGCTCCGCTGGTGTGGTCGATGAGGTCAAAGCACGCTTGTAACTCATCCTGCGAGAGCTGCGAAGGGGACTTGAGTGAGAGGGTATAAGATGTGCCGCTTTTAGGATGCGTCCAGCTCGTCCACTCGGGGCTGGCGTCATAATGTGAGAAATGAGCACGCTCGAGGTCTTCGGCGCTGTCGCAAGGTAGGTCAATGCCGGGAGAGAGACGAACCTGGGCTGGAGATGGTCTCTGATGAAATCAGCGTCGGATTTGCGGTTTGCTGCCTCGATGGGGTTGGTTGGCGCCCTGCGACGCTTGCGGGGAGGCATTGTCGCTCAGGGATGAGAAGAGATGTGAGTCGTGTATCTCGCCGAGAAAGAGGAATGACAAGAAGAGACCAACGAGACTCAGGACCAAATTAAAGCTGTGTAGCTGTAGAGGCTACCAACTCGGTGTGGCGAGAGTAGTCTATTGAGCTCTCTCACCGAACTAAAGTTACCATCACGAGCCACACAGCACCGTTAAGGTAGGCCCTGGCCACCTCAGTTGCGGGACCTGGACCTCGCTGGGCCATACAAGTCCCGAAGTTTCCCCGTCCTGACCTCATCCACTCCCAAAAAGTTTCCACACCACTCCCGCCCGGGGCGCCCAATTGGCTTTGGAAGCATGAAAGCGCAGGACTTCTATTTGATATAGGTAGGTACCTCCAAAGTCCAATTGAGACGAAACGCGAACATCTCATACCAACTTGCAGATGTAATCGAACCCTACCTTAACCGGCCCTAATGCCCCTTAAAACCCCCCTGTGGTCCGTCGTCCGCAGCTACTCCAGTGGCCCGGTCAGGTCGCGGCTGGGGAAGAAGGCCTTGAGCCTTGATCATGTAAGAAAGCTATCCTACCCTTCAACAAATCATTTCTTTCAACTTTTCAAGTGAGAATGGCAGTCGAGCGTCCAGAGAAATGATGTTGTGAAGTTTTCCATGTACATACTCACATCCCGCGCAGTTCCTCCAGAGGTCCCGCGTCCTATCCCTCTACCGCGAAATCATCCGCGGCACACGGCGCATCGCGGACCCCAACACCCGCGCCGAGTCCCGGCGTTACGCGCGGGATGAGTTTGAGCGCCACCGAGATGTGACGGATCTCGTACGCCCCCCAGTTTCCTCGCCCCAGCCCATTTCATCTCTCATCAAGGAAGACTGACAAACGTTATGCGGCAGGGACACATCCGCTATCTCACCTCGACGGGCAAGACGGAGTGGCAGAGCATGGAGCGGTACGTTGACGGAATGTAAAGAGTCTCATCATTGTAAACCAAAAAGAATCTTTGTATAATACACACCACGAAAAGGCCTAATCCTCGCTGGCTCTGCTTCTACAGCTGCAAGGTGCCCGTGGTGAAGGGGATCTTTCTTTCTAAACTCCCGCGGAGCCTGTCCAAGTGACGTTTGATGGCTCCTAATGTCGTCTCTCAACTTGTCTACAGCAACGACATCCTCGCATGCCGCCTCCGACTCCTTCCAGTCCAGTTTTGCGCATACTCCCCTCCTCTCTGTATGGTACAAGGTTTTCATACACACGACTTTGTTGATATATCCTCTCTACCCCAGACCGGGAGACCAATCTCTCAAGACTGGCGTTGCTTGTGTCTGGGATTCGCCTTGCAGATGACGTACAGGTACCCGTTGTGTCTCTTGCCCGCCTTGCGTCTGACAATCTGTCGCGCAAAAATAGTCAGCAAAGCCCAAAGCATAGTCACCATCACACTTCCGGTCCCTCCATCCTCATCCATCCGAGGAGCTTCCCACCACCCCGCCTCCCCCGAATCAGCCCCGGCACCAAATTCCCCTCTCCCCATAGAGCGGAAAAAGTAAAGCTCACCTTGCAGTGCTCACACCTCTTCTTTACGGAGCTGTGCACCTTCATTCCCCTCGTCTGCTGCACCACAGCATTGGCCACGCCCGATGCCTTTTGTCCAAACTGCGCGAGCATGGACTCGGTCTTTTGCGCCGGCTGCTTCGTCAAGATCGCCGTCGAGAGGGCGCGCGTCGCCGTAGTGCTAGCGGTAGCGGCGCGGGGGATCGTCGCGCGGGCGGTGCTGAGGGTCAAGGCCCGGAGAGAGGCGGCGAGGGAAGAAGCCATTTTTGTATGTCTTTCGACTTTTTCTATTCGGTGTCGTCGGGAGATTCGCGGGAAGACGGTCGGACGGAGCGGGACTCGGAGCTTTGGAAACCGAGGTGTTGGAACCTTGGGCAATTCGGATGCGTGGGACTTGTCGAATGAGAGCTGTCCGGAGCTGCGCGAGCCGTATTTCGTGGTGTGGCGTGGAGCTTCGCGATGTCGACTGCTATGGTGGTGAAAGGGCCTGGATGGCTCCCGTTGGAGCATTTTCGACGGCTTGGCATTCATCACGTGCTACAAATGTCTGTGCGCTTATCAGACCTGTGGCTCTTATCGCTTCACTGCGGTATCGGACGAAAAGGGACCGAAGGTGGGATGATTTATGTATCTACAATACCTTGCTGAATCACATTTGAGAATATTGCATGTTCATGTAAATGACTTTTAATCCAAGGTGAATGGTCTATCTACAGAAAGTTGCTACTCGAGAGACTTTTTTCTTTCCAAAGCTTCACCAGAATGCGTGAAATTTACCCCAGGTCCCGTTTTCTGTCATCCAATTGCTTGCAAAACTCCCAGCGCCGTACGAAAATCAACCAGGTATATGGAGTCTCTGAATTTTCCTTTTCTTTAACTGCGGAGGAAAGTCTTGAAGACGGCCGATTGTGTGCAGTCCTCCCACGGATACCCAATCTCGGTCAAGAACTTCTCCAGCTGGTCAACCTCGTTGTCGGGGCAGAGGATACCCGCCAGGATCTTGCCCGTGTCGCCGCCGTAGTTACGGTAGTTGAACAGACTAATGTTGAACTTGGGACGCAGGGTCATGAGAAATTTCTCCAGAGCGCCGGGCCGCTCGGGGAAGTTGAACATGTAGAGGCGCTCGTTGGGTACATTGGAGCGGCCGCCGACGAGGTATCGGATATGGCTCTTGGCGAGCTCGTCGCCCGAGAGATCCATCACCGACATGTCGTGCGACCTGATGCGATCAAGGAGCATCTGCAGCTCCTGTGTCCTCTGCGACGCCGGAGCCGTCAGTGAGATACCGATGAGGACGTTGGCGACTTCGTCCGTGGCGTAGCGGTAGGAGAACTCCGTGACGGAGTGGGGCATGATGCTGGTGATGAGGTTGGAGAAGGCACCTGGCTTCTCGGGAATGCTGACCGCCAGCAGGGCCTCCTTGCCCTCGCCGAGGGTGGCGCGCTCCGCAACGAAGCGCAGCCGGTCAAAGTTCATGTTGGCGCCCGAGGTGACGGCAACCATGGTCTTGCGGCGGTCGCTCGGGTTCTGAGCGACATACTTCTTGAGACCGGCGATGGAGAGTGCACCGGCGGGCTCGAGACCGGCGCGGGTGTCGTCGTACATATCCTTGATGGCCGCGCAGACCTCGTCGGTGGTGACCTGGATGACCTCGTCCACGACGTCCTTGCAGAGGCGGAACGTCTCCTCGCCCACGGTCTTGACAGCAGCACCGTCCGCGAAGAGACCGACGCTGTCCAGCACCACACGCTCTCCCTTGGCCAGGGACTGGACCAGCGCATTGGCGTCGTAGGTCTCGACACCAATGATCTTGACATGAGGCGCCATGCGCTTCACATAGACGCCAATGCCAGAAATGAGACCACCACCTCCGACACAGCAGAAGATGGCATCGAGCTTGGACATGTTGATCTGGCCAAACAGCTCCATACCAATAGTTCCCTGGCCCGCAATGACGTACGGGTCGTCAAACGGCGGGATGTTGATCAGGCCGTCCTGCACCGCCCTCCGGCCGCACTCCTCCTTGGCCGCATCGAAATCGGCGCCGTGCAGGACGACGTGTCCGCCCAGGCGCGCGACATTGAGGTGCTTGATACTGGGGGTGCCTTCGGGCATGATAATGGTTGCGGGGATCTTGAGCTTGCGGGCCGAGTAGGCGACGCCCTGTGCATGGTTGCCGGCCGAGCAGCAGACGACGCCCTTCCAGCTCACGGCGGGGTCGAGGTGGGCCATCTTGTTGTAGGCACCGCGCAGCTTGAAGCTGAAGACGGGCTGCTGGTCCTCGCGCTTGAGTAGAACATCGCACTCGAGTCGGTTGCTGAGGTTGACGGCGGGCTGGAGCGGTGTGACCTTGCAGGCCTCGTAGACGCGGGATGTTGCGGCGGCGATCATTCGGAGGTACTAGAAGCGCACATAATTTAGGGACGGTCCAATTGAGCCATTGGGATTGACAATGGGGAAAATTCTTACGTCTGGGTGGCCATCTGGAAGCAGAAAGTCTTCGGGGACAACGCCCTTGATACGGCTCCGTCTCTCTTCCGGCGGCGTGGACGGGTTGGCGCTGTACTCGGTCAAGGACATGCCGGCCGGCTGCGGTGTTCTTGGGCGCGGCGGGTGGTCGCCATTGACTCCATTGAGCGTTCCGTTGGTCAAGACGGCAACGACTGGGGGTTCTGTGTTCTCTGACATTGTCGTTAAATCTCGCGGGAGAGTTGGTGAGAGAAGAAGAGGAGGAGGAGGAGGAGGAATTGAACCAGGCGAGTCACTGGCCCAGAACAGAGGTAGAATCGTCGAAGAAGAGTCACGAACGGGGACTTACTCAATGGACCGGACCAGCCTGAATTAAACTGGAAATTTGTTCATAGTGGGGCAGATATCGGAGCACAAGTCGGGCTCGCGGGGTAGATATCAGACGGTTTTCTTGCGGTGTGTTGGCCAACGCTGCCCTGTCAGCAGCTTCTATGGCGCTGGGGATTGGCTATGGCACCCATGTACCTGCTGTAGCGTCAGCAAGGGCATCGCGCTCCCCTGCCGTCACTCTGGGAGTTGAGGGCGACATCGCTGACACTGCAGACCGGGATGTCTTATCGGTCACTGGCCTGTGCGTATCAGATAAACAGCCGATAAGGTGAGGTACCTAAGTCAACCTGTAGAATTCGAGTTGCGCTGAAAGTGGCTGGAGCGAGCAAGTATAGCCACATGGCGCTGGCCGGGATTTGCCGCAAATCTGCTCAAGGGTCGAGCTCTGGGCGCCTGCAGCAATCCCCGAAAGTTGGGAGGGTCTCGGAGTCCATTTCATCATCGAATTCGCCGACGACTTTGGGAATAATCGCACGACTGCTGAATCCCATCCACACGTGCGACTCAGCCACGACAACACCCATTGCGAACCACCAAAATGCCCGGCCCAGACGGAAAACCCTCACTGCTCGACCGGCCCATGCCGTCGTCTTTTGACGAGAACAAGTAAGCTGCCCTCGGGCTCTGCGGGAGCTGCATCACAAAGTCCAGAATTTGCAGGTTGCTTACCAGCCCACGCGACCCGCAGCGAATTCTATGATGAGCGCGTTCTTCACAAGGTCTTTCGCAAGCTCAAGGAGGAGCCCTTGGTCCCCCTCGGTAGGCAATTCTACTCCCGCGGGACCTCTCGGGGACCTTTTGCATCAACCATTCTGATCACTGTGCAACGCAGGCTGTGGTCTGACCGTCTTCGCCTTCGTCAACGCCTGGCGCGCCATCCGCCGCGGCGACGCCAACCAAGCCAACAAGATGTTCCGCGCCCGTGTCGCCGCCCAGGGCTTCACCGTATTCGCCATGGTCGCCGGCAGCATGTACTACAACAAGGACCGCGAACGCACCGCCGAGCTGCGCAAGATCAAGGAGGCCAAGGACGCCGAGGAGCAGCGCCAGAGGTGGATCCGCGAGCTTGAGGCCCGCGACGAGGAAGAGAAGGCGCTCAAGGCCAGGATGCAGGAGAGGAGGGCCAAGTTCGAGGCCAAGAACGCCGGTACCGCTGCGGGCGATGCGTCGGCCGAGGGCGAGCAGGTCAGGTCCGGGGGCGTGCTTGGCGCACTGGGGTTGTCGGCGTGGAAGAAGCCGGAAGAGGGGGACGCTGCTGCTGAGACGCCGGCGGAAGAGAAGCCACAGAAGAAGGAGAATCCCAAGAGCTCGCTCGGTGCCATTGGCGAGATTTATGGCAGAAAGCCGTCGTCATCCGATGGCTCGTCGGAGGAGCCAAAGAAATAAGGTTGATTGGGGTAGATTGACACTCTGATGTGGATTACATTAGGGCTACATTGTACAGTACTGGCATTGGCATCGACATCTAGGACGGGCACATTGTCTCATTGAAGACTCCGCTTCGTCGTACATAAAATCAGGGGGCAGCTGGCGGCGCATCTGGGTTGAATGGAATAATTATCTGATATTTTGACAGAGGCAAGAGAAGGGACCACTCGATGGGAACTTGAGCTGCCATTTGGGCCTTGGCAGACCACCAGTCATGCAGCCATGATACGGACCATGCGATTCGGGGATTTCGTATCGGCTGGTTAGTCATCCCGGAGCAACCTAAGCTTTCTAATGTAGTTGAGCTTCACGAGCCCCACGATGGCCTCTGCACCCGCCGACGTCAGTAACCGGGCGGGCCACCATGCAGGAGTAATGTAGCCCGTTTGGCTTCGGTCGGCCGGAATGCGCGATCACACAACGAACGGCCTCTCTGTCTACAGTCTGGCTGTCTGGCTGTCTGGCTGTATTTTGGTTAGGTAACGCAATGCATGGCTCTGAGTTGATGTGGACGATGCAAGAATGTGGAAATGTCTAGACCAAATATGACCATTGCATCAAGAGGCAAACTCTAATAGACCGCTTTTGTGATCCTGAATATTAAGCAACTCCGATAATCTTCATTAGATCTAGACGATCTACAGCGTACTTGGCAACATGGTGATGCCCACCATGTCGAGTCAAGGCTCGGTCAATCTCATCACCTACCTTATTTAAGATAGACTGACTTTTCTGTCTTGAATAAAAGAAAAGGCACTCTGCTGTTAGCAATATCACCTTTTACATAAACCTGCAACCCGTTCAGCAGAGACACGGCACATCAGCTCCACTGGCAACTGAGTGGCCACCAAAAGGGCCAAAGTTCCGCAGCACACCGCTGACACCACCTCTTTAAATGATGAAGAACATCGCCATCTTCGTAGCCGCACTGAAATCGCTATTCTGGACTATGCAAGGATGCGCCGAATACAGGTCTTGCCACTGCTACGACGCCAACGGCAAGCCCAACGACGTGGCAACCGCCATTATATGCGCTGGCAACCTGGAGTCGAGAACGGACTTAGAAATCGTGTTTCGAGAGTGGTATTACTAGGAAACCAACTTCATCTCTTATAAGTCGTTGAATAACAGCAATATCTGGTGTCGTCCAAAGGAAAAGCCGCTGAAGCTTAGGACGGTTGAATGGTTGTACCCTCATCCTTGAGCAATGCTCTACCTTCGCTGTAGCTTACGGACTCGATTTCTGCAAGCTCGCTTCCTCCTTAATGTACTTGCTCTCTTTTTCCTCCCCTCTGGCTAATCGATTACTACTTACTACCGTGTGGTAAGGCATGTTCAGCAAGTGTAAGTCAATCGTGGCATTGCCTGACTAATACTCGCATGGAGGGGTAGGAAGCTCAGGCCAGTGACGGTGACGTTAGCGGGGTCCCGCTGGGAAAAGACCCGCCCTCTACTGCCCGTCTGACACGGTGACACGCTGAAAGTCTGGGCGCTGAGCCGTGCCATGGCGTTTGTCGCTTTGTCTCCTGATGCACCCCAGAGACTTGGGCTTCCGTCATCAACCTCTCCCACGGTCGTCCTCCTTCTCCCTTCCTCCTCTGTCTAGACATGGCCATGGCCGGTGATGATTGCGCCATCGCCCATTGCACAACTCCACGACCCTATTTCGATGCCGCTTGACCCCACACACAAAGTTCACCATGGGACAGGCCCTGTCTGACGAGAACTCGCGGCAGGCGACGCACGAGGAGCTCACCCGTGAACTCGTAAGTAGCCGGTTGCACACCACACGCTTCTACCTTGCACCTTGACTACCTCCAGACCTGGACTGTGCTTCATGCTTACCATCAAGACCACCAGGCCAGTCGCTTCGCAGACAAGTGCTTCACCTCGCTCGAGCTGTACTCGTTTAAAGACGTCTTCAAAAGCCTGGCCGACAACCAAGATGACATCCGTTACCTGAAGGAAGACACTCTTGCCCGGTTCCTCGAGATCCCCGATATCCTCCACGTCTCGCCCGTCATATTCCAGATGGTTTCCTACATCGGCGCCTTCCCCTTTCTTCAAGATGCTCCAGTTGTCCTCGGTATCGATCAGATGATCATGGTGGTTGTCATCATGACGCAGAGACATAAGCGGGTTTTGGCCAAGGGAGCTACGGATAGAGCCAAGCTCATCTTCAAGAGCCTGGCAGTCCACGACCGCATGGCGTCTGAGGCGGCAGCCGCTGCCGAAGACTCGAAAGCGAAAGAAGCGCCAGCAAGCCAACCGCAGCCCGCAAGCCACGTCGCTGGCTTCGCAGTTGATGAGCCTGTGGACGACCCCGAGGAAGATGACGACGATCTCGAGATCGCCGCCTTTGAACTCCTCGATATTCACGATGCTGTCTGGCAGGGCGACGCGCCAAAGATGCACGGCGCCATGATACCCGCCGACAACTTCCGCAAGCTGCTGATGCTGCTGATCCTGACCGCACCGCTTAGCCCGCAGGATAGTCTGTCCATGTACTCCACTCGGGTCACGGGCGACGAACTAGATAGCCTGCGTGCTACCGCCGAGAACATCCTAGCTGCGTTCTTGAACGTTGAAAAAGCTCCCGGTATCAAGTTCGGCCACTTCAACCGTGTGCTCCCCGTGTGCTTCCCGAACCTCTTCACTGGGTTCAGCCCTCTGTTTGAGCACTTTCTCTTCTCCAAAAACTTGGATTTCACAAAACATAAAGGTGAAGACCCTGTGGCTGCCGAAAAGCAGCCAGAGGAGGTTGTGCAACCTTTGCTGCAAGACACTGCGGATATCCTCAACCTCAACGTCCTCTCACAACTATCCTTCTTCCTCCCAGGATCAGACTTGTTTAGGCGATTGAGACTTCTCTATTCCGGCAACGAAGACGGCTTTTCTATCGGAAGCTTTGAGAGCAAAGTTTTTAATTGGAGAGCACCCACCATTCTTCTAGTACGCGGCACTCGCCTAAATGACGAGCCACATGGCAGCCAGGAGTCGACTTTTGCCGCCTCGATCCCCCCGCGCCGCTTCCCGAACAGCGGCAAGGGAGACCGCCTGACGTTTGGTGTGTACGTCAGTCAACCATGGAAACACACTGCCAAGGAATGCTTTGGCGAGCAGGATACCGTGCTTTTCCAGCTGGAGCCCGTCCACGACGTATTCCCCGCTTCCAAGTACAACTCAGACTACGTCGCCTTCACCAAGCCGCCTACGAATCGGCCTATGCTCGGCGTCGGATGTCCTCATCCCCGACAGACGCAAGCTCACCGGAGGCAGACCATGTTATCTCTCGGAGCTGTCTCCTTGCTCCTCGACGACTCCTTTGAGTACGGTGTCTTCACCCATGACTGGACCACTGGTGGCGGAGCATTCCAAACGAGCACGACGCGCAAATTCAACTTTCAAGACCGATTCGAGATTGAGAGCCTGGAAGTCTGGGGTTGCGGTGGAGACGAAGAAGCCAAGGTGCAGGCGGAGCACTGGGCCTGGGAGCACCGTGAGGCGGAGGCCCGGCGGAAGATTAACCTGGGTAGCGGCGACATTGAGGCTGATCGTGCGCTACTTGAAATGGCCGGACTTGTGGGCAACAACCAGAGTGGTGGCTCAATGGCTTAAGCTGTTGAAGCCATCTCATCTTACGGTCTAGGAGCATTGATATCACAAAAACGCAAGCATTCTGGTTTATATGGCGTTCTACCGTGTATTGAATTTACTCGGCAAGGGATTCCCACAGAATATGATAGCAATGATGACGTTGCATGAGTACTTGACGGTCAGCTCCTTGTTGCCGGACACTCCAGTCTTGAACCTGACAGTACGCGTTCAACTTTTATATGAGCTATTAAGACTAGACTGTGACAGAGCTCTGATTTGTCACAAACTTTCGGCGTTTCCCCCGTTCTCCAATAGATGATGGTCGTGTCAAATCGTGTAAACATTCGACCAATTCCAAAACCTGTCCCGACCTTGAGCTTAGTCATCCGCCAACGCATACCTGCCTCTCGAGATTTTCCCTTGGACTACACATTAACAATTGAGAAGCCTCGGAAGACGAATGATGACGAGTCCGTCTCTCATTTGACCTCATAGGCCTCGACGGCTACTTCAAAAGCGCGGCGGATACCCTGGCCCGGCGCAATGTCGTAATCGAGAAAGACCTGAATGGACGGGTCCTGAAACTTGTCGCGTAAGGCAACGGCAGAAGCCTATCATTATTAGATGTATGGTTCGCATGTCGATACCGTGAATTCTCAATTAATTTCACAGCAACAACGAAGGTTGGGGTGGAAGAGGGGGTTCAGCTGAGCAGTCATGGGAAGAAAGAGGAGGAAAAAAAAATCCTCACCAATGTGGTTTGCTCGAGCTGCCTCAAGACATTGTGGATGCGGTGGTTCGCGTAGGACTGATACTTTGATACCGGGGCCTTTGCGGTGATGAGGCGGAGGAGCTTCTTCAGCGAGGGGTGCTCGCGGCGCCAGGGGATGTGCGGCCATGAGGCGCCTCTGTGTCCGGGTCGGTTGATGGGGGGCAGGTCGGTGGGTTGGGGTGGTTGAATGGTGATGGTGGCGGTGGTGACCGGGTCGACGAGGTCCCGGGGGAGGAGACTCGGCGACGGTCCGGTTGTGTTTTGGGGAAGGGCCGGCGCCCCGGTGGGGACGCGGGTGATTTGCGTCTCGCGGCCAGAGTACTGCGTGTTTTGTTGTTAGTTTTGGTTATGGGGGAAGGGTTATGGTAGGAGATGAAGGTGGGTGGGAAGTGCAGAGTCTGGAGGATCCGAGGGGGAAAGGGTGGCCCACATCATAGTAGCATGAGAGGATCTCAAATTCTTCCTCTGGGGTGAAGGCGGTGGTATTGATTAGGGCGCGTTCAATCTTCCAGAGGATCCATTCGATGTGACGGAGGCCGTCTAGGACAAACTGGAGCGTGATGATTAGTAGATTCTTTCAATTTTGGTTTTTCACCCAAGGACATGGCATTGTTTATAGACTAGAGGGAAGGGGAAGGGACTAGTCGAAATCACAGCACATGGTGGGGAAGGGGGAGAAGAACATACAATGTAAGGCCCCTTGTTGTAGATGAGCCACGGGACATATTCATACTGCCACTGGTACACGGGCCGCTGCAAGTTGCCCGTCTTCCACGCGATGCCCTTGTAATATTCACAGAGCTGGTCCTTGGTGATGCCCAGGTGGAAGTCATTGGGCTCCCGACGCGGAGGGTCGTCAGCAGCAGCAGCGGACGAAGCGTCGACGTTCTTGGCAATGGCGTTGACGGCCGCGGCCCTTGCCTCGCTCAGGCTCTCCTGTTCTGCGGAGGAGGAGGCGAGGCCGCCGAGTGCGTCCGAGGCCTCGAGCTCGATGGCGGCCCAGGCGACTTGGCCCGCGGCCGCAAGCGCGTACTCTTCGGCCTCGGAGGGCTCGGTCGCGCCGACGGGGAGGAGCTGGGCCGGGTCGGAGCCGCGGACGGGCCCGGCGACAAAGTTTTGGAGGGGTTCGCGGATGGCGGCGTCGAGAACCGAGTCTGGGACTACAATGGGGTTGGCTGTGTTGGGGTTCGCGGATTCTGGGATTGTGGCGGCGCCGGCGAGGGACAGCAGAGCTGCTGGGAGGAGGAGATGGGACTTCATCTTGAAGAAGGTGGGGGGAGATGGATGGGTAAACGAGCGTGAGGATGAGGATAGGGTGGCAGAGAGAAGGAAGACTGAGATGGTGAGAGGGCTGTTTGTTATATAGATTATCGAGGTATCCATGTTCGATGAGAGGTGCCCGGTATCTACATGCTCCTCCATGTTGAGAATCGAGATGGCGTGTTCGGGCTTGATACCCGGTTGTTCACCCACCTGGAGGGACAGTTTGCAGAGGAAACCGATGATGGAACTTTATTCGTAAGATGGCGTTTCTCGCCGGGTGGCCTGCTCCAATGCGGCTATCAGCATTCCGGGGGGGGGGGAGAGGGGGGACAGAGAAACAGATTGTATTTTGCCGTGTGTTTTAGTCCAAATGTCGAGCATGTGTTCACCAAGATCCAAAAAAAACGCGATCCGATAACGCCTCCCCTAAGCCATTGAACACCTGCCGTTGCAGTGAGTTTCGATATTTCCTGTCGTCGCTAACCTAACGTTCTCTTTGTGCAGGGGCTATATTTCTAATCAGGGGGCTTACCACTTTTCCTGTGTCAATGAACGAGAGATAGATCTTCCACGGCACCAAATCGTCAAGGTGCTACGAGTAAGATGCACTCTTCTCACAAGTGATGATGACTTCCATGTGGGCTTCTAGCCACGGTAGCCGTTTTTGTACTTGAAACACAAAAGCTAGTCATACCAATACATGAGATCTCTTGACCAAAATGATGGAATTTTGTGGAATCTGGAAACATTTGGACATCAATAGGATTTGCTCGACTTTCGATATCTCGTGCTCCAAGAGTCTCAACGGAACCACTGTTTTTGGTCGCCCTGGCTTGATTGGCTTGATTCTGGAACCCTGGAAGCGGATTTGTATTAGCCAATTTTTCTTAGAGCTGCTGCATTTACTAAAAGCCTGTCAGGTTTCGTACTCAATCCGTGACAAGATTTATTCCAACAATTAGATGTTAACGGGTGAAACAATCGGGGATGAGGATAAATGCTTTCCATAGTGAGAAAATAGGCCCTTCAGGTACACGAATATCAATGTTGCATGATGCGGACATTGAGGGAAGTTCATTTCCTGTTTTGATCGACATTTTAAGGCTTTGTAGCATCCCCCGTATCGCGAATGGGCGGCTGGCTAGTGTTGAAGAGACCTTTTGCAGCCAGACCTCAAAATTGAAAAATCAGTGGCCCATTATCGATCTGGTCAACTGGCGGTGCTTCCTACTCCAGTATGACGGTTCTCCCCTCACATCCAAAATATAGGAGGATTAAGACCTAGGGAAGCTTCAACACCTCTGAGATGTACCATTTCAGAGAGGATCTTGGAAGTCTATCTTGAGCTCATCTCCGAGCGGGTGTATGGCATACGCGGCTTATCAACTATCAGAGGCGTGTTAGAATCCCCTCAGTCGCAATTACAAAGAGAGATTGTATCCTGGGGACGAGATCATGAGCAGATTTTGGCTAGAGAGCTGAATCACTCAAAAGCACTATTTCCATCCCACAAGATGCTGTCCCCAAAGGATGTAATATTACTGCCCTCGAAACGGAATCATCCAATACCATACCACTCGGCTGGGAACGCATGACCGTAGCCCGGCCCCTTTTTTTCGTTTCCGTTCTTTCTTCTTCTTCTTTGGACCATGTTTGTCCAATGGTCAACCATTGTTAAAGTCGACTTATTTCCGGGAAATATTACAACAGTCGTCAAGAAAAGTAGCAATACAGGCTCTGCACCATGTTGCTGTTCGGGTACACACTTTGTCAGTCTCCTGGGCAAAGTTTCTCCACCAGCAAGACCTTGAAAGCCTTGTCAAAACCCCCCAGCCTCGCTTCTCAGCCTTTTCTTCTAGTCAAAGCCCCCCCCCTCCCCGGTGGACAAAAATTTGATTGCACTCCTCGTTCTTATAAGATTCAACAGGCAGGCAGTATGTAGCATATTCCATGACTGCAGAAAGTGGACAGGCACGAGTGGTGATGGAGCCAGCTCTTATCCTATCTCCTGTCTTTTATTGCATCTTTCTTCTCAATTTTGTTAAAACAAAAAGAAGAAGAAAAGAGACATTGCGCAGAAACGGAAAAAAGCAAAGGGGAAGAAAAAAATCAACAGCCCGGGCTGGTATCGAACCTATGGCCCAGGTACCCTGATGGACCGCGGGAGCTTCACCGCGGTCCTCAGGGCATCACTGTACACCGTTCGGCCAGTTGACCACTTGGGCTGTTGGAAGAATTAGTAGAATTGATTCCATATGAGGGATTGGCTAGGAAGGGAAGAGGTTAATGAGGGAAGGAGCTCAAGGAGGGAGGGAGGGAAGGAAGGAAGGAAGGAAGGAAGAGACCGAGAACAGGAAGAGGGCAGCAAATGCAGGTACCTAAGGGAAGGCGCACCCTCACTCCCAAAGAGGAACAACAGGAGAAGTTACAAGAGAATGATAGCGTGTGCGAGCCATATTAGATAATTTCTTTCTCTTTTTTACCTGTTGTCTTGTCAGATTTGGTTTGCTTCTGGTCTGCGTAACGACATCACTGGTACTAGGTACTTGATCTACCTGTATTATCGACGACTGCTGGCAGTTCCACTGCTCACGCGACAAAAGTTGAAATGGTAAGATGACCTTTGATCGTATGACTCTCAACGCGTCGGAGCGGGCCGCCTCCCTTGGCCCAAGCTTGAATGATATCACATCTGTCACCGGACAAGCTGTCGTTGCCATCCCACTCTCGGATCCATGATACCTCCTTTTCGGCGAACACTTTACATATTTCACAAAGTCCCCGAGAACCACAAGCGGATCAGAAACCTCCGCGAGGGCCATCAAATCTATACAGCTAAACCATGTCCGCGCTCCCTCAATTCCTTTAAACCTTGGTCATACGACGTCGAGGCGAGATCCTCAACCCCGAATAAACGAATATCAAGATGATGAGCAGGATGAATACTTGTAATATTGTATTCTTTGGATTTCTTTCGGGCCCAGTCAGCAGCCACGAGGCATGCAAATGCATACATACAAAATCTGCCTCTCCTCTCTTTTCCACAGCTCCATCAAAGGGGGGGTTTGGAAGGGGGTAATACATGAAAACGAGTCGCGCCTCACCACATCCCAACCTCAAGCCCGAGAGGCCTTTGAACACTCTCAAACACCAAGTTGTAATAAAGATGAAAAATAAATATGAAGGAAGAATATCCCTCCTTGGGTCAGACCACTCCAGCCCCCTTTTCCCAATCAAATAACAACCAGCTCCGAGTCCTTTGCCCTGTACAGTAAGTTTTGAACAACAAGCAGCAACGGCAACGACACAAGTGTGGGAAAAGAGGCCAACCCGTGCCTTATGCAGCGCAACGAACGGACCTGACCCAAATGCTCAGTACAACACATACACGCCTCGCTTGAAGCTCCCCGCTCCCCCGTTAAGTAGGGAAACCCCAGTTCCTCTCCGATTGCCTTCTGTGCTTTGCCGTCTAGGTAATACATTGGTGCGCTTTCTAACGGTTCGTGTTCAAGATGATGACGACTCGGAGTCCTTAGCCGCCAAGAGCTCAATCATCTTCTCGTATTCTATGTCCTTGTCCAGGGGGTCGCGGCCCACGGCCTCACAGGACGCCTGGAAGACCTCGTCTGCCGCCGAGGGCTTTCTGCCGGCAGTCTTTTCGGTCCTCTTCCACTCTTCAAACCACTTCTTGTTGAAACTCCGAACAAATTTCGACGTCACGGGTCCCCATAGCACTGACTGCTGCTTGGGAGCCGGGTGCTCGGGTGCTGTTGACTCTGGTCTCGCATCTTGGCCGCTCGGGCCAGGGGTATCTTTGCCATTCTGCTCACTGTCGGGCTCTCGCTCTCCTCGTGGCAAGCGCATAGCGAGGAGGACGTATTCGGCCCTTGTCATGTTGTCCATGACGTCGTCCATGTACCTCATGACTTCTTCCTGGGGTGCCACCGCTCGCTGCAGGTACTCGAGGTGACGTGCTGAATGAGCGTGTAGCCGAACCGTGACCGGCTGGTAGTAGTCGAGCTTGGCATCGCCTCCGTACTCGAGCTGACTGCCCTTGCGAACGATGAGGAACGAAGCAACAGCCTGCTGCCCGCCGGGAAGATACTCTAGAATGCTGTATTTCGGGAACAGATAACGATCGCCATTTCCACCAGCAAAATCAAGGCAGACGCCTGAAATTTCAGGCCTCGTGGGTGGCGGAGGACCTTTTGATCGCAATGCTTGCTGCGGAGGATGCTGTACCTGCGGGGCTGTTACAGGAGCTGGGGTCGATGCCGGTGAAGCAGCAGGCGCGGCTATCGCGGGTTTGACGGCGTGTCCATTTGGTGTGCCGTTGACGGCAGTCTGCGTTGTCGGGGTCTGAGGCGCCGGAGTGTTTTGCGCACTCTTGAGTTCCTTGTGCAACTTGTCGAGAGATGCCTTGAGATCGGTCGCGTCCGTGAAACCAGGCTGGTTGTCAGCTATCCGTCGAATCATTGCTCGCAACTTGGCATCATCCAGAGCCGCCCTCACCAAGGCCACAACCAAAGGATCGCTTCCGCGTGGAGGAAGCAGTTCCGCCGATTTTTGCCGTGGGTTTGTGGCCAGTACGATATCCAGAATGGTCCGCACCTCATCAGCAAAATACTTTACTGTCCTTCCATCGACCAATAGCCTATCTGCTGAAGGGCCCTGTTGCCCTCCTTTCCTCTTGTACTCTGCCGTTATTTGATCAATGATCTTTTGAAAGTTGCTCAACTCGTCCGGCTTTGCTTCACCCGCCGCGACCCGCTTCATCAAGTCTCGCAAATGGGGATCTTCGGAAGCTTTTTCTGCCAACGTCATAATGATGGGATCGGTTCCCTGTGGTTTCGCCGCCGGGGCAGGCCTTGCGGCACCCGGTGCCGGCGTCGGTGTTGAGCTTGATGGCCGCGAGTTAGGTACTGAAGGTGCTGCGGCCAAAGCTGCAGCAGGGTATGATGGCATTCCCAGTGACGCCGCTGAAGCTGGCGCCGGTGCCGTGATCGCCGGGACCAATGGAGCTGCCGGCCGCGGTGGAGGTGGTGTCGCACTGGCAGTCCGCAGAGGCTCCAAACTGCGCGGCGAAGGCATGACTTTGAGTGGCTCTTTCGCAGCCGACGAGGGCGGCCTGGACGGTGGTTGCTGGGGAGCAGGTGACGGGGAAGCCGGACTCGGGCCGGAAGGTGTCGGCTTCGAGTCATTAGGGGCGAGTGAAGGTCCTGGATTCGTGGGTGCCGATGTAGGTGGAGGTGGCATAGCTCCGTTAGGAGGACCATATTGCAGGATCGGCCGAAAGGTAGCTTGCGTGGTGGGTGCGGGAGGTTTTGGGTCCTTGATCGCCCAAAGGGTAACATCGAAAACGTGCGGCTCGATCGTGATTGTGCAGGGCCCAATCTTGCTCATGGTATCTTTGGGTGGATTCTTGGGGTCTTCTATTGCGTTTTTCTTTCGTCCAGGCTTTGTCCAGTACTTCTCGAATAGGCCCTCGGCCAGCCATTTGTGTCGCGACCGACTCAGCGATTCAGCAAGAACACCGCTGTGGCAAAGGTCAGTTCAGTGGATCCAAAGGTCATGTTCAAGCCAGACGGCTCTCGGGGCATATGGCCTTACCTCTCTTGAAATGACTGATACTCCCTCGCGGGAAGGTCATCGGGCTGGGCATCCTCAACAGTCGGCAACGGCTTCCCAGCCTGAATGGACTTTGGGAGCGAAGGGGGCGGTGGAGGGGGCTCCTCGACAGGTGCTGGGGCTGGCGTAACGGATCGAGGCTCGGGAGGGGTGACGGTGCGCTTCTTTGCGACGTGTTCGACACGCGCCGCAGCCCTGGCGGGCAACTTCCTCTTCCTCTCCATGTCCAAAGTGCCGTCTCCCCGTCGCAGAGTTCAGGGTATCACGAGTAGGTTTCCGAGCGTGTCGGTATGTTCATCATCAGCGGAAGAAGCCACAGCCTTCGACTGCGCGGCGCGCCGTAATCGTAGTCTCTTTGGGAGAGGGGAGCACGAGTGCACTGCAAGTGGCTAGGTAGAGGAGGTTCCAGTGAAGCTGAGTCGGGAATCTGTCGGCTTGGAGCTATTCGCGGGAATCGGGGGTTCGTCTCACGGGCGGCTTCTGCGTGGTATGCGTGTGGTGTGTGTCGGGAGTGTGGAGGAAGGAATTTGGAGTCTCGGGGAAGCGTTCGTGTGATTGAATTGGGGTGGACGGGATATTAACATGGGAGCTTTGTATCGGAGATGTATCAGCGGCTACAGCAAAGGGCACGAAAAAACAGGTACAAAGTTGGAGGTACCTGAGGCTCCTCTGGGCTGCTACCGCCTCTTTCGCCTCTTTTTTCTTTGCTGGAGGTGCAGCCCAGCGCGGTGCTATTCTGCTGCTGCCCGGCTGCACCCTCCTCCAAGTCCTTCCCACTTGGGTGCACATCGACTGTCCGCGGTGCCGTGCCATCCAGTCGCAGCGGGCGAAAGAGAGGCGGGCTGCGAGTTTAATAGGAACAGCCCTATTTGATTGGCCTGGAATAGGACCGGAAAAGAGCTGGGCACGTTGCCGCGCCCTGACTGGACGAAACGCACGGGGACATGGGCACATGGGTCCACAGGGGGGTCCCGCCTGCCACTCACATCGCGCCAAAATCGTCGCATGCTTTGTCATGTACCTCCGTACCGCACCCCGATACTTTGGCGCATGTACCTACCTTACTCTGTCTGCACTACGGGTTATTCCTTCTCCCGCCAACCAAGAGCCTCCCGTTCGGTTCCTCCATCCAGTCACCTTTCCTCCCAAGTCCCAATCCCCCCGACACGCTGTTGTCTCTTGCTTCCTCAGGTAAATAGTCATCAGGTCTGCAGAAGCCGGCTGCTGGGGTTTGCGCAAGTTAACTTTGGCATGGGGGAAATTTGCAGGCGCGTGTGTACGAGTGTGGCTGTGAAGCTTGGAGGAAATGGCCAGACCAAATTACTCTCGCAGTACTAGCCGTCTCTCCGCATTTCGCAAATTAACCCGATCATAGGCGTGCTGCCAAGTCCATGCACAAATGTCCAAATATCTCAGCAACAAGCGTCGCCCTAGTAACTTAAATGCGTCGAGTGAAATACTGTCGCTGTATCGATCTAGGCACACCAGTTTGTACGGGAAAAGCAGTTGTGGTGGAGGGGAAAACACATCTGATACTCATGGATGATCTGTTGTCGTCGGCGTGCGGCTCAGACCAGTTGTGAAAGGTCGCCGCATTCTGGGGATTGCGCTCACTAGCGGCAGGTACTTACACTTGCTGCTCCAATTTGCTGAAGAAGCAAGTACTTGCAGATAGAAGCGTCCATGTCACCATCCCTGCCGGTTCGCAGGCAATTCCAACCTCAAGCAAGGAACCAGCTCGCCCAGGCATCATCGACGGTGGCCACATCACCGCCACCCATCATGTGTAGATAACTCGGAGGCATCGCAATCTCACCTCTCGTGTCCTTTTCATTCTGCTACATCTTTGCATCTGCGCGAAAGTTCCACAATGACCGTTCCGCTTTCGCCGATCCTCCGGACGGCCGTCTGGGTCGTGGCGGCTCCGCTGGGCCTCTACTTCACTTTTCTGGCCCTCGGCGCAACGCCATTCTTCCAACGACAGTAAGACTTTTTGTCCGGCGTCTTCTCTTCCTGGCAGAGATGGCTGATGACTCTCTCACAGCTTTCTGTACGCACACAAGATCAATACCCTGTGGTGGCGTGACGTCCACGAGCCCGAGAGATGGGGCTTTGCAAGTCAGTCCGCGTACCCAACCCCTGTGTAAGACGCGCCATCGCTGACACCTCGCCGCAGAGGGCCAAGCCACACCCTTCTTCCTCGAGACTCCCGATGGGGTGAGCTTGTATGCATGGCATGTCATGCCTCTGCCCCAGTACTTGAAGCAAGAGGAGAGATTCTCAATGCAGAAGGGTGTCTTCTGCCATGAATTCACCGAGACTGAGTCCTTCAAAGCTTTGAAAGAGGACCCGGATGCCCGCGTTGTACTTTCATGTATTTCTCATCCAATCTTTGTCTATGCTTCAGCTGCTAACTGGTCATAGTCCATGGAGTGAGATATATCTAATCAATGACTTGCTTCTCTCTGATACTGACCATCGCAGAATGCTGGGGACATCGCGCAGAACAACCGACCTGATAGCTATCATGTCATTACTGACACCTCATCGTACCATGTCCTGGCAATCGACTACCGTGGCTTCGGGCACTCAACAGGCACTCCGTCTGAATACGGCCTCATCCAAGATGCCGCCACTCTGATCGACTGGGTCATCAACGTCGCCGGTGTGCCCTCAGATCGCATCGTGCTGCTAGGCCAGAGTCTCGGCACAGCAGTGACAAGCGGTGTCGCCGAGCTCTACGCCTCGCAAGGAATCGAGTTTGGCGGCGTCATCCTCGTCGCGGGCTTCAGCAACCTGCCCAAGATGCTCAGTGGCTACAAGATCGCCGGCCTGGTCCCCGTCCTGGGACCCCTGAAGATCTGGCCCGGCTTCCTAGAGTACATGGAGAGCTTCATTTACGACAAGTGGCCGTCGGTGGACCGGCTGGAGAGCCTTGTCAAGCTGACCAAGAGACGGCTGCGCTTGACGCTCATCTCAGCCAAGGATGATGCGGACATCCCCTGGACGGAGAGCAACAAGCTTTTCCGGGCTGCTGCGAATGCGACCGTTCCTGGTGGACTGAGTGACCATTCGTTTGAGGCGTGGAAGGACGTGCGAACCATTCACAAGGGCAAGGACGCTTTTGTGACCACGTGGAACGCGGAGCCAAATATCGTCATCCGTCAAGAGCTTTTCCCACACGGCGGTAAGTCACACCCGATTAGACTGCAACCTGCAGGGAACCTTCTCTAACTTTTGTAGGACACAACGAAATCATGGGATACGCACCTGTCATCCTTGCAGTCATGCGTTCTTTCGACCTCGCCGGTACGGCGTATGACATGGCCGGATCGGATACTAGCAGTAGAACCTTATAACCGTGATCATGGGATTTCCATGCCGGTATCTTTCGCATAGAACTCAAGAGCGCCAGCATTAGAGTAGAGCGAGTGTGCGTTTGTTATTGTACGGTGGCCAGAATGGAGATGGCCTATCCGGAAGAGGGAGCAGTTATGACTTTCGCTTTGGCGCTTCGATTTACTGGTATAGAATAATTCTTGTTTCCTAAGACGATGACTATACGAGGACGTGGACCGATCGCTCGTGTTCATAGGCATCGATGAGTCTTTCCGTAGAGACCTTCAAAGGGCTCTTGACTCAAATTTGTACACAAGAAAACAACTTTTAGTATAGCAACGTTTCTACAGTATCTGCTGACGAAAGTGTGGCATTCAATCTCAGTCTGTAAGAGTATATCAGTGTGTCAGTGAGTGACCTCGACTTCGCTGAGATACTCTACTGATGGAAAGACTTTGCCAAATCGGACATTGAATGTTCGAAAACATATATGTTTTTGATTTTAAGCTATCCAAATGGATACACCTAGTTAGGTTTGTAACGAAAACTGAACACCTTGAACTCGAATGGTGTGATGAGTGAACAAGTAGTCCCAAATGCGCCATGACGGACTTTCCAGGTTTAGCGCAAGGGTCCCTCATGGGGATAGGGCGGCCACGGGTTAGCACCTCCTGCCCCGCAGCACCACGGCCCCCAGCAGGCGACCCCGCCATGATGCAGTCACCCACACACAGCTGCAGCCCGCCTGGGAGCACAGCTGGCACATGAAACTGTCCTCTCTCGCGCCAAAACTTCTTCCCCGCCATTCCCACGGCACCTTGCAAGCTTGACCAGAGCTCCAAAAGCTCCCTCCAGCACACCCCGAAAATCGACCACCACCAAATACCGTCGACTCGAGGACAACAAAATGCCCGCCGAAGAGTCCAAACCCCTCGACCCGGCCGTCAAAGACGCCAACGACGCCGTTGCCGAGGCGAGCGACAAGGGCAAGGGCAAGGAAGCCGAGGTCGAGTCGGAGGACGAAGAGGAGGATGCGCCTGAGGAGATTGCACCCGGCGCGTCTGCAGGTGCTGCAAAGAAGAAGAAGAAGAAGTCCAAGAGAAAGAAGGTCAAGGACGCGCTCACCGGCAAGCCCAGTGACCCAGAGGAGGCCATCAAGGAGGCCATCGGTGGCCTGACGCCACAGCAGCTCACCGAGCTCCTCTCCCTGAACCCGGCTCTGGCGAACGAGCTCGGTGTTGGAAGCTCCAGCAACAAGTCGGCCGAGGAGACCGCCGCCGCGATGAAGAACCTGAACCTGCAGGACATCATGACGGGCTTGGCTTCAGCTGGCAAGAACGCCAAGGATATGGCGAGCTACAAGTTCTGGGCGACGCAACCCGTGCCCAAGTTCGGCGAGGCGGATCCCAAGATTGAGGATGGCCCAATCCGAATTCAGAAGGTGGAAGAGGTGCCCACGGAAGCGTCGCCAATGGTGACTGGTTTCGAGTGGGTTACCATGAACCTCGAGGACGAGGGCGAGATGAAGGAGGTGTACGAGCTACTCAACGGACACTACGTTGAGGATGACGAGGCCATGTTCCGCTTCAACTACTCACCGGCAATGCTTCAGTGGTGAGTTCCTGTCATTGCCTCTGACTCAGACATGCCGAAGCTAACCATCTTCGCAGGGCCCTCATGGCCCCAGGCTGGCGCAAGGAGTGGCACGTTGGTGTTCGCGCAACGCAGTCTAGAAAGCTGGTCGCCTTCATCTCCGCCATCCCCGTCAATCTGCGCGTGCGCAAGAATGTCGTCACCTGCTCCGAGGTCAACTTCATGGTCGTCCATAAGAAGCTGCGCGGCAAGCGCCTCGCCCCGGTTCTCATCAAGGAGATCACGCGCCGCAGCAACCTGCGCGAGATCTGGCAGGGTCTCTACACGGGTGGTGTCGTGCTCCCCAAGCCCGTCAGCACGTGCCGTTACTTTCACCGCGCCCTGAATTGGCAGAAGCTCTATGAGGTCGGATTCAGTCCGCTGCCGTCTAACAGCAAGCCGCAGTACCAGATCCGCAAGTACCAGCTTCCGGATAACACGTCGATCAAGGGCCTGCGCGAGCTGCAGGAGAAGGACATTGATGCCGCAGGCGACCTTCTGGCAAAGTACTTGAAGCGCTTCGACATGGCGCCCGAATTTTCCAAGGACGAGTTCAGACACTGGTTCTTGCACGACAAGAATGCCCCTGGCGAGCAGGTCATCTGGACATACGTGGTCGAGGTTTGTCCCTAGCTCACATGCCTTTTCGGTTTGAGGTATACTGACATACAGCTAGACCAACGGCAAGATCACCGACTTCTTCTCCTTCTACTGCCTTGAGTCCACCGTCATCAACAGCTCAAAGCACCAGGTCGTCCGCGCCGCCTACCTTTGGTACTACGCCTCCGAAGTAGGCCTCACCACCCCCTTGGACAAGGCCGCCCTGAAGACGCGGTTGAACGCCCTGATTGGCGACGCCCTGATCTTGGGCAAGAAGAACAAGTTCGACGTCTTCAACGGTCTATCTCTGCTCGACAATGGCCTGTTCCTGGAGCAGCAGAAGTTCGGACCCGGCGACGGGCAGCTCCACTACTACTTGTTCAATTACCTCGCGGCCCCTATTGCTGGCGGCGTGGACAGGAGAAACAAGCTGGACGAGGAGAACCTGAGTGGAATCGGCTTGGTAATGTTGTAGGTCGCATGAGGTTATGAGGGGATGAGAGAGAAGACAAGCGAAAAGGAGCACAGCAAAAAGCTGCATGCATACCGGCGTTAGTGGATGAATGTGAGGTATCACAGTAAATGAATCAAGCCATCACGACCTACAACTACTTAATCGTGTGCCACGTCACAATCTGCCATGCTGTGGTCTCTGGGTTCCCGTCCAGCGGCCACCAAAATCACCAATCTACGCACTCATCTTTTCCACAGCGGCGATCCGCTCCTCCAGCCACTTGTTCATCCACGGCACCCTATCCATGATGGGCGCATGCCCCATGCCCGGTACAAATTCCACAACCCCCGGCTGCAAGTGCTCAGCCAATAACCTCCCGTGATGTGAGTCAATCATGACGTCGCTCAAGCCGTGGATGACAGCGATGCGCTCCCTGCCAACCGAGTCCGCGAGCTGTCTCAGCTGCGCGGGGGACTTGTGATGCCACCCCGCCGCGACGAGCTGCTGCAGGAAGCCGCGGATGCTAAATAGCCCCGGCGTGTTCCTCTTGATGAGCTCCTGCGCCTGGAAGCGCTGGTAGTTGTTCTCGAAGCGGCCGTACCCCTGCCCGCCGTCGGCCGGCCCGCACTTGTGCGTCGCGTCGTTGGGCAGCTCGGCGGCCTCGTCGGGCATGACGAGCCAGTCGGCGGGGAAGAGCTTGAGCGACGTGTCTGCGATGCTGCGGTCGGCGGACTTTGGCACGAGCATGGCGGCGCGGTCGCGCATGTTTTCGAGGAGCGACTTGGTGTTTTCGATCCAGGGGGCCGTGCAGAGGAGGGTGACGGAGGCGAAGAGGACGGGGGCGGCGAAGGCGAGCTCCTGGGAGATCATGCCGCCCATGGAGATGCCAAAGAGGTGGACGCTGCGGGAGGCGGTCCAGCCTACGTGGGTGAGGACCTCGAGGGCGTCGCGGGCCATTTCGGAGGTGCTGTAGCGCATGTAGGGGACGTCGGACTCGCCCATGCCGCGGTTGTCGAGGATGAGGACCGAGTAGCGGTCCGCGTTGTCGTGGCCAAAGTACTTTGTTTGGCGCTGCCATGAGGTTTTGAGGCCGGCTAGGCCCATGATGAGCTTTTGGGTTTCTTGTTAGCCAAGACTGTGTTTTTGTTGTGATTTTGGGGGGCCCAATACGATGGGGTGCAATGTACAATAATCTTTGCTGGGCCGTGGCCGTGGATTTCCCAGGCAATATTGAAGGGGCCGCCTCGATCCTTGGCGACGGGACATTTGCCCTTGCGATCCGGTTCGAGGTTCCATATCGTTGAGGAATATGAAGGGTGTCTCATTGTCTCTTCCGCCGTGGGGAAGACTGGTGTTCTGGTGATCTTTATTAGTATACATGATCGTTGCTCAGATGAGTGGGTAAGCTTTACTTTGTCGCCATGGCTGCGTTTCTCGAAGGGAGTCTCAATGGGTATCAATGTGTAGTCCACGAATGCTGCAGATCTTGAGGGCGATCGTGGGTTCAACGTGGTTATACTATGGCTCGGGTTCGGGATGAAGATCTGGAAATGTTTGGAGAACCCCGGATAGGTGGCGTTGAGAGGTGTTACAGATGAGTTTGGATTGAGATCGGGGGGGCTGTGTGAGAGCTTTGAGCTGTCTGTCACCTGTGAGCTGAGAATGGGAGAGAAGCTCGTTGCTTGAGAGACCCCTGCGCTGGAAAGATGCGACAAAAGAAGCAACCCTTTTTTTTCTTCTCACGGACCGCAGCTCTAGTGTTCCTGGGGAAGGGGGCAACTGTGCAATCGGATCAGCTTGTTTAAATTGCAGAACATGCGAGCTCTGCAGAATCAAGTGCGATCATGGGATTGTTAAAGCGTGATGTGGTGAGCGGCGGCGACTGGTGACGTTGTTCATCGACGGCGTCAGTTATAGCGGTACCAATTCGGACCGTTTGACATGGTGGCAGGGCCAGGTATCCTCGCAGCAGAGACTCGTGCGACATGGGGTCCCACCTCGACTATGCCTCGGCATCGGGAAGCTTTCCATGACCGCAGCAGAGCTCCAACTCAACGCTGATAAGGGAGTAGCATGTTGTTGTTTCCTCCAAGTTGAGTATCTCCTGAAAAAGAAACATTAGACGGAGCTAGGATATATCGAGTTGTTTTATGTATATGTGAGGATTAGCCTTTCATATCAGATACATTGCCGAGTACAAGAGAGTCTCGTTGTAGTCAAGAATGGCATGGGTTGAAATGTGATTCTTAGACTTTCCAGAGAGCCATCCGTGATAGTTGGGGTACGTACCGCGGAAGGGGCAGTCGGAGCTCGAGCCACCTCGCTGACTGATGGAGGTGCAGGGGAGGGAAGCTGCCACGTTTGTGACCGCCTTCTCTTCTAAAGCGGGCCAATAAGGCAGAATTAGGAGCTGGCGCAACGGCGACCCTGCCGCCCTGCTCACCCTGCATGCTGCTGTTCGTTGTGTTTGTCGGATACCTAGTCATCAACGATACCTCATCAGCTGGCTTCACCCAGAAGAATCGACATCACCAATCCTTTCTTGACCTTCCTCCTCACGCATACGAACACCCGCGTGCAAAGCTTACCATCAATCTCAACATGCTTCACATATAGCTACGCCCAGACACCATCATGTGGCTCCCGCTGCCATCAACCGACACGTTGACGCGGCCGCGCATCGCCGTGGTCCTCTTCTCTGCTGTCGCCGCGGCATCCCTGGGTTACTATACCTATCAGGCCAACAGAGATCGGTACGATGAGATACCAGGCCCTGGCCTGCACCGAAGTAACGCCGTTCGCCGCAACCACCGACGATCACGTCGCAATTCAATATCTTCCGAAGGCTCCCACGGCGATGAGAATGTCGATCTCGACGCGATCCGGCCATTAAACGATGGCGATACAATAGTTGACGGCGGGACTGTGGACGAATGGTGGAACGATCCTAATGGCATGCAGCCCCAGGCGCGAGCCGGCCACAACATTGTCAGCCTCCTGTTCAGGGTATCTGAAGATAATGCTAGGCGAAATGCGTGCGTCCATAGGGGGTGCGCGTGTAACGCCTGCGGCATGGTGCCCATCCGCGGTGTCCGATACCGATGCGCCAACTGTGCCGACTTCGACCTCTGCGAAACCTGCGAATCCCAAGGCGTCCACATCAAGACTCACATCTTCTACAAGATCAAGGTGCCTGCCCCGCCCTTCGGCCCCCGCCAGATGCAGCCCGTATGGTACACCGGCGACCCGGACACTTGCATTAGAAATCTGTCTAGGAGCTTGATGGCTAGACTCAGCAAGGAAACCGGCTTCGAGCGGCCCGAGATTGAAGCATTCTGGGAACAGTTCACTTACATGGCAAACACGGAATGGCGCGAGGATCCCGACGAGCTGCAGCTGGCCATGGACAAGAAGACTTTTGAACGGTGCCTAGTTCCGTCGGGCGGCTCTCGACACGCGACGCCGAACCTTATTCATGACCGCATGTTCTCCTTTTACGACACGAACAATGACGATCTCATTGGCTTCACTGAATTCCTCCACGGACTCGCATATCGCAAACGCAAGGACAAGCTGCGCAAGATCTTCGAAGGCTATGATATTGACGGAGACGGGTTTGTTAACCGTCGCGACTTCCTGCGTATGTTCCGTGCATACTACGTCCTCTACAAGCAGATGCACCGCGATATTCTCGATGGGCTCGACGATCAGCTTATGGGCAGCACCGAAGCCCAGCAGCTCGTCGCCAGTCGACAACCCCTCAGTAGTCTCTTCGGTCGAGAGGGTAGAGTACCTCGCGCTGATGGCAATAACCGCAGTGAGGGCAAGATCTTCCACCCAAACGGAGATGTAGAATTGGAACCTGGCAGGCGTGGTGTTGTGAGCGAGAATAAGAGTGACACCTCAGGAAGAGAGGATGTGCTTACTCGGCTGTTCGCTCCTTACGTTGGAAGTCCCTGGTCCGTCCAAATGCGATCCCCTGACAGCGAGCTCGATACGCCATACTGGGATGCCCTGATAAATCCCCCTACTGCCATCGAAGATCTTGGTCCTTTGCTGACTGGACAACGTCGGGAACGAAACGGCATCGATTTTGACTTTGAGCTTGAGCTCGGCAGCTCGGATGGTGACGAAGGAGGAAATAACAATTCGGATGCGGAGAATAGAAGCCTTCCAGGCGACGACTCAGCGCAAGTTAATGGCACCGAGAACCGCAGCCAAAGAGTTGATCCCGACCAGTTCACAAACACGATGCCTACCGAGAGTCAGCTGAGGGCTCAGGTCATTAACCATAAGAGGCAGATGGCCCCTGATATTGAGAGAAAACGACGGCAAGCTGCAAGAAAACAGCTCCATGACAGATGGAAGAGGAGACAATTCTACCTCGACGAGGAAGAAGGCGGCCTTGCCCCCGATGGCTGGCAATCCGACGAAGACGTTTTGGTGAACCTCAATGGCATTGCAGGAAGCTCAAAGGCCGCACAAGAGCAGGCCTTATCTCCGCGGTCCAGATCGTCGTCAAAGGTTCGCTTCGCAGAAGATATGGACGACTACGAGATCAGATCCAACCCTTCGACATCCTCTAGAAGCGTGCCCGAGCGTTGGGGCGGCTTGGAGATTCCCGACGAGGAGCGTGACGCAGGCAGGGAGATTCTCTACCAGGTTACGCAGCAAGCCTTCAACGAGCTTCTCGACGCCATATTCAAGGACAAGGAGAACTTGGCTGTCAAGGCAGCCGCGACCAAGGCCAAGCGGGACAAGAACAGGTCTCTTTTTGAACACCTGACTGTCGCAGAGCCGAAGCGCAAGGCGGTCGAGCCGCGGCAACCGAGAAAGGCGCTCGATGAGGACAAGCCCGTTGCTGAAAGATCGCTGCAAGAACTTCTGATGACTAGCGGTTACAGAATTGGGGAGGATGGCGAAACGGCAGACGTCCCCATCTCGGAAGAGCGGCAGAGGGTGGAAGAGGTCATTGACTCGGATGAGGATGATGTTGAGATAAATGAGGACGATGATGAAGACGTCTCTACGGTCGAGGAGGTCGAATACAGGGACCCTACGATGCCCCAGTTCCGTCCGAACAGTGAGACTATAGAAGAGCCCATCTCTCCTGATAGCACTCCGGCCATTTCGGACGACTCCTCGTTATCGACTAAGGGATTGAAGTCGCCCGTGCAGGGAAAGTCGTCGAAGCATTCGAAGGAGTCGAAAACCATCCCGCACTTTACGCTGCTGGAATGGAAGCGGCTCGACCTGGCGGAGAAGGAAGCTGCCGATCGCGGCGGCTGGGGCAAGCTCAGCTTTGATGAGTTTGAGGATATTTACAAGAGCCAGGAAAACGCCGGAAATCGTCTGGACTATCTGGGCAGCTGGGTCGACTTTTGCATCCCCTAGCGCGAAGGAAACAACAGGAGACAATCTGACCAATTACGGTCATGGCCCAACGAATTTCTCGTGAGATTCGCTCAAGATTCTCCCGAGGAATCCGATGAATCCTCGGGATCTTTTGATAGTGACAGCCCGACTGGCGATACTGACAGTACTGACCCGTCGAGCTTGGTACACAGCCTGTCAAGCATGATGAGACGGGCTGCAGAGGACTCAAACACGGATCCAGAGCAGCGGCGCCTATTTGGATGACGCTCGGCCTCTCCTTCACAAGTAAGGGAACTGTTTGCGCAACATCATTGACGCCTTAAAAGGCTTGGGCGTGTATAACATCGTCTTGAGTATTGAGCTGAGGCGGTTACTTCCAGCTTGGAGTCTCGGAAGAATAGGAAAATGTACAAAACTAGGCCTTTGCGGATGAGCCGCAAGACGAAAGAAAAGTCCTATCACGTCTTTGATACTTTTCTTATCAAGTGAAATGGTGCTGATCCTAAACTGAACACAGTAGACCACGCTAAAACGCTCTTCAGCAACGTCAATGACAAGATTCTCCCACTTTTGGTGAAGATGATCGCGCCAGTAATATTCCCATCCTTCATCAAGCACAGATACGCGTCCGCCATATCCTCGTGCCGCCCAAGCCGCCTGGTCAGCGTCTTGCTCCGAAACCCCTCAATAACCACATCGGGCAACGTGAGGAACAGCTTCTTCGTCACAGGGCCCGAAGAGATGAGGTTCGCCTGCACGGAGGCGAGGTTGAAGGACAGACCTCTGACGAGTCCCTGCATATCGCCCCCGATCTGGGCAGTGTAGATTATGTGGTTTCTTGAGTTGTTGTTCTTCCGCCGCAACAGACGGACAAGATCGCTACTTTTTCTCACCGGGGGTGACGAGAGATAGGAAGATTCACTGGAAGACTCACGTCAATGGAACTTGAGCTGCATTTTGGCGGAGATGGTAAACATTTGGGCTCTATTTCGATGTTCGAAATATGTCTCGCACACCGTATTCGTAGAATCTCGGGATCGCGTTCCGACGCCGAACGGACCAATTTATTTATTTAGTGTTGTCAATTGGACTTGAATGCTCAGTAGCCGGGACCGAACCCGCATAATTTCAACTACACCCGTCCGATAGTTACGCCGGTCGCCCTCCCCAGAGCCGCGCATCCCGCAGAGTGGGTCGATCCGGAATGCCCCATAAACCCCGACACAGACCCGGATCCGAGGCCGGACACAACCCCTCACTCAACCGATACCCTGACTGCTCCACAACGGCCTCGTACCCCTACTAAAGCGCGCTGCTTCGGTGCCTCCGGCCGCCGCCGGGTATCTCTCATCACTCCGGCACTATGATTCCTCGGCCTCGCACCCATACCGAAGTACGCATGGCCCACGCAGGGTCATCTGCCGGCCAGCCGCTCCCTCTCCGCGATCATCGGCCACCGCCTCTCCGCCGCCTGCCAAAGCATCTGGTCCCGTTCTTGCCGTACCTCAATCGCCCCGATACCTCCCACACCATCGAATACCGCATTCACGCCGGAAAGCATGCTCTGCGCCTATCCACCATGGCCTTTTGGCTGCGCACCTGCGCCAGCTCCCACGGAGCGCACTGCGCCACTCCGCCGCGGCCTAGTGCTGCGCGCCCGCTGTGGTTGATTGACGTGCGAGACTACCGCCTAGTCGCCGTCAACGACGGCGAAAACGAGGAGGCTACCTTTTCGGGCTCGCAATTTTTCTATGTAGGGCTGAGTTACGTCTGGGGCCAAAGGTCAAGCGCCGCGGCGGCAACGCTCGCAAACATCGCCGCTCTGCAAGTCCCCGGAGCCCTTGACAGCCCGACCATGATCCGGGATGCCATTGAACTGACCAGGCTCCTTGGCGAGCAGTACCTCTGGGTCGACAGGCTCTGCATCGTGCAGGACGACGACCGTGCGAAGGAGGCCCAGCTGCGCGGGATGGCGGACATTTACGCGGGTGCCATATTGACTATCGTGGCTGCGCAGGGGCGCGGGGCGGACGACCCTTTGCACTATGGTTTGGCGGATGAGACTGGAGGGAGAGAAGGAGATGACGACTAGGGCGCGTTGCATTGCCTGGAGGATGTCTCCCCTGCTGAATGGGCGCGGCGTCTGCGAGAGTTTGGGGAGGGCGAGGTAGGGGGATCGGGCGATGTGAGTAGCATCAGCACGAGCTGGGTCGAGGACGAGCCGTCGCGCTCTTCCTGTGGACAAGAATTTCTTGACTGTGAGCTCGGGTATGAGGCCGGATCGCCATTGTTCTCTGGGTACGGATTAAACGGCCGGGAACAACCTGGAGGCGTTTTTTTCCCGCGGGTTCGTGAATGAGAGTTACTCGCCCCCCTTTGGCGGATACGCGGAATCACCTCGCTCCGGTGGTAACGAGTCACCACCCTTCATTGAGGTTGAGTCGCCTGTTATGAGCGAATGGAACTCACCTCTCTCCATTAATTACGAGACACCTTTTATCTACGAACGGGACGAAAGCTGCCCACCCATTGGCCCCGGCGCCGTCCCCGATCCCGCCTCCATCACTGACGGGCTGACCACCCGCCGGCAAAGAGAGATGGACGCGCACCGCGCCATCATGGAGTGGCACGCCCGGGACTTGATCAATACGACGTGGTGTCAGCGAGGCTGGACGTTCCAAGAGCTCATATCCTCCCGACGACAGCTCATTTTCCACAACGACACCGTCAACTGGCAGTGTCACTTCGCGTCCTGGCACGAGAAGCAAAGGCACATCACGACGGGACCTTGTAGTAGCGTTGGGGAAGCCCAGCATCACAACGACACGTCTTCCTCGTCATCAAGTAGACTGCTGCTGGCCAGCATCTCTCCGTGACCCGACTTTCACCGGTACGCCAGGTTTGTCGCGCTCTGTAACAAGCGAGTCCTGACGTACGCCCACGATGTCCACGATGCCTTCGCCGGCGTCCTCTCGGCGTTTGGTCAATCGATCCCCGGCGGCTTCATCTGCGGTCTGCCCCGCATCTTCTTCGACGCCGCGCTGCTGTGGCAGCCCCCTGAACCCTTGTTCCGCCGCGCCAGCGATGTATTCTCGGCCCTACCGAGTTGGTCGTGGATGAGGTGGCAGGGTAACCTCCACTCCGAGAGCTGGCGCAATGGATATCGGTATCTGCGATGGCGGAAGCCCCGACGAGGAGGACTCGCGCGACTCGAACAACTTTTGGCAGCCCGCTTCATGGCAGACCAGAAGAACGGTCGTGTGGTCGTACTCGCTGGCCGTGGATGGCGAACGGGTTCCTGTGGTTGATGCCACCGCTGATTTCACACATGACAGGGCACACAAAGGCTGGCGCGAAGAGTACTGCGAAAGAGCCCAGAAGGCGTACTTTACCCATCCGCAGGCGGGTGCACAGGAATTCTGGTTTCCTATCCCTCTGGCGGCGATGACAACGACTCCTGGCAGCCCACCACCGTGCCAGCCGGCCTATCTGCAGTGTCTCACCCGACGGGGATTCATCCAAATCAGCAAGCTGTTCCAAAACCGCCGCACGTTGCAGTGCATGTGCGCCACCTTGTGCGACCCAGACGGCCGCTGGGCCGGCGTGCTGAGACTCAACGCCTCGTCGTCGAATTCTGCCGAGTTCCACGGCGCAGCAGTGGGCGAGACGTGCGAGCTGATGGAGGTGTCGGCGGGATCTGTGGAGAACCAAAGAGGAGGGGACGTGAGCGTCGACGAGTGGGAGGACGCCGAGTGTCCGCGGCACACGGGGACGTATGACTTTGTCAATGTCTTGTGGATCGAGTGGGTGAATGGCGTCGCCTACCGCAAGGCTCTCGGGCGGGTTTGGGAGAGCGCGTTGGCAGGGGTTGCCGCAGAGGAGGCGCATATCACCCTTGGCTGAGGATGGAGATGTAGGGCGCCCCTATGCAAGGGACTCATAAGTATGAATACCTACGCCTGACGCAATCCCGAGCAAGAGGGGAAGATCCCCAACGTTGTACAGACTGGTGCCGGGTGCAAGAAAAGATAAGAAAACCACCTTGCGTCTTACAGGCTTGCGGCATGGCATATGGCTGCCAACACAGCCCCGATCAGGCTACGAATCAGCACAGCTACGGATCCAACTGAGTATCGGTTGGTTCAGTGTTGCGCTGGGGTCAAGCCAGTCGCTTCCTTCTCCTAGGCACCCTCTCAGTCATAGTCCTATCCATATTGCGACACTGGCATGCAATGATGCAGGCTGAAGCCTGCAGTGAGGCGAACCAGACAGAATTGCTACTCTCCGTAAAAAGTAGGAAATTCTTTTGGTTCCCTCCCGCGCCGGGAGAACCTTACGGTTGTCGTCCACATGAACTCTGCCCACTTCACCAGAATCACCAACATTAGCCATATTCAGACGTCTTTGACCTGTCTGCTGCGATTGTAGAAATGTCAGATCCTCTGTCTACCGCAGGTAGTTTGGTCGGCATCATATCTCTCGGCATTCAAGTTACCCAATCGATTTATAATTACTACAGCTCTGTCAAGTCCCAGCCTTCGGATACCAGCCACACATTGCGAAAGCTCCAGAATCTCGAAACCCTCCTGGCGCAACTGCGCTCTTACATCACGGGCCGTAGCTCAAAGTCCGGTGAACTTGAGTTGCTCGAAACCATTGGACCTTCCGTCCAAGAGTGCGAGGAATGCATTCAAGAGTTGAAGGAAGAGGCGGAGAAGTTTCAACAGACCAAAGTCAATGGTGGGAGCATTGAACAAGCCATCAAGCGCACCGGCCGTCGCCTCGCGTATCCGTTCCGTGAGAGCACGCTGCACAAACTGGACGAAGACATTGATGATCTTGTCGGTCGCATATCCCTCGCCCTTGCTGTGGCACAGAAGAAGACCGTCGACAACATTCAAGACGATGTCAAGGATATCGGCGCCGTCCTTGACATCATAAGGGCGTCTCAAGTCTCCAACGAGATCCAGGACTGGCTGAAGGCTCCAGATGCCTCCATCAATTTCAATGAGAACCGAAAGAAGAAGCATCCAGGTACCGGCCTCTGGCTGGTCAGGGGTACCAGATTCGCTGAGTGGCTGCATCAACCAAAGTCATTTTTATGGCTCAATGGCTTTGCTGGTTGCGGAAAGTCCGTCTTGTGCACTACTGTAATTGAGCACACTTTGCGCCGTCGCGGATTCGACAGAAAATCCAAAGTGGGCGTAGCCTTTTTCTTCTTCACCTTCAATGACAACACCAAACAGAACACATCGGCTCTTCTGTGTGCGCTAGTACTACAACTGTCAGCACAACTTGGCAGCACTCCCCCGGCACTTGAACGACTGTACGAGAATTGCAGATATAGGACACCCTCGGATTCAAGTTTGCTCGAGTGTCTACGTCAAATTCTGCTGATGTTCCAAGACGTTTACATTATCCTTGACGCTCTAGACGAAAGCCCCAGAGACACGCACAGGGGAGAGATGCTTGCGGCACTAGCCGATATACGAGCTTGGTCAGACTGTTGCCTACACTTGCTAGTCACAAGCCGAGATGAACCTGATATCAGAGACGAACTTCAGGCTCCACCCGAGGATGCCATTCCCCTAAAGAACGATGAGATAAACCAAGACATTGCCGTTTTCGTCTCCCAGCATCTCCAAAGCAACCGTCGTCTGTGGAAATGGAAGCAATATTATGCTGAAATAGAAAGTGTCTTGGTCCAAAAAGCCGATGGAGTGTGAGTACTCTGCGTTTGGCTTGATTTTTTATGATCAAGTTAGTAACTTGTGGCAGATTTCGTTGGGTCGAATGCCAGTTCAAAGAACTCGTGTCCTGCCCACAAAGCAAGTCTTTGCTTGATCAGCTACTGGGATCTCTGCCTCGGACGCTGGACGAGACTTACGATCGGATGCTTCAAAACATACCATCAATATCGAGAGATTACGCTCGGCAGATGTTAACGATACTTTGCTGTGCAACAAGACCCTTGAGCGTTCCTGAACTCATCGATGCAATCGCCGTCAACCTTGACGAAGGCACGACACCTAGCTTTAGTGTCGAGCGGAGACTCTCAAATATTAACGCCCTCCAGGAAGTCTGTCCTGGCTTCATCGAAACCGACTTCATCGAACCCGACTCCCACAATAGTACAGGAAAATTTACCGTGCGTCTTGCACATTTTTCTGTCCAAGAATATCTCGAATCAGGAAGATCCAGCCAAGTTGAGGCGACATCATTCATGTTTCACAGAGCCGATGGCCAAGCCACAATGGCGTCAATTTGCTTGACTCTGCTCCTCGATTCTGGATTGACGTCCTTGAAAGCCCCTGATGCCATTCGGAAGCAATATCCCCTGGCGGAATACGCGGCACGGGAATGGCCACATCACTATTGGATGGGTTCCAAAACTGCAAAAATCAACAGCCAGACCATTCAACTATTCACGAATGAAAACAGATCATTTGAAACCTGGACGACCGTTTGGAATGTCGATGATAGGCACGGGAAGATAGACGGTGGCCAAGTTCCTACGACGCTATACTATGCGTCCTTGATAGGGGCCAATGCAGTATTCGAAGCTTGGTGTCAAGAGGAACACAATGATCCTGGCTCAAGAGCTCTCAACAAAAGCTTCCAAGAAGTGTTGAACGCTCAGTGTGGAGACCACGGGACACCTTTACAAGCCGCAGCCGCATGTGGTCGTACGGACGCCGTCAGATTTCTTCTCAGCAAAGGCGCAAATGCGAATGTTAAGTGGCGTGGGTCGAGTCCACTGATAGCCGCGTCAAAAGGTGGTTATGATGAAATTGTGGATATGCTCCTCAACAATGGCGCTAATATCAATGAAGCGACCACCATTAAAAGTAGAATTCGGCGCCGAGTGGGACGCACCGCTCTTTGGGAAGCGGCTGCCAATGGCCATGAGACTACTGTGCAGCTATTACTGGAGCGAGGGGCAGCAGTAAACACCAATGCCGACTCGTCGACTCCATTGATTGCAGCCTCAATGCACGGCGAAGTCAAAATTGTCAAGTTGCTCCTTGGCGCAGGCGCTACGGTTGATGCCTTGGGCAACCACACTTATGCTACCGACATTACTGCTCTCATATCCGCGTCGTCTTGGGGCGAGGAAGAAGTAGTTAGTCTCCTTCTTGAAAACAACGCTGATGTTTTCGTCAAGGGTGACAGTGGCGAAACAGCTTGGGATGCATATACCGAGCACCGACCAGGGGGAGTCGGACATTTGCTCGTCAGTCACATCGCTAAAATGGACGACAGTGCTCTCAATAACCCCGGATTCAAGTACAGCGAATGCTTGGGAGAAGCAGCCAGGCTGAACGACAAAGATTTGGTCGGTCTTTTTCTAAGTAGGGAGTCTGTCATTGCTGGGGGCCAGTACTGTTACTCCCGTCAAGATGCGTTGGAGCAAGCGGCGACAGGGGGTTATGAAGACATATTATTAATGCTCCTTGAAAAAGGTGCAAACGCCAACGATCAAAGCTTCCGAACAGAAGCGTATGACGACGTAATATTAGCACTGCAGTACGCCGCAGCAGAAGGCCATCAGAGGATTGTGCAGCTGCTCATCAGAAAAGCAGCCAAGATCAATGGCTGTTTGGACAATGACGACCTGAAAGGGCCACTGATGGAAGCATCACGTCGAGGCCATATCGAAGTCGTGCGATTACTCATAGGAAACCTCGCCATGGTGGATGCTCCGGGTCCGATGCAGCTGTCACAAGGAATAGGGTGTACCTCGGCCCTTGATGCAGCGCTCGAGTCAGCCTCATCAGAGGGCCACAGTGACATAGTAACATTACTGCTCGAGCAGGCAGGGGTAGTCCAAAACCCTACATTCATTTACGAAGCATCAATCCACGGTCATGTCGAAGTCGTCAAACTGCTTCTCGCAAGCGGCGCTGACCCAAACATCCCGCATAGGGAATACTGTACTGCATTGGAAGCAGCGTCCGAGGAAGGTCATGTTGAGGTCGTCCGCATTCTACTGGACAGCGGAATCGACGTCAATACCCGGACCTTGAGAAACCGAACCGCGCTACTCGCAGCCTCACATAGGGGGCAACGAGAGGTCGTCGAACTACTTCTTCAGTGTGGGGCAGACCCCAACCTTGAAGCAGATGGGCAGCAGCCAACGGCCATTCAAGAAGCCTTTGCTGACCACCACGGCTACGTAGCCGCTGTGCGGATGCAAGACACTGCGCGCGTGCTTCTTGACCATGGCGCCGACCCTGACCCCCCACCATTCAAAGGCAGCAATATGAAAGGACTTGGAACACCGCTACTTGAAGCGTCCACTATAGGCTTCAAGGATATTGTAGAAATCCTCCTCGCCAAGGGCGTCCGCTTGAGCATTCAGAATTTGGGAGCGTTATCAGCTGCAGCGGCCGGAGGTCACATGGACATCGTCGAAATGCTTATCCGCAATGGCCTCGACGACACAGTTGCTACTCATACTCGACGTGAAGAGTACACAAAGACATTACGATACGCATCGTCTCGCGGCGATACAGGTGTTGTGCATCTTCTGCTCGAAAATGGAGCTGACGGAAATGCCCTTGTAGGTGGCCGTACGGCATTAGAAGTGGCATCAGAGGAAGGCCATTTGGAGGTTGTGAGAATGCTTCTCGATCAATGCGATAAGCTCAATGTGCGATGCCAAATGGGCCTGGAAGCTGTATATTGGGCATGTGAGCAGGGCCACAGTGATGTTGTGAAGCTACTCTTCGAAAGAGGCTTCAAGATGAACGATGAATTGCCACTCTTCTGTGGCATACCACGCAGCAACATACCGCTACTGGATGCACCCGCGACAAGCCCAAGGGAATGGATGAGTCATTTTCTCAGTAAAGGTGCCGACGCCGATCTCCTACGTGGTTTATGGCGAGATGATATAGATGGAACTGCGCTTCAAAGAGCAGTGCGCAATGAACGAAAGGATGCCATAATATTACTGCTTAAGATGGGCGCCAATGTCAACGCTCACTTCGGAGAATACGGAACAGCATTGGAATTAGCCTCGGAGGCTGGACGCAGGGATATTGTGACGATGCTGCTTACGAAGGGTGCAGATCCAAACGTTCACTGCGGAGATTCCGGAAGGGCACTGGAAATGGCATCCGCAGCAGGAGGGCACGGAGATATAGCAGAACTGCTGTTGGAGAATGGTGCCGAAGTCAATGCAGAGAGTGAAAATTACGGAACGGCCTTGATTGCGGCCTCGACAAACGGCCATCTGGCAATGGCCAGACTCCTCCTCGAGAAGGGTGCTGATATCAGCCTTCAACACAAGAAGTACGGGACGGCACTCCATTCAGCAGTGGTTCAGGGCCATTTCGACATTGTGAAACTGCTCCTCACGGAGGGCGCAGATGTAAAATCTGTGCATACGGACAACGGAACGCCACTTCACGCAGCAGCGAAGCAAGGCAATTTGGATGTCGCTAGACTCCTCCTCGAGAACGGTGCTGATGTAGACTTCGCACATGCGGCTCTTGGAACGCCACTTCAAGAGGCATTATGGCAAGGCCACTTGGATGTTGCCAAGTTCCTATTCGACAACAGTTCTGTCAAGAGTTTCCATGACTCCGTCTGTGGTGACATCCTTCTTGACGCAGCCGAAAATGGCATGTTCCACATAGTTAGTTTTCTATTGGAACATGGAGCCGACGTGGACCACAAAGACGAGGAGGGCGGTACGGCACTTCAAGTGGCGGCTGTCTCTGGCGAGTTGGAGATTGCCAAACTGCTATTGGAAAATGGCGCAGATGCGAACATTAAGAGCGCAGAATACGGAACTGCATTGCAGGCTGCTTTGAGTGTGCCGGAAACACACATCGCCAACTTACTTCTCAAAATGACGACAAACGTGAATGAAAAGGGCGAATATGGGTCGGCCCTCCAATTGGCAGTTTCTTATGGGCATCAGGAAATGGTCGAGACACTGCTCAAAAAGAAGGCCGACCCAAATGCACAAGGGCATTGGGGAGGACTGCGTCGAATATACACGTCGTCAGATGGATCGAGTTCTGACGATTGGCTGAGTGAAGCCGAATCTTACACTGAAGATCTGCAGGAAACAGACTCATTGATGCAGGATGCTGATGAAGAGGAAGGGAGCAGAATTGGCCCGCCATTGTATGAGGCCATCATGCAGGGTAATGATGCTATTGCCAAATTGCTCCTTGACCACGGCGCTGATATCAACCTTTGCTATGGAATTTACGAGAATGCTCTGCAAGTTGCAATTAAATACGGCAGGGATAGTCTCATCGAAACACTGAGACTAAAGGGGACAGATGTACTAGGCTAGCTACATGTACTTTTGCAACTGGATACAAGTCAATTCGATTCTCTGTCAACGTGCTTCAGCCAAGCGAAACCTCGACCCGTCGTTAAAAGTCAAAATTCTTTTCTTTTAGGAAAATGACTCCAGAGCTGCGGTCCATAGTAGTTGACGTTCGGTGGCTGCAGGGTTTCGGTTTCGTCATCGGCTTGATATTATCTCACAACGCCGCAAAGACATAGGAACGCGAAAGTTGAAGCAAGATCATATAATTGAGTCTGCCCGGCGCGAAAAAATTGAAACTACCGTACCTACCTGCCCGAGGATAAGATGGCTTGCTTTCTATTTTCGGGGTTGCTGCTATTTCCCCTTCGCAGCTATTGTTCCTTCACACTTACTTGTCTAGGCTCTTTGAGCCTTTAGGGACATAGAAGGCATCGTGCAATCTACAAGGCGATCGCACCAACATGCTGTTGCTGGCTGTTGCTGACTGTATTAAGTCCAGTGCAGCCTCAATGTCTTTTACTTTTCTATGATCATAGATCCTGGATATTTCAGGGGATATGTGAAGCCATGGAGGAAATGTGCCGGTAATGCTACCGACGACCAACCCACTCGTCAAGGGGCATAATGGCCAGTGCAGACAGACAATCTAATTATAGCGTGATCTGTAACTAAGGACAATTTTGTATGTTCACAGCCACGCTGAATCGCGTTGATATTTCTTTGAGCCTTAGATCATTGGTCATGGCTGAAAAGCAATGGATAGATGAGTTCAGATGAGACATCGTCAAGAGCCCATACACCATGTTGGCTTGGCTCCAGCCACCGAATGACTCGATCTTGTACAGTTTACTTGTTTTCGCCAATTTGGAGACTGTTACCAGCCGTTCACATCAATGACAATGGTCAACGGCGCCGAAAGAGTCCGTCGAGTCAGCATACAATAGGACTAAATATTCTTCGATCTGTTGCCGTTTTTGGATGTCTAGCATGACATACTCGTAACTCACTGTGCATGGGACACCTTCGTTTTGGTGAATCCTGACAATATGTAGCTCTCCATCCTGTTCCTCGCCCTTTCGTCTGTCGCTGTAATGGCATAGCCCTACCCCGGATGCAGCAACTCGTGCGACTCTTGCCATAACGAGCTCGTAGAATATAAAGTATTAAAGGCTCTTGCCTGACCTCATGATTCCAAAGTCAACAAGAGGCCACTTTTTATAAAGTTGGCAAATTTCAGACTGCCTAGTGCGGTATTTCCGGGAGCGAACGATCTCCTTACATTCGGACGGGTGGACCTTGCCAATCTGTCGACGCGGTGAGTGTGGTCTTGCTTGTAGATTGGGTTCATGACTTGGGGCTAATGACTGGTGACTTGGTTGACTGCACGGATATTGGTGCTGACCTCTTTGAGTTTGAGGTGTTCTCTATCAGCTTGTTTACTAGTCTCTGTAATTATATACATTTACTTCTTTGAGAAACGTTATCAGCGTGCATTTTGCAAGTTACTGGCTCTGTGTGCAAGTACGTGTATTTCTCAACTTTCATTCATTGTGGAAGAACGATAAACTATGACTGAATTAAACCATTAGAAACGTTACGTTGGAAAACTGAATGGGGTGCGAATGTAAACCTGCGAGGGTCATCAAAGACTACACAACTTGCCTAAACATACATGTAGGCATGGCAGAAACAATGACTTGAAACAACGTGTGCTCCAATAGCGAGTTTCAAACAGATTTCTATGAAGTTTGTCCTGGCACATGGAAACCGTCAAATATTTAACAACACTACAATAGGTTTGAAGAGAAATAATGGGTATATATCTTAGCGGAGTGTCTCGAGAGATATTTGCCATACTACCTTAGTCAATGACTTCTCTAGGGAGGTCGACCATGAGTTATATTGAGTGATGAGAAGTCGCCTGGAAGGGCGGTGAACATAAGGTCGCTGGTCAAGTCCGTGACACGCCCGAGAAGCTGCTCTAGGAGGCGGTATCCTGCTCCTTGAGCATATCGAGGAAGTTCTGTTTTTATAGTCAGTTTGTAGTCACGAGGAGGAAGTCGGCTTTAGTGACTTACCGTGCCCGGCGTTGAACACACGAGCGAAAGTCAGTCCGCGCTGTGCAACCCAATCACCAATCTTTCCAGCGGCACTTTGAGAAGAAGTATCGCTGTAGGCAGCAGGGAGAAAGAAGTTCTTGGATGGGAACTCGTCGAAACCCTGCTGTCCGTTCCAGGTCATGTTCTGCAACACCATGAGCGTACCGTTGGTGGGATAACGGTAGTCCAGGCTGCCACTGGCGATGATCAAGTTGTTCGTGTGCTCAATGACACGGGTCAGGGCACCAGAGGCGAAGGGATCCAGACTTACATCGCCAGTGGGACCGAAGGGGTTCTCGTCTGAGCACTCCTTCCAGTCTCTCTGACCGGCGGGGATGTGGAGGGCCTTGCGTATCTCGGGAAGGTTGAGGTATGAGTGCCATTCTGCATAGTGGAAGCCAAGGGGTATGGAAGCATTGTCACCCTCGGAGGCCCAGGCGAGGGGGTCGGATGGGCCGGGGCAGCCCTGAGACACGTGGTAGACGTTGAAGCAAGGGCTAATATTTCCAACACCGTCATATAAAATGGAAGAAGTCGAGCAGGCATCGCTATTGTTTCCGGGCGGGAAAGGGCCCTTGGGAGGGAAGGTGAAGTACTTTTCACGCATCTCGGCGTAGCCGCATTCCTCGTCGGCGGCGTTGAGGCGGTCGTAGTAGTCTCCAACGCCGGGGTACAGTCCAATGACGTTGTTGTTCTCGTTGAGGAAGGGAAGGGTGACTGAATTCTGCTGAAATTCCTTGGGATTAGATCTGATGTACGGGCTGAACATCATAGCGCCTGACAGGTTGTAGTCGGCAGACTGGTTGGACTTGATCATGGCGTCACCGATATAGGGGATGTAGTGGCCAGCGTAGCTTTCACCAGTGAGATGAGTCTTGCGTCCCTTAGTTCCGAAGGTCTCCATCCAATTGTGGTAGAAGCCGAGGAATTGCTGCGCAATCTCTTCTTCCGTATTGACTCCTGGCTTACCGACCGAGAAGCCAGTGCCGGCGGGCTGATCAATGTAGAGCATGTTTGAGAGCTGGGACCAGCTGTAGATATTGTAGACAGGGCGGTAAGTGGAAGGGAACCAAGTGAATGGGCCGTGCTCCTGAATTAGTCCTATCATAGAACTGCATCCGGGGCCTCCGTTCAACCTTGCCAACGAGTTAGTCTGACACCAGCTACTGAGATTATGCCAAGGAAATTCATTACCAAATGGTTACCTCGTCAGATGCATCTTTATTGGTGCTAGGGAAGTACCTGTGGGAAAGAGGTCAAACGCTGTAGAGTGTCACACGGCGGAGGACTAGCTACGCACCAGAAGAAGAGCTGACGAGTTTCGTTCGCCTCCTTGGAGATGGGAATCTGACCAGCGTAGGACTCGCCAAGATCCCAGTAAACAAACGGAATAGACGTGCCATTGACAAGGTACTCTTTTGAAAGTCAGCTGGTCAGCTGATGAAGTAAAATAGGCCGTGCGTGGGCGGAATGTACTCTCTGTCTTTTCATTCAAATGCTGATACTTTTCAGTGCTCTCTCGACGCTCAATATGGCGGCGTATGGATAATCGCTTGGCCTCTGCGAATTTCTTCACCGGGTTGAAGCCATCGATCCGCCAAGAATCGGCCAAAACGGTGATGCACGGCAACAATCCCAGCAGCAGGTGACGGATGGACATCGCTGAAACCATGTTGACTCAAAGTTGGCGTTCTGAATGAACGGATCTAGATCGACCCTCAAGAAAGGTAGAAGCAGGTCTTCATAAACATTAAAAGTCTGCAACGACACGGGCTAATCGATTGTGTGTTACCGAAGCTACTGCAACATCACTTACCAAAGGTTGCCTAAACCATTTATTTCAGTTTGCCCAATGCGGAGCAGAAAGCTTCACAATCGTGATGAAAATCTCCTTCGCTCAGGGTTAAAAGTAAGTACATTTAAGTATACTTAAGTATACTAATACTCATCACTATACTACTAATACTTACTCCTACTACTACTAGACTTACTTAAGTATACTAACACTAGACTAAATACCAGTAGTTTTCTTTTCAACCCTGCCTTCGCCCAACTTAAACACATTGCTAGCAAATCGCGTGAAAGTATTGCGGGCGGCTCGCCTCGCTGAAATGTATGTGAACCAATCTGTTGTCAGCGTGCCCCTGAATGCTAAGCTTTCGGAAAGGAGGGGGATAAGGAAACTACATCCCCTGTCTTCACAAAGTCATTGGTGGGTGATCCTCTCAAATTTCCATGGCGTCTCATTCGCAACCTGGAAGAACTTTCCATAACCTGGCAGCCGGGAGGTCCGGAGAAGGCAAGATTCTTCGAGAATCGTGTGTTGAGAGATGGACATGATTCATAAAACTCTAATCCATAATACGGGTCGAAGCAAAACCTTCCGTCCGGCGATTTAGGGGTGACCAAGGCAAACTTCGCAAGGACCGAAACTGACTCAACCTCCGATGGTTTTTGGACGAACAATAGCAACTGAAGAGGAATTAAGCTTGACGAGTACGGGATGAACATTCCATCACGCTTGCCAATGACGATCGGATGCAGCCTTCTTTGCATCTGTCCGACATAACGGATCGCGGCAGGTTTGGTTTCGAGACTTATCTCGGATTTCTCGGCCAGGGGGTTGCAGACGAGCTAGTGCTCTATTCTACTAGTCCGTAGTTTCCGGGAAAAGGGAATGTGGTGTTGCTAGTATGCAAACCTTGCCGATCATTGCTACGTCTCGATGGGGAATGTGCTCGATTCGATAAGTGAGCATTTGAAATCACAGCTGCGACCTATGTGACTGACGCCGAGGTTATGTCACACCTGAAGCTTTTGTACACCCCAGTGGCTACTTGGTTTCCAACCATGACCTCTGCTATAATATCGATTTGTTCTTGTCGGATAACTGCATACTTTGTCCTGCACAAAGTTTGATGTCATTTTAAAATATGGGAATTGCGTCCTGCACGTTGCACATTAGGGCATAGTATTCATTTGGTCAGCGAGAACGTTATCTGAGTGGGTGCACTCATAAGGGGTTTATTATAAGTATGTTTATCTAGCAATTGCCAGGATTTCTACGTGGTATCTATTCCCTCATTCATGATCCCTCATCCAGTCCATCAATTCCTGCCAGTTCACGCACTGGTGCTCGGTGCCGAAACCTGTGACGCCGCCCACCGCTGGGTCGCCGACTTCCACAGTCAGATCGGGTCTGCATATTATAGACTGGCGGACGAGGTCGATGCAGTGACCGATATGATACATGTCCTTGACGTGGTTGTGATCGGGAGAAGCATCGTGATCTGCCTGATGGTCGGCGGGATGCGACGTGTTGTTGACTTGCTCCATGATGTCTGGACGCGCTTCGTACAGAGCTTGCCGAATCAGATCGAGACAGTGAAGCTGGTGAAACACCGCTATGCAGCTCTTGTTAGGTGCGAGTGCTGGATGTTGGAAGAAGCCGCCCTCCTTGGGAAGAAGCGAGGCCCAAGCTTTGTCGACCAGCGGGGAAGGCGGCATGGCATACTTAAGATCTAGCTCGAAAGTTTTGTTGATAGTCGGTACTGCTTAGGATTAGAGTTGTGCTAGGAGGGCAATTTGGGCAGGCGAGCGGTATCTCACGTCGCAATTCTGATTTGACGGGCTCAACGCCGTAATAGTCCGGTGCGGATCTGTTGGGCGCGGTATATCTACTGAGGCCCGCTACCAGGACGAGGAGTATTGCGTAAAACAAATGGACTCTGCTCTTTTGCCAGCATTGGCTCAGCCGGAATTCTTTTCGTTGACCATTCTCGCCACTTTCATCTGCTACCTCAATCTGGGCGTACTGATGCGACTTGACCCATGACGACATTGTGAAGCTAAGCGCTGTCTTTTGAGTGTGCGAATGGCGAACACCAGGACGAGCGCAAGAAGGCAGAAAAATTGGTCTTGTCGATGGTCTTTATGAGCCGGGAGCACGGGCATGGCAGCAGATTGATCGTCCAATCTCTGACAGGGTAACCCCCATCGAGTGAGTCCCGCCATCACGACTCGCAACGCGCAAGGGGCTTTGGATCTCGAATGGCATCTCATCATTCGGGTAGTGATGTGCGGTCAGGAGTTCTGGAAAACTCCACCGGTTCATTAAGAATGGGCAGAAAGGCCCTTTTGCTGACTCGCGTAGCTACAAAATTGGACCCATTCTACCTGCGTTCCTCTGGATGACTTCAACTAAATAATTACTGGAATAATGGAAAACAAAAAGCGTGCAAGCTTCGAAGAGGCTGCCGACATAGCCACGAGGCGCTGTCTCACTTGCCCTATCTGTGTTTCCGGGTGCAGATATTGCCTGTCGATCTTGCGCTTGGTCTCGCGGGTTGCATCGGTCGGGAACCATTTGCAACGGTTGATTGGCCGCAGCCTCTCTGCTGAAGCCGTGACGAAACCGCGAGGTTGCATTCAAAGGCGTTTAGTGAGCTGGTTAAGCTACACCTCCAGCATATAAGCTTGCCGTTTCCCCGGACTTGAGGTTCGTCGGGGAAAAGATGCCGAGCCTGGGGCTGTCCGGGCCACGGGATTGACTGACCCCTGGCTCGGATTCAGTCCTCGACATCCATCCAGGTTTTGCCAAGTCTCATCATCGACGCCCAGGGAATGATTCATTTTCTTGTTGCTGTCTTCTCCAGACATTTATCTCATATCCCCCTCAATTGGCGCCCTACATGCATTTACCCTGTGCCATTCGAGTCATCCATAAGTAGGTATGATGAGTATAAGAATGGCTACTTGGCTAGTACGCGTTCTCAGCTGAGAAGGTTGACAAAAGCAGCGACTTAGTTTCTCATGCACCTCTGCCGCCGTTCGTTGACTCAGATCTAATATGACTCACCAACAATCAATATTCTATCCAATTACGGGTCTTTGGGACTCCAAGAACGATTGCCGAATCGGGAAGGTCGACAGACTCTGATCCTTCAAGCGCCCTGAACCAACAAGAATAAGCCGCAATGCGGATCTCTAAAAGCAAACGTGAAGGCATGGCAGAAACCAGGATGCATTGGATGTCCAATACATGTGTATTTAAGTACACCAAGAAGCCTATGATGTAATGGCTTGCGGCCTAAAACTCTTCAATCTAAACTTCAGGTCGAGAAGCATCGGAAAACCTCCCGGATCGGCCGTTTGTCGTATCACCTATTCGCCATGATGGGTTCATCTCAATTTCGTCGGGCGTCGTACGAGATTGTGTCTCCGAGACTGATCATTCGAACTGCCACAGATTCCGACACCGAATCATTTCTCGCAATCATGACAGCTCCGGAGAACTTTCCATTCGAGAAACCCGAACAGGGTCTTACGCTCGACAAGCTCCGTACTCGAATCGACAAATTTGCTAAAATGTCAGCAGAGGGGCAAAACGCATTCATGGTCGTGGAGCTCCGCGACACACGCAAGCTGGTTGGATACGGAGGCTACAACACCTTTGGATCAATCGACCCGGCCGAGTTCCTCTCCGAAACGACGCTCCCGGCGGGAAAGACGTACTTGACAGACATTGGCATCATTGTCGATCATAAACACTGGCGCAAGGGCTATGGCCTAGAGTCGGTCAGCGCTTTGATCGAATATGCCAGGAATGAGCTCGGATGCGAGGTGTTCAGAGCAGAGACAGGCGACGATAATGAACCCTGGCGAGCACTCATGCGAGCAGCGGGTCTTGCCAAGTTTGAAGGACGACACAAAGCAAGCTACGACCCAAGTCAGGAGGTCTGGGTTTGGAAATTTGATGCTGGACACTGGAGACGGGAGCAAGAAAGGATGCGAAAGGAGGGAAAGTGGCCACTGTGAATTCTCAAACCACGGCCGATCGGCCTCTGTCTTTGGGTCGTCACAATCTCCCTCTTCATGTCCGAAATAGTTCTTATCCGCTCAGCCAGATTCTCAATCACTTGTCAAAAATCACCCAGATAACTTCACCCGCAGTAGAAAAGTTGGCAGCGAATCCCTTCAGTACCCTGGTGCTCACATCCCGATGGATGACGACCGCCTGGCCATCCTGCTGCAGACCCACCGCCACACCTCACCACCACAAGGTCGCCGTGATGGAGAATCGAAGACGAATCATGCTACGTATCGGGGAGATCTGAGTGAAGCCCAAGCGAGCGGTCCTGTGATCGATCTTGAAGGTAACAAGGGCGTCGCTCTTGATGTCAGAGTCAGGCTAGCCAATCGTGAGCAACACAAGTTTCATTTCGCATCAATGCAGGAAGAGATCGGTCACTTACCCAGATATAGACTTCAGCTGCTGTAGCACCAGCGGGCACCGTGTTGTCCGGACCCGATCCGAGCTGTTGATGCCGCTGACAAGAGTCTCCGGCACGGAACTGTTGGCTCAGTTTTGAACAGGACCAAGAGCATTGTCGCCAAGCTTGGCGTGTTATATATCGCTATTGTACTCGTTGACAATAAATCTCAATCAAGGTCTGCGTGGCCACAATTTCAACCCTGCCATGGAAAACACCTTCCGTTCCAGAAACTCTGACAGCCGCAATTGGCTGCTGATTGGTCTTGCTGAAGTAGAGGTATCCTCTCGGGAGTTTGATGCCGTTGACACCAAATACCACGTCGGTTATCGTGCCAGGTCTCAGCAGAGAATCATCGAAATAGATGAACAGTCGGAGAGTCTCGTGCTGCGTTGAACCCGTAGGCGAAGCTAGCACGCGTGTCTGCGATCAAGATATATGGCGTGCCGGAAACCGCGATCATGCCGTTCAGTTGGGAAATCCGAATCGTATCTAACGACGCCAGTTCTTTGGCCACTGGCTTATTGCACTTGTCAAACGATAGCTTGTGGATTGTATACGAGCCAGGGTTCAAAGTCTCAAAAGAACAGTTAGCAGTGATGAGGAAATAGCTATGCGGCGCTGGTGATTTGGCTATGCTGAAACCGCCATTTGTGTTTTCGAAATTGTGCAAAGCTTCGGTTCAGAGTTTGCCACAGGCGCGACTTCGTAGATGCGTGAGAAGTTGTAGACGACTGCCAGGACGGATCCTGATGACCTGATTGCCGGATTCTCAATCTCCGATCCTTGTGGGAACTCTCGACTTTTTCCAACTCGAAGGCCATGCGTACAGGCCAGGAAAATTGTTGCCAGCCATATCCAGATCATCATTGAGGATGTCATCAGGAAATGCTTAGATGTGAAAACTTGCAATAGATTCATACTATGATGAAGAGTCTGCATTGGAGAGATTGAGACGGAAGGACTGTCTATTTGTGTGTCTGTAAGCACGACAGAGGCGGCTTATCCTCCATCCACCAGCATAGGGTAGGTACAATCAAGAAGCCGAATCCCAGGGGCAGAAGAGTCAGGTCATGTATCTGCTTCTTACGTGGAAATATATTCATGACCGACTTCCCTTGTATTGAGTCGGAGCCCCGATTCTTTGCACAAAAAAGAATCGAGATTGTCCAGATACAATTGGTCATGAGGCAAATATTCCATGTGCTTTTTTCTGCGATTGATCAATCGAATATTTGAACTTCCAAGACTCTACGGTCAGTTTCGCAACTGGGCAAGACGTAATTGATCAGACTATGCTCATCAATCTTACCAGCTGGTCAGTGTGAAGTGCATCGTACTTCGGGGGTGCAAGCGTGGAAGTTGCATCCAAGTCGTGAGTACAGCGGATGCAGAACTCATAGCTGCATGTATCTTCCACGCCAAGCTGCAGGCAGGAGGTGACACTGCCATCCAACGGACTAGGTGTATGTCATTTGAATGATCGCCAGTTACATATCTTTTATGTAATTATAACATACGGTGAGACACGCGTGTAGTGTATTTGTATCCAGAGCACCCGGAGTATAATTACAATATATTGCGGTGCAGCAAACAATTCATAATATGATTTGTCTACTACTTCCTCTCTACCTCGAGAGACGCCAAAACGAAGGCCGATTCTCCGAGGAGACTATTAGGCAACAGTGGCTGGTGCGTATAGTACTCGTATGAAGCTGTTGAGTTGAGACTGCACACAGCGACCGTCTTGTTGTACCCGATCGTGCCGCTTCCCGTATCGACAACAAAGTTCCGGGTGGTGTAGTTGTAGGCCTTCAAAGCCACCTTCCTGAAGTCCACCTTGGAGTTCGAAAGCATTCCCAATCTCTCGCCTTTGAGCATGGAGAATATGAACAAGGCCGTGCTGGAGCTCTCGAGGTAGTTGCCGCTGCGTCCCGGGAATGTCGTCAATTGCCACCAGGCTCCGGTGTCGGGATCGGCGTAGCGGACCAATGACGTGGCCAGTTGCGTCGTAATGTCTCGCAATTGCTTGCACACGGCCTTGGCCTCGTGTTTACTCGTGGGACAGTCGAGAGCTTCCCACGTCTGGACCAAGCCTGCCACGAACCAACCCACGGAGCGACCCCATGCGAACGAGCTTGCGCCCGTCTCTTTGTTGGCCCAAACAGCAGTTTTGAAGTAATCATATCCGTGAACGACCAAGGATGTGTTCTTTTGGAAGCAGTGTTCATAGAGCAGCGAAACCTGCAAGCTGATGTCGGTGTAGTTGGGCTGCTGTTGCGCCGCCATAAACGGCAGCACAGAAAATATGCCGTCTAGGTAACTCCATCCAGGGTAAACGTAGTACAACAAGCCTCCGACGGGGTTCCGGTCTTGGAGCGGCAGAGAATCGTTGATGGCCTTTGATGCTGCCAATGCTGTGGTCGAAATCCCCTCGATTCCAAATTTAGAGATGGCGTTGATGGCGGTTGCTACCGAGAAGCGGTCCAGAGGTCGGGTTGCGTCGTAGGTTGCATTGACCAAGTTGAGAGTCCCTTCGTTGAGAACATCCTTCAGGTAAGAAGCATATTGATCCTTGAGGTCCGGGTACTGCTTGATCGTTGCCTCCATAGCGATGGAGAGAACGCCGGTCTCCAAGAAGCTGCTTGCTGCACCAGACGAGATAATGCCTTGGTTTCGCGACTTGATGCTGTCAAGCATCCACGTCGAGTATCGCCGGTCATCACAAGTTGCGGCAGCTGCTAAGCCGCAAAGGGCCAATAGCCGGATCGTGAGGTGATGCATGTTGTGTGATTTGATCGGTCCGAGGAAAACGCACAAAGATCCGGCAAACGCTACGACATCAAGAGACAATCTTTCCCTGCTAACCCCGCTGCCGACGTCGCTGACTTTATACACAGATGCTTTTTGGCTGAGTCAAGCTAATTGCAATACTAATTATAATTGCCGAAGCCTATTTGTTGACCTGGCTCATCATTGGGCCCTTTCACAAAGGCTGCAAGCATTCCCCTTTTTGATGTTTTTTCTCCATGCATTCCGGTACGTCCGCAGGGAACTTTCGGCCCCGCGGTGCATTGGCCAAGGAGATTTTGATCATCTACCTAGTAGGTAGCGAACTTCGCCTATAAAAACTTTGTCAGATGAAAATTGTGGGCAACCGTATAGGACATGGAGTCTACTTGTGCAGCTGGCAAATTAGGTTGCTTCTAAGATACGGATACGTGTATCCATATGGAGAAAGGCCATGCGAGGCTAGAGGCAGGTCAAGGTGCAGAAGTTGCTAGTCTCACACCTGGGCAGAAAGGATTTGAAGGATACATTCCTACTAATTATCCCGTGTTGGGCAGTGACGTTTCAATCGCAAGGGCCACAACTTTAGTCGCGAAAGATTTCCCGCCAGGTAAGAGGGGTAAAATTGCCAAGGATCCAGGCGGCGGGAACAAGAACGAAGTCATGTGACTCGAATCTGACTGGTACTCTTGCTATTTTGCGCTATGGGTAGGTCTCCTTGATCGGTTTTGTCTTGCTCGACGGTTTCTGAGACACACTGCATTGCCGTGACCGACTTTGTATTTTATATGCCTCTGCTCAACTCGTCACTACGTGCGGCATCCCGGTCCGGGTGACCTTTGAAAGTGCTACAAAGGCATAGTCATTCCCGATTCCTCTCATTGAGACGTGATCTGAATCGAGCTAGGTCATTCCACTCAAATGGTCCAATGTCCGCAACTTTCCTCGGCTAGAGATTTGCAGTCTTCTTACCACATCGTCTGCCTTGAGTTGCAGCGCAACCCACAGCAACTGTAGTAAGTATGTAGCTATGCCGGATATGTTTGGAATCTTCAATCTGTGCTTTGGTATAGTACACAGTTTTTGGAGTGCGAAGATGGTACTTTTCAAAAGCCTCGCAGCATTGCCTGATAGAGAACCGCGGAAGATCAGCTTTGCATTTGAGCCTCCACCTTTTGGAGTTTTGTGGTTTTCTTTGGAAAGAAATTACTGATTGATCCCATCACTCATTGCTTCAATTATTAGCCGATGGATAAATCCAAGTCAACAAGGCCTTCAGCTCTACAAAGTGAGCAAATAATTTGGCTGTAGAGAAAGGGAAATCCACTTAGAGCCTTGCGGCAAAAGACATGTTGCACCATGCATCACGTGCTCACCCCTGCAGCGTAGCCAGGGTCATCAGGCTGTTACGAGAGGATCGAAACCATTAAACGCCTCCGCAATCCAGTCAAGAAACCGGTCCCAAAAACCTTCCTGTCCCATAGTGTTCCCAGCCATTCCCTTACAATGGCCAGCTTGAAGCCTCTTTTATTTGCATTTCTGGTGCCCGTCAATGTCGTGCGCTGCTTGCAGACGCAGGGTAGTACCGATATCCAGAGCCAGATCGAGCAGAATGAGAGTGATTAAAATGCAATGAATACTGTCCGTGCCATCCATACAGGGGACTACCAACATTCTTTGGACTGATATTATTACCCTGACCAGTTGCGTCTACACGGTTCTTCATCTCAATATCAAGCACTCCTCAACCTGGAATAAGCTACAAATGGGTTGCGAATTTGCGATCGCACCTTTTGCATCCAATTTCGTCTGCCTGGTTGCTTCAAGACAGTCCATCGAACCTCTCTCGCTCAATCGGGAGCTTCACAGCCTCCGGCTAGAGAATGCTAGGAACACTGGCGGTCCCCCCAAGGTGAGCATAACATCCATGTTATGGAAGAAAACTTCACACACCTTACAATTCTTACAGGATATTAGTCGCGTTGGAACGTTGACTGAACATCAACACAGATGCCAGCGGAGCGTGTCCGGGCGATTCTCGGTTTCCCGCAACTCACGTACCCTACCAAGGCGGCATCACCGTTGCAGAGTACGGTCTCCCGGCTTTCAAGGCTTCCGGCATGTCTATTTGCCACATCTAGCGTGACCTGGCGCAATCGGGCTTCTACATTCCCATCCTGAAGACCTGGACGAGGTCTTGAAGGCGATCAACATTGATGACATCAATGTCAAGGGGCTCTATGGCTGGGCCTATCTCATAATTGGGATTGGGGTCAGAACGATGGCAAAAACGGGGGTGCAGGGGTATAACCAGACAGCCCAAGCGTGTCTCTATAAGCGAGCAATCTCTGATTACGCTGATTTCGTGCAGGATCATATGAGTACTTTAAGCCTCCCCAGGTATCAAAGGTTTTACATAAGGATTATATTTGAATGATGGGTATCTTGAGCATGCATTACACCCAACGCTTATCGTGAATCTATGCAAGATACTTCAAGTTAAACAGCACAGTCTCGACAACATCCCAGTCCTCATCCTTGGCCGCGTCCCCAAAGATCCTCAGCGCACGCGCAATGAATGCATAACTCCCCTCGGGCACAGCAGTCCGATCAGCCAAGAAGCCGTCAAAGTTCCACGTGTATCCGATCCTGTGTGCATACGCAACAGGCGACTGCGGCAGCGCGCCTAGGGCCGGGTACCCGAGGACCTCGGTGACCTCGAGCGTAGAGTTGCCGCCGCCGCCCACGGCAACGAGCTCAACGTGGAGCTCTGTACTGCCGACCGTCGGGGTCACGACCAGCTTCGGGTAGGTTGCGCTACCGCTGGACCCCGGACGCGGGATAGTGAACGTCCGGTTCGCGGCGACGGGGATCAGGAAGTGGTTGTCCGTGGAGGAGAGGTACACGCCGTTCTGCCCGAGGCCGGGGATCAAGACGGGCGTGTCGTGCATGCTCCCGCCGACGCCGAGGTACGGGACAGACAGGGTCTCGCCGTTGCTGCCCTCGAGGGTGACGTAGCCGCTGTACACGGGGAGCAGCGTGGCGTTGAGGCCAGAGGGCGGCACGGCGGTGAACTGGACCTCGGCGCTGCCGCCGGCGGGGACGGTGAGGGAGTCGGCTGCAAAGGTGAGGGTGGCCCACGCGTCGACGGTCGGAGGCGGAGCGCGCGCGGCCTTGAGCTGGGCTTCGCCCGGCGCAAAGGTGTACACCGTGACGGACTTGGCGTGGCCGAGCTTGTAGGTGACCGCCTCGGTAGCCGTGTTCTTCACACTGAAGGTGTGCTCGCCGATAAAGTGGTCCGTGTCATTGAAGGAGATGCCCGTCGACCCGAGGATCGTGGTGGCGTGAGCGGCGTCCCAGGCCTGCACGAGGCCGGCGCCCTGCTGCGGGACGGGGGCGAGGATATCGTCGTAGGCGACGGTGCCGTCGTTCCAGGGTTTCGGCTGGGCTGTGGCGGCAATGACGGAGCGGAGGGTCTCTTGGTCGAGGGTGCCGCGGACCTGGCCGACGAGGGCGTAGACGGCGGCGACGAAGGGGGTGGACATGGAGGTGCCCGGGTTGACCATGTACTCGCCTTGGTCCCAGGTCCAGGTGGAGAGGATGCCGCCGCCGGGGGCGGTGAACTGGGGTTTCACGTCGAGCTCCCAGGTCGGGCCGTAGCTGGAGAAGGAGCTGGTGTAGCCGGCGGTCGGGCCGTTTGTGATGGGCTCGACGAAGAGCGCGGAGGTCTCGGGGGGTCCGATGGTGATGGTGATGTTTTCGGCGTGGGCCTTCCACTCCTGGGCCTGACGGGGCATGACCATTCCGATTCCGAGAATGCCCTTGGTGTAGACGTACGGGGAATAGATTCTACTGACCTCCTATCAGTCATTCCATTTCTTACTACTGGGTTTCCATCATGCAGGGGGCGATGAACTCACGATTCCTCGCTGAGAGGGTAAAAGAGGATGTACTGGGCGCCTCGGGCGAGGAGGTTGACGGCCTGAACATCCGGCTGGCAACCCGGGTCTATGGGCACAAAGGGAATCGCATCCGTCAAGTCAATATCTGCCGGGATGGAGTTACAAGCCGTGACGTTGGCGCCTTCAATCCACAGACGAAGAGTAACGTTGGTCGTGGTGACCGGACTGCTGTCAGTCCATCCAAAGGCAAACTCGCCCGTTTCGTTTGCAAACGATCCGCGAGTCATCAGTTTCGGCAGAACGGTATTATCAACCGAACCGATACCAGCAACAGCCTTACCAGACGCCGGAGAGGCCACAGCCCAAACACCCAAATTACCAGAGTTTCCAACCGCGACGACAACAGGGACACCCGCCTCAGCGATGCGCGAGACAGCGACACCAGCAGCATCGCCAGCCCAGCCCGAGTCATCACCCGCAGAGCACGAGATGACGTCGCTCCCTTCCTCGTAGGCGCGGTAAAAAGCCGACACCAGAATCTCGCTCGTCGTGTACCCGGCGCACCCGCTGACCTTGTACGCGCCCAGCGTGACGTCCGGCGCGGCCCCCGTGAACCCGAGCTCGTTCTCCTGCGCCATGATGATGCCCGCGACGTGCGTGCCGTGGCCCTGGCAAGTGTCGATGGGGTCCGCGTCCGGGGTCGGCGCCTCGGAGCTCTGGAAATAATTGTCCCCCGTGAAATCCCAGCCATAGGCGACGTGGCAGCCCTCGCCGAAGCAGCCTCCGAGCGCCGGGTGCCGGTAGTCCACGCCCGTATCGACAATGGCGACCTTGATTCCCTTGCCCGTGAACCCGGCCTCGCGGAGCTTGTCGACCTGCGTCATGACGTGGGTGCTGTAGGTGTCCTTGGCGGCGGTGTCGCGTCTGTCCTTGAGGGATTGCAGAAGGGCGGCGCTGGAGGCGGTCCCGTTGCGGCCAATGGAGGTTCCTTCAAGCTTGGGCATCTTGATCTTGCGGACCGGCCAGATGCCCTTGACGCTAACCTTGTTGGCGATCTTGGCGGTGATGATGTCGGACTCGCCGCCAGCGTCGTCGACGCTGAAGGAGGCGCCGTTGAAGAGGCCGAACTTGAGGTCCAGACGGGGCTTAACGGCCAGGCCGTCGGAGTGCAGCTCGTCGTAGAGCGCGGAGGGATCCTGCTCGCCGTCGAGCTCGACAATGTAGGCACCGCGAACAAAGGCATCTTCGTTCACCGCGGGTGCAGCAGCATCATCGGCGGCGGCGGTGGCGGCGGCTATGGCAACACGCGATGCGGAGGCCAGGAGCCCCAGCAGGAGGGAAGTGTTAGAGGAGAACCTCATGGTGGTGGTAGTGGCGGACGCTGGAGATGAAACGAATGGCCGGCGGTGGAGACCCAAACTCTATCATAAGAGGCGAGGGAGCACATCGTGAGCGAATTTATATAGAGCAATTCCAACTCGTAGTGTTTGGGGAAGCTGTCAATGCCGTGGAGTTGTGAAATAGGATGATGTGTGTGCGAATCTGCAAGTGACGGATGATGTGACGGGCGATGGATCATGAGTGAACACGAGAAATTGGGACCTTCCCGAATGGGCAGCGAAACTCCGAGGCCGTTGGGGTTCGTGGAAATCTCTGCCTTGCTTGCAGAGACAATTGAGTTGCTTGGTAAGTAGTTGCCAAGCCAGAAAAGATATCCTCCCTTTCGCGTTCTGTCTGCTTTTATAACTTTCATAACCGGCCGAGTAGACTGAATCAACAAGGTATTTAGAGAGTCTGGGTCAAGCTTCAGCTTCAGACTGAGTGGTAGACTATGAAGTGATGTAGACAACGCGACGAAGCCAAGCGCAATTCTGTGCCATTATTGTGATGCGACATTCACCCCCGGCCGACAGTCGAAGTTAAGGTCGTGGGGCCGCAAGTCGTATTCGAAGATCACGGTGGGCTGAGCGCACGCCGCTACGGTCTTGGAGCACGTCACAGAAACAAAGTGAGGAGACGAGCTTAAATTAATCTACACCCTGGACGTTGTTGATATGCTTCATATGTACGGAAACCGAAACGGACATCTTCCAAGTCCCCCCGCCCTAGCCGATGAAAACGGCGCCGTTGTCGGCTTTAGCTGCCGGGTGTGGCACTTTTAGACTCGCGCGCACCCTACATAAGCTTAATCGATCCATAGGGTACCTTACTTTAGGTAGGTTTTCCGAACTAGGTCTGTGTATAGCGGTATGCAGATCCTGGAGGTAGCGTGATAAATGGGTGCATCAAATGCCAGCCACATACCTACAGCACGGAACCTCGTATTCCATGAGGCAGAGATGGGAATTTCTCAAAAAGGCAAGTTGTAAGGCCTAAACAGCTCATCTGGACGATTTAGTCGGTGGAGTTTAAGCCAGTTCTCGGACTCCGAAAATAGCAAAATGCACCGGCTCTCAACTGGGTGTTGATTCTCGCATTGAGGCCGCCGTGCGATCCGTGGAACCCCAATACCAAACAGATGATGTAAAGGCAACAGGAGACTAGATCTCCAAACAGCGCAAAAGAGCGGCGGAGTTCGCCAACTTATAGCGCAAAAGAAAGAAAGAAAAAAGAAGACAAAAGAGATAGCACAACCTGGTTTCGATCCAGGGACCTCTGGGTTATGAGCCCAGCGCTCTACCCCTGAGCTATTGTGCTGACTGTACTGTGGAAATGGGGAACAGATCCACATCGACCTGCGCGAATTTGCAAAACCAAGTTGCATCATCGTGAGATTTTGTCAGAGCCGTCCATTGACCATGTCGCGATTATCACCAACTTTGACAGTTGCAAGGACAGGTCTAGGCCTCTCGTCTCTTGTGTATTTTAATTTACGAACTCAATAAATTACAATGTTTGCATTTTAACTTCAGAGAGGCCCTCGAGAACACAATATTGAAAAGACTAATGACAATTATTTACCTCGAGGCGCGAATATCAACCGAGGAGAACATGGAACTCAAGACGTCCTCCAAGAATGAAACTTTCCTGCTTTTCAAACTCAAATTTCATAATTATATCACCCATTATGAACCCCCTTGCACAGGATGCACTCAACCCATGACGGCGCCTTCTCCCAAATCACAAACACCTTCTGCCTCCCAATCCAATCCTCCTCCGTCGCGTTTTCAACATCAAACTGCCACACCAGCCTCGCCATAATCAGCTTAATCTCCGCACAGCGCTGAGTTCCTCCAAACACAGCTCCTCTACCCAACCTAGAACGGCTGCGATGCATCGCGCTGATTTCCCACAAACCGCAGCCCATTCACATCGCTACCTCCACCACCACTGCCCCCGCCGCTAGCACCATCCTTCTTGCCCGTCATCTTCATCCATCTCTCAGGTACAGAGTCCTCCAGCAGGTTCTAATTTGCGGGACGGTGAGAGAGGCAGCGTGGATGGGAACACTGACAGACGTTACCCGGACAAGAAGACACCGTCGACAGTGGCTCCGCCGGGCGGCACGATGCGGTGGTGCGGTTGTGGAGAGGGCGGGTAGACGCTGAGGGCCTCCTCGATGCAGGCGAGGAGGTACTTGCACGTGTTGACATCCGTAAAGATCAATGATCTTGTCTGGGTGAGATTCTGGGAAAAGATTGAGCGGCCATCGGTCGCGAGTTCGGCGAGGACGCGCGGGCTCTCGGTGAGGAGGAATATGATACCTAAATGTAGCGTCTGTGTGTGTTTGTGTTATTGAAGAGCTATTCACGAAGCACGTCAAGTCATTGTCAGGGGTGAGTTGACTACGTTGGCAAGCGAGCCGAAGACTTACCTGACAACACACTCGCCTAAGTCTCGCTCCCGGCCGCGATGAGGATCTGCGAGTTGCCGTCAGGCTTTTTATACGTCGTCTCGCCCGCGTTATACGCCGATATCATCTGTTGCATAAAATGAGGTACAGTTGCTTCCGTCTGGAAAATTTGCTTGACTTTTCCCTAGATGATTCCCATCGACTATCAGCACGACCAACTCACGAGACAAGAACAACCCTAGCCCGCCCCCGCCGGCCCTGATCCGTGGCCAGACCCAGGACAGCACGGAGCAGACTAACGCGTTGAAGTTGATTGGGCGTCTTCACATCCGCAGCAATATTGTTCGGCATCGTCAACAGTGTGCTGGAGAGCTGTTTCAGCTTGGGGAGGCGCGAGATGACCTAGTGGAACGGCATGAAACCCCCCCCCCCATAGCGAAGAAGATCTTGACCCGTGTCTCCAGGGTCGATGTGATCAGGCAGTCCAAGAGCTTAAAACAAATATGTAGAGTCAGTAAACGAATCCTCGTAAGAGAAAAAACGCAACAAGCGGGCAGAGTTAAACCTCCTGAGAAATCCAACAAAGTCAAAGGTAGTGAACTGTAAATCTCACCAGCTCAATCAGCGCCGCCAACTCTCCTGCTACTCCCATCGAAGCAACACCAACTTTCAGGCAAGAAAACCCCGAGTTGTATCACTCCACAACATCAATAGCCCTACCTCTTTCCCTCACCTCCCCAAGCTTCGCAAAACAACACATCAACAAACGCCTTCCACACCCCTTCCGCCACCCTCATAGCCCTCTCCAAGAACCCATGAGCAAACAACTTGCAACGATACCCATGCTGCTCCCGACCCGCGGTCGATAACCACAGCATCTTGCGGCCGCCGAGGTACGAACGAAGCATCCACCAGGGCGTCGTGGCGGCGAGGCGGAGGCCGAAGAAGAACGAGAAGGGGGTGGAAGTCAATGTTGTGGATTGCGGGGCTGGCATGGTAGAGATAGGACTTGTGTGCCGTTCCCTGTTGTTCTGGTTCGAGCTTGGTTTATAAGTAGCCATGGGAAAGAACTTGCGATGATGATGGCACATGGGATGAGGACCAGCCCGTGACAGATCGTCAAGGACCAGAAAGCGATGCAGAAGTTTGTATCTAGCGAGAGCTTTTAAAAGACTGAGAGCTCAATACAAGCCAGATGAGGAGATAGAGTGTAGAAGAAAAGGGAACACTGAAAGCCAGACTCTGAGGTGGTGTTCCCTACAGATATTAGTTCCTTTTCGAAGTACAAGTCGTACAGCATCCATCCCATGGGCGCAGGAGCCACGAGCTCACCGTCTATCAAGTTATGTAGGCTTGTGCACGCGCGAGATATGCACTAGTCACGCATCCCTGACCTCGAACCAATGATGCCGTGAGAATTCGTTCCATCTAAGAGGAAAATGCACAAGGCTTATGCTTTGCAATGGGAATTTGCATCGCCTCATCTCCCGGTTACGGGGGACCGAGCTTCTCAAACACCCCGAAGCCTCTGGTGATGATTCTCAACGCCTCAGTATCTCTCAAGCTGATCAATCAAACTATAAAAACAACGTGCAGCCCTCAAGCAAGTCCAGCGTCCTGACCTCATCTCCGTAAAATCACATCAAACCTAATCAACAGCTCACAATCTCAACAACAACAGAGTTCAGACGGGGTGCTCTCGTCCCCCAGTTCAACCCATGGCCAGTCGAGATAGGACAAACTCTGCACTCTGCACTCTGCAAGACAAATGTACTGACACAGAGTTCAACACCACCGCATCAATCACCACCCGCAACCCAAATCACGAAATCAAAGCACGCCCGGCATGGGACGCATGGGACCAACGCCATCTTCATACAAAACACACCCCCGACATCGTCCCTCGCAGTCCCATCCCCACCACATCGTCCCAGTCCCCCAACCCTCCGTATCGACATCATAGATAGGTTAGTCACAATCATCTTCGCAACCCCCCTTCGTAGAGAACTTTCCATCAGCATCAAATCACAACAAATAAACCACCCTCAAAAACTTCCAATCTTTGAAACCAGCGCCCAGCTCCAGCCTTGGATGTCTCCTCCAAAAATGAGATAAGCCGGGCTCCAAGCGCAATTCCTCCCAAAACCCCTCCCCTCCACAGGTCCCCCGCCCGTCTTCCGCCCTCCGTGAAACAAAGAGGCGCATCTCTCGTACTCAACCACAACTTTCTCGCCTCATCGTCAAGACACTCTTGCCCGACTCGCCGCAAGGGCTAGCTTGGTATTCAACGTCCTGACCTGACCTCCGTCTCGGGACAGCGACTATGTACCCAGGTTACCGACTCCAGACAAAGCATCAACATGATATCGCAAGATCTGACCCAGATATTGAAAGTGATTCGTGCTGTACGGATTTATTCACGGGCTACAAGTCTAAAGATCTAGCCTTCATCTCATACAAGTCCTCATCAAAGGGCTACGCGAGACAATATCCCCATCCCGCCAGCGAAACTCTTCACAAAATCACGCTCAACGCATCGCTCAAGTAGCATTCTTGTCCCTCCTCATATTCACACCATGTGAATTCGCAAGATCCCTTGCATCTATTTGCACTCCGCTGTAATAATCCCTTGTGTGATGTTGGCCTGACCAAGCGGGACCAATCGAGACCAAGCGCAACAGCAAAAAACCCCGCTACGTCGTTGGGTATCCTATATCATCGCAGTCGCATCGACCGCACAAATCCCATCATATTCCGCCGCATGAAAAAGAGAGAATTACAAAAGAAAACATCCGATTTCCGAGAAAAAGCTCAACTTAGGCAATGTTACTCTTGGCCCTGCGAATCTCCTTGCCCTTGTCGGACCACGGGAGGTGGAAAACAGGGACCTGGAAGAAGGAGTTGCTGCAAAACATTCAAGTATTAGCAAATGGAATCCACATCCCGCGCTTCATTCTTCAATGACATAGCGCAGCGGAAAGGGGTGGGGGGAAGGATGGGAATGGCGACGAAGGTCCGGCCAAGACCTCAGCCGATCGTCGGGCAGGGGGCAGGGCTATGCAAGACTCACCTATCGTCCTGAAGACCTGCCAAAGCACAATACCACGCCAAAAACGCGGCAAGCATACCAAAAGTACCACCGCAAATCTGCAGGTTACGCGATGCCGTCATTGCGCCGTTGTTGGCGGCGTAGTTCTCGCAGGCGAGGAAGAGGAAGGCCAGGTCGAGGGTAAAGAAGAGGGAGAAGAAGACCACCGTCGAGCGCAGGGTGCAGAGAAGCAGCAACGTCGTGAAGATGAACCAGCCCGTCAGGAAGAAGCCGACGGCTGAGTAGTGGTCCGAATAGTGTGCGGCGTAGGGACCGTTCGTGGCGATGATGCCCCAGTTAGGGGTCAGGAGAATGCCGTACGCGATCCAGAAGCCGCCGTAGGATGAGAGAGCAGTGGCGCCAAAAGTGTTGCCAACGGCCATCTCCCTGCACACGAGTAAACCGTTAGCATTGGCGCGGATGAAGGATGCCGTGATGACAGCATTCTGATGCTCGTATTACAATAAGCTTCTCCACACATTCCCCTGGCCCAGGACGCAGGCAAGCATCCTAAGGACCGGCCGTCCCCTCGTCTCCCCCATGCTCGTGACTAGCTCGAGGTCCACTCCGGAGCAAAGGAGCGCGTCCAAGCCCCACACAGACACACCGGAGCTTCCGCTTGCGGGGGACATCGTGGAGACAGCTGAGATGAAATGTTGGGGAAGTTTTGGGGACCCTGACACGGACAACAAAAAGAAAAAGAAAAGACGGGGAAGAAAAAACCAGAGCAGGGGAAGTTGGGACATACCACATGCCAGCGAGAAGCTGGACGAGACCACCGTATCCAAAGGCGAGGGGGACGGCAATGTTGGGCGCGGTTACGCCGCGAGCGTGCAGATTCACGCAGGATAGGACGAAAGTTGTGAGGGCAAAGGCTGAGAGACCGAGGGGCGCCGGGTTGGCGAACTTTCTGTGCTCGTACGGCTTCCACACGCCTGGTTGGAGCGAACCGCCGAATGCCTGCGCTTCTCCTTCAGTCATGTTCCGGTAGTCGGCAACGCGGGAGAAAGGCCCGGCTTGTCGTGAGTATGTGTTTTGGCCTACATGAGCACCATTGGTGGTACCATTGTAGTGGTCGGCACCAGAGGTATGCACATCCTTCTCCACGTCCTGTGAAGGTATGGCGTCGTGATGATCCTCGTGTGTGGCCATTGTGTGTGGTCTTCCGGGTGTAAGGGACAAAAGGGTAAGGATATAACCAAGAGAGTAAATAGTACACTGATATTGGGGGGTAGCTTGTAGCTAGATTAGGCAAACACCAAGGAAGACGGCACACAGGATTGATGGAAGAAAAGCTCTTCGGCGACACGGAGGAAGGGGTGGGGAGGAGTCTTTAAGTAATGGGGGAGAACGGGGTTCGAGGCAGGAAACGATCAAGCCAGGGCAAATGGAGGCCGGGGTCGAGGGTCAGCGCAAAATGCAGATAGCTGATGGGCCGGTAGCTTTGCAAACGTGTGTGAACGTCTGGGGTATGTACTGATACGTGGGCCCGACTGGCGCGGAGAACTGGAGATGGATGAGGAGGATGAGGAGAAGCAGTGTGGAGGAGAAGCGAGGAGGCGTCGTCTGCAGGATGAAGAGGGAGTGGGTCGAGTAAGATCGCGTAGTTTGTAGACTAAGAGGGTGTGAGGGAGAGAGACGAGCCGTTTGCTTCCAAGGCCGATCTTTAAAGACCAGAGAAGCATGAGCCGGGGGGACCAAATGGGCATGGGATCCAACGGAGGGCTCCATAATAATAGATTCATTATTTTAATATCCGTATTTTAGGTTGCGATGTCTGGTGGTGGTGGAGTGACCACTGACACGGCGTCGGAGCCCGCCATGCAAAGGGGACATCTGCTGGAAATGACAGGGAAGGGAATTCTCAGTGGCGTGAATAAAGCCCCCCCCTCGTGAATGTTGGCTGGTAAAGTTATTCCATCGCCGTGTCTGTGGCAGCAGCATCCCAGCCAGTCCAAAGATAACATCTTCAGATAACATCTTCAGATAACATCTTCAGATAACATCTTCAGATCAAATGGAGACGGGTTCCCCCCTTGAAATGGCGCAGCAGTGTGTGTGCAGCCCCTGTGAGGGAAGAAGCTCTGTCCCATCACAAAGTTCGGCATGTCGTTGCTTGCGACATCCCGGTCATCCGGCCCTTGATGCAGGTAGCGGGGTTGAGGGGACGAGCGAGTAGCTGGTTGAACTCGAGCTTGCCCAACTCTAGTGTTCGATGGTGGGGAGAACGAGGTGAGAAATGAGTTTCGCCGTCCTCAGAATCCGAGACATCTTGGAACGGCTATCCTTTCGTCCATCGCCGTGGGATTGAGTCACTGTCGAATTCCATTGATTGGGGTGGGCACGAACATTGTACCGACTGAGCATAGCCAGACAGCAGGCGAGATCCGAAAGCCAATGGAGCAGGACGACTCCGTCTCTGGCCGCCTGGGAAATCAGTCCACGAGCTGATATCTCTCCCACCTTTTCCGTCACCAGAAAAATTCTCCAATTTTTTAGGCTTGGCTGCTCTGTCGCCGTCCGCAACTAGCAAGTAGCGGGGGTGATGGGAACGCAAATCATTATTGCATAAAAGCGGCCTCTGCCATGCTCTTGCCGAACAACGCCTACATAGTAGGGACTCAAGCAGCGTCTGACGGTTGTCAATGGGACGGGGGGTAAGGGCAATGGCTAGAATGCCATAAGGACCAAAGTCTCGTCCGTATCGTTGCCAAAGAAGCCGCGGGTCGCGTCTATAGACGGTCGGTTCTTAGTATGTTGCATTGTCCATACTCTACTACGTGCTGTGCAGCCCGACCACGTCGAGGTAGAGGTGATGCGTGGGATTTCTGCGGTGTGCTGCGTAGGTGGCCAGCCAAGACCAGGTTGAGCCCCAAGCTGCAGGAGGGTGTGGTGATAACACCCACCTGATGTAACTGTTGCTGCAGCGGAAATAAGAGTTGGTCCGCCGTCTGAACGCTTTCGGACTGGCGTTCTGTTCTGCCCTGACGCCCGGCCTTGCATCAATTCGGTCCAGATTGTTCCCTCCTTGGGGCCGCGCTCTTATTGGGCGACACAGCGGACGGCAAAAGGTTGTAGCTATGATGTAGCAGCGCATCGATATTGCCATGTGTCATGGAAAGGCTCGCACCAAAAGGCCCCAGGGGAGCAAGGGTAGTAGCACTTCGGCGATGCTTGATGGAAAAAACCATCATTGCGACAGGGGCTGGCAAATTACCGCCACGGCTCTTCCCCGTCTTGGCTGCGGCTCGTGGGCGGGCAGACTGGCCTGGTTGGTGATGCGGCTGCTGCTGCTAGGCTTCTCGAGAGCGTCAAAGAGATGTATCTTGGTTTACGCCAGGAGAGTCTGTGAGGTGGACCAGCTATGACGGTCCAGTCAATGGCAAATGTCGTCGAGATTGAAGGGTTTCCACTCCTCCAGTTTGTAGGTTGTACGGTGGGAACACAGCACCGCCGTTTCGGGCCTGCATAGCATCGCGCGTTTCAACCAACCCAGCTCTTTGGGCGAGATCTTTCTGTCTCTTGCCGACCTTTGCCACGATACATCTGTCATCTGGCCACATTTGGTCGCCTGTGTCTATCCAATTCATCCGTACCCCGGAGATGGGGTTGCGGGGAATCTGGGGGCGGGTTGGCAATAACCCAAGCTATTCGAGGACCGCCAAGCCCCGTTGGCTCCGGCTTCAGACTTCGTAATGTCAACGCGGATAGAAGATGTTCAAGAGTTCAGTGAATTATGCTCCAGGCACCAAGGCCATTTCTTCGTTTCTGGGTACTGTAAGAAACATTTTTAGATAAGTTTGAGTAAGGTTCTGTATCGGATTGCCCTCTCCTCGGCGTCTTCGTCCCATCCCGTCGACCGCACTGTGAAAGCCAGCGTGGGAGCCAAGTGTATCCTAGGCGTCACCATGACCATGCCGAATTCGGCTGGCCTTTTGTTGATCGACCCCAATACTGGCTTCCCTCAGAGGCGCGCAATCGAGGGGCACATGGCGCCAGGCTGCGGGGAAAGCTTGGGTAATTCCTGCACACCCTTTGTCGTCCACTCGATACCGGGAGAATCCAAATCTACTGCTCCCTCCCTTGTATGTATGCATCTACCGGGTCGGAATACACAACTTCTAGTGCTGATGGTCCGATGATGGCACAAGGCGCCGGACGAACCGCGACGACCATTGTTCGAGCTCCCGCTCTAGGCTTCGGGATGTCCCCCTGTCGTGGATACCCATCAGTTCGTGTTGGCTCCCAATGGCTTTTTCCCCAGACCTGGTGGCTTCTAGTCTATTTCCCCAGACTGCGCCGGCCTCGTGCGTAGCCCGACGCTTCCTAAGAATTTGAAAACAAGCCACGACGTGCGATTTCTTGCTTCCGCGCGGGTCTTCTGGCATCCTTTGGTCCGGAACGTGAGCAGCCTTGGTTGTCTCTCGGCTTCCAAGCTCCTGTCCTGCACTGTACTTGTTACCTCGATACTTTGGAGTCTGCCAGATGATGAAACGAAGCAGCTGCTCCAAATGCGACCTCGAAAGTTCCGGTCTATTAAGTGGCAATCGTGAATCCTTGGTCCTTCGAAGTATCGCATATCTTCGCTCCGAATCGGCGCCGACAAAGTAGAGCGAGGACATGGCAAGATGCTACCGTGCAAGTCACCTGGTATGACGAACGCCGCGCCTGTCGGAGCCCTGCCATGCAACCCTTGACGTGGGATGCTTTTCCGACTCTGGCAGCGGCAACACAACAGCAAAACGCACATCACTGCCCCTTCCTACTGCCGGCTTCATGGGATCATCAGTCCATCAACAATGTGTCACCTGGACAGATGCGTATTGGCTCTCGGTCCCAGCTGGCAAGTTCGACGACGGCATTGTGCATCCCGAGCAACTACGCTCTGGGGTCGCGTGTTGATAACAGCAGCTAGTTGTCGCTAGCGAACGACGGACTGTGTCAATCGCAGAGATCCCGAGTAGTCGGCGGGAAGGAAGGCGACAGACGCCACGGAATTGACACCCCCAAAGCGGAATTATGAATAGCGCTCATGGATTCCAAATGCTGAACAGATGGCGTTGTCGAATATGTTGCGTGAGCCAAATATGCAATTAAACGCTCAACTTCCCAGATGACTTTGCCTGTGTTCCACCGGATAGTCTGCCAAAAGGTCGCGCAGAAGCCCCCGCCATTGTCCTCGACCCGGCCCCGTGCCGCGGTCTGGACGAACGGCTCTGCCAGGCGGCAGGCAACAACAGACTGGTGAGAACTCAAATCCTCTCGCCTTTGTCCGGTCCCTCGCCTTTGACACCATGGCCTGACCAAGCCCTCGTTCAACGGTATCCGCGGATCGATTCTCGATGCCCAGCCCCTTGGTCCGCAATGCCAATGATTGAGGCTCGAGCGAAAGCCGAAGGGGTCAGAAGACACAGCAAACTATTCGACCTACCAAGGAGGCAAGAAGCCAACGACGGTCATCGATTCCGCCTCTCGCAACCCCTCTATGCGTGGCCAAGGCCGCTCTCGCAGCGGAGCTACCCAGAACCTGTGTTGGAATTACCGCAAAGACGCCCCTGGAAGACCAATGGTTGGTTGACTGTCGGTGGTGTGATGCCAAGAATCACAGGGCTCCGTCAGCACGTCGTCCAGGGCCCTGTCCGACAGCAGCCGCCCGCAGCGTGGCGTCCCAGGGTCGTGCCTCTGGCGCAGAGCCTGGGTTGCCCACTTCCAGAAGAGAGCTAAGAGGGCTGCTAAGCAACTTCCATTTCTCCGAACTGCCTCCTCCTTGGACGAGAATCGTTCCACTTCGTGACGGCGTTGAGAGGTGGATTCCCAACCTTTTTGCTGCTGTTGAGAACCCCTTGTGCAGTCGTGCATTGGAAAGAAATCCTTTTTTGTCAATCGACAAGTCTGAAGCCGAGCCGAAGAAGATGAGAGGGCAGGTTGGAATTTGCCATCTGGGGTCCTTTTCCATCAACCGGGTCGTCCAAACATAGACTGTGAAGATGAGTGAAGCGTAGCCAAATATGGTAGAGAAAACTGCCAGGTCTCCTCATCTGCGCACCCTCCCCCAAAACTAGCATAGTTCTGGGTGTCGTGGTGTCCTAGACTTTCAACCAGTTGCATTTAGCCGTGATTGCCTGCATGCCTAGGACAGGAAGCCGATGCCAAGAAGGGAGGCGCAAACGATCACCTCCGGATAACTCGGCAGCACCCAATGTTCACGCTATCCATGCATGCCCGTGGCATCTCGACGACAAGCCTTGATAGTTTGGTAGGCGGCAGGATGGTCGAAGGGGGATGGTTGACATTCCTTTTGGGAGGCTTCTGCGAATGCAACCCTCGTGTCTCCAATTGACTCCCCGGCGAGGCGTCTGCCGTTTCTTCGTGCCGCCCCAGCAAAATAGAGATGCTGGAAGCTATGCCTCCGGCCCAGGTCGAAGCTAATGCAGCGTCTGCTCAGGGGAAGGAAGTTATTCTGGTCTGGCATCGACTCACCTCGATTGACAGCTAATAAAAAGTCGGCCACATTTGCTGCGCTTCATGGTTCAATCGCTTGTAAGAGGACATTTGATATCAGGCGCTGCAGGCAGCCCCCAGTCTGCGCCTGTTGATGAACGGGAAAATTGAATGGGAGATTGTTTAGCAACCATTTTCACCGGTCGGAGGAGGCCCACCAAACGTCGCCAGCAAGGCATCCCTAGCTTCGTCTCCCATGTATTTTGAGTGAATGCGACACCCCTCCCACGTAAGGTCGGGAATTTCCCCTCATGCGGAGGCGATTTAAACGTCTGCAGAGAGCAAAACGAACGTCGCGAGATAAACCATCAACTTCAAAAATCATCGAGTGTAGAAGATCAGAGAGACGTCAAGGACAGGATTCGAACCTGCGCGACCGAAGCCACTGCCTAAGCTGACATCAGTGACTCTGATAGCAGGGCAGCCCATTAACCACTCTGGCACCTTGACTGATATTGGATGACGGGCAGAGGCATGCGACGAACCAAGTGCTGCAGCAGTGAAGCGTGGAGATTGGCTGGCTATCTGTCAACACGACAGGGGCTTGAATCCTCCATGTTGCATAATTCACTGCCGGTGGGTGGACAGCGAGTAGGTAGCTCATGAGAAGCTGAGCCTTCCAGTCCCAATACCCTCGCATGCAATGTTCCCACTAGGAGGTCTGACAATGTCCATGCGGTTGCCAAAGCCTGTGGTCCATGGATGGTTTGCGAAACCGAGTCAAGTGGACGGCGAATGCCCTCGGTCGCAATGGGCCTCGAGGCGTTCACATACGCACTCCCACCACGGCGGTCTCCAGTGTGAAGGAGGCCGAGTCAAAGTGAGGTTTTGCTAATCGATGTAGGCTGGACCGGAAGGTTTCTTGCTAACAGGCGGCCCAGTATGATAAAGAAAAGCCAGTATGCAGCTGCTGCCGCAACAGGGGCCGTGGATCCGCATATAGACATTTGCTGGGATCGCATGATGCATCACCGAATCATCAGGAATGTTGTCGTTTGCTACAAAAAGGCCCCCCGGATGAGAGCGGGCAAGTCGGGAGTAGTGTCTGTCGGATGGGTTACCCTTCGATTTTGGAGAAACTGAATTGACTCGGCTCGGACCTGGCAGTCGAGTTTCTGCTTGGCCATTACATCGTCTTTGGGCGGTGTCCCGCGCCGGCCCGCCCGGCAAGTTCGGGGCCCTGTCAGTGCATCAGCAAGCGATCGCCCGACACATGATGGCGCAGCGGTTCGTGTACCCAGCTGTCCTTACCTTTGCTGCACACATCTCGCATCCGGGGAGCTGTCAACGGGCTCTCTGTTGACGAGATTCGGAATGCCTGTGTCAAAATATTTGATAGCCACCCTTGACCACAAGGCGTCGACCCTGTAATCGTTTCGTCCCGCGCTCGCAGGGACCTTGACGGCTTCGACTTGTGAAGCTGCGCTGGCAGCTGCGGGGCTCCTGGCCGCTTACTCCTTCGCACTTCCGCTAGCAGATCCCTCCATTTATACTCAAGACCATGTGGAATAAGTGGTGCAAACTGCTCGACTGCTCCAAGGTGAAGCGTCACTTTTCCGCTTGAGATGGATGGGTCTGGACGACGGAGCAGAGTGGGCATCGTGGTACATCCGGCAGCCGGTCGTCAGCTATGGCGTTGATGAATGAGTGGCCGTGGCCGTGGCCAGATGCGGAAGACTAGATGATGAGCATTACATGTGAAATTTAAAACCTTGGCGAACGTGAAGCCTGAAAAAGAGCATTGGCATGAAGTGCAATGCTGGAGGGCAATGATGTACTTGGAAGATTGCGAGGTCGTCGTGACGTGGGGAAGTGGGCAATCAGACGGCACCAACAAGGTGGGAAACGGACGTTAGAAGCAGTGGAGGGAACCTGGAAGAAGATTGGAAGGAACCACATTCACATGGCTCCAGAATGTCCCTGCCATTTTTGTGTTTCGCGCCTGCTGAAAGGAAGGAAGGGCAGCCGGAAAGGGAAAGAAGGAGGCACCAGAATGAAGGCGCTGACCGACATTCACCGAGAACCCCTCCGCCATCAAGGTGTCCCGACCCGTTTTCACCGAGGCCCACGTCAAGACACCGAATCTGGCCACCTTCTCTGCCGACGACATCGTACGACTCAGAATCGCCTGACGTGTCACCGATTGAATTACCCACAGAACTCCGAAGACATGGCTGGCACGCATCACTATATAGTCGCCATCTCACTCACGAGACCACCGGTACCTGTCTCCCATTGAACATGCAATGTTCATCCGTCCGATCCGCCGCTACATCATCGCTCTCGTCTTCGGCATCTTCGCAGCTGTCCTGGGCATGCTATACCACCGTCCCATCACCAACGCACTAAACTTCATCTCTCACACTGTACGATACTCATCATCCGCGCCCATGACGCAGTCAGCCCGCAGACCCGTCATCGTCGTCGGCTCCGGCCTGGCCGGCTTGTCGGCGGCAAAGGAGGCGCTCAAGGCCGGTGCATCGGTGCGGATGCTCGACCGCGCGCCGAAGCCCGGCGGAAATAGCATCAAGGCGTCGTCCGGCATCAACGGCGCAGGCACCCGGTTCCAAAAGGCGGCTGGCGTGGACCAGGACCATCTCTTTTACGACGATACCGTCCGCTCCGGCGGCAAGCGCTTTGCTCAGGGCAAGGGCGTGGTCCAGCGCCCGAAGCTTGTCCAGCTCTTGACCGAGAGCTCTGCGGACGCTGTCAACTGGCTTGTTGATGAGGTTGGTGTTGATTTGAGCGTCGTTGCCCCCCTCGGCGGACACTCGCTTGCTCGAACCCACCGTGGGGCCGGCAAGACCCCGCCGGGGGCAGCCATCGTGACGACGCTGCTCAAGAAGCTTGGGGAGAACCCCGAATTCCAACTCACGAATTCCGCCGAGGTCACATCACTCAGTGTCGCCGACGGCGTCGTCAAGGGCGTTCATTATGTGCAAGACGGCAAGCAGCACGACCTCGAAGGCGCTGTCGTGTTTGCCGTCGGTGGATTTGCTGGTGACGCCAATGGACTCCTCGCCAAGTACCGCCCAGACCTGGCCGGCATTCCATCAACAAATGATGCGCGGCCGGCATCTCATGGCATATTGGAAGCAGTTGGAGCAGAGTTTGTCGATATGGACAGCGTCCAGGTGCACCCGACAGGGTTCGTCGACCCCAAAGACCCAGAGGTCCGGTACAAGATCCTCGCTGCCGAAATGCTGCGCGGTGAGGGTGGCATCTTGTTGTCAGACAAGGGCGAGAGGTTTGTGAACGAGATGGAGACGAGAGAACACGTCAGCAAAGCCATTATGGATCTCCCGCCAAAGGAGAACGGCGATGTCAAGCAGTGGGACATCACCTTACTCATGGACCCGGGCGCGATTGAGGTGTCTGAGGGTCATTTGGGCTTCTACCTGTGGAAGGGTCTCATGGTGAAGAAGAAGGTCTTGGACCTAAGCCCGGCCCTCATCAGCGCCGTCGACGAGTACGCGGCAGCCGTTGCATCGGGCACCGACGCGGCTTTTGGAAGGCGGACCTTTGGCCGATGGCGGCTTCCGGCGGGCGAGGCCAACCGCGAAGAAGAAGTATGCGTGGGCCGCGTCACACCCATCACCCACTTTACGATGGGCGGCGCCTCTTTCAACGAGAACGCCCAGGTGCTGAGGGAGGATAAGACTGTTATCGATGGTCTGTGGGCTGCCGGAGAAATCACAGGTGGTATCCATGGTGACAATCGCCTGGGGGGTTCATCATTACTTGAATGCGTTGTTTATGGAAGAATAGCAGGGCAACAGGCCGCCAAGGCCGCGACAGGTTCATGATGCCATGGTCCATCTTTCACGATATAAGAGTCTAGATATAAAAGAATCAAGCCAGGAAATCTTTTTGAAAGTCATCAACTTCGACAGACGCAATTGGGCGGCTCACAGACTCGACGACTCATTCGCTTGGAGGCCAAAACCAGGTAAGTAGAAAGCGGTCGATAGACGTCAGCCAGGGGTCGTCAAACGAGAAACGAAGATCGTCTGTAAAGATTCAAAGAGAAATCTAATTAATCTACATTATAGAATGTCATAGGCTGGACCCTTCCCGAGAACCCAAGCCGTGTCGTCGTCATATTCGCCAGACCAACATTTCTCAAGGCGAGTCCACCATATACCATCAAAGACTCTGCGCCAAATCTAAAAAAACCGTCCATCCTGCCCTACCAGATACTCTTCATTCACCTACACGCGAAGAGCAACCTTCTTGTTCAGGTGTCTGCCAACCACGGAACCGTCCGTGGCCTTGGCCGTGCCGTTCCCAGCAAAGCCGTTGTGAGCGAGCTTGTTGACGGTCTGGCGGGGGACCTCGCCGATAACACCGTCAAGCGCCGTCTCGGCAATGTAGCTGCACAGCGCAACAGGTTCCGAGGGCGCCGAGCCGAGACCGAGGAGGTAGGCAGCGAGGCCGGCGATGTGAGGGCTAGCCATGGACGTGCCAGAGATTGTGTTCTACTCATTCACGCGTCAGTCTTCCAACCTCTCCACAAAGTCATTCAAAAATGCGGGGAAGCAGCATGTAAAGGGGGGCAAACGTACAGTCCTGCCACCGGGCCAGGTGCTCTTAATGCTCGTACCAGGCGCCAGGATATCAACAACGGTCCCAAAGTTGGAGTACTCGGCCAACGCGTCACTACTCGTCGTAGCGCCGACGGTACACACGCTCTTCTCGCTCGCGGGCGACGAAGTAGACGCGTCCGCCGCCTCGTTGCCCGCCGCGACGGCCAGGAAGTGGCCCGCCTGCACAATGGCCGCGGCGGCCTGGTTCACGGCCGTCGAGGTCTGCCCGCCGAGCGACATGTTGACGACGACGCCCTTGGCGCAGCCTGACTGGCCGGCGGCGTCGGTTGTGACAAAGTTCATGCCCGCGATGACGCCCGAGTTGGTGCCCTCGCCGTTGGCGTCGAGGACCTTGACGGCGAAGAGCTTGGTCTTTTTGGCGACGCCGTAGGTTGCGGAGCCGACGGTGCCGGCGACATGGGTGCCGTGGCCCTGGCCATCTGTGTCCGAGTTGTCGGCGTAGTTTGCGAGGAAGGTGGCGCGGCCTTCAAAGTCCTACGGGGGGCCCAGGGGAGCTGAAATCAGCTTTTCAAAAGAACTGGAAAGTGTCTTGGGGTCGCAAGGGGTTGGAGGACTAGACTTACAGGGTGGTCAATGTCGATGCCAGTATCGACAATGTACGCACAAGTGCCCTCTCCGGCGCTCTCATCGTAGCTATACGTGGTCGAACCGGGCTGTGTGTTCGAGAGCCTCGCGATACCCCACGGCGCGTTCCTCTGCGTAGCCTTGATGGTCACGATGGCGTCCTGCTCGATGAAGTCGACGTCCGGGTCGTTCTGCAAGTTCTCGAGCTCCGTCGCGTTCAGCGTGGACGCGAAGCCGCGTAGAAGGGCGGTACTGCCGCTGTCGGGGCCGGCAAAGTTGTAGATGTGGTCGGCGTCGGCCGAGAAGGTCTTCATGACGGTCTGCAGCGCGCCCGTCTTGGCCTCGTTCTTGAGGCGGACAATGTACTTGTCCGCCACGAGGGTGGCGCCTCGCGGCTTGATGAGGGGGGCGGGCTGCGCGCGTCTTGAGGGGGCGGCGACGGCTGCGAGGGGGAGGAGGGCGAGGATCGTTGCGGCGTGCATCATGAGGATGTCTTTATATGCAAGTGGGGTACAGTGAAGAGCGAGTGACTTGTGAAGAGAGAGAGAGCGGGCGGTGTCTTAACGAGTGACTGATATCGTGAACGGTTGAGAAGCCTGGTTGAGTCTTGACGGTGATGCTTGATGAACACGACATTCAAAGTGCAGCAGACCGGCCGTTCTTATACCATTCTTTTCCCCCCGTCTGCGTGACGCATGAACTGTGATCCAAAACACTGCTGTAAGGTTATCTGAGCTGTTTACGAACCGTTCTTTTTTCCCTTTTGCTGTGACCATATCGGGTGCCATCTGTTCTTCCAAGTTGGGCAGGTGGGCAGATCGCAGTCGATGACAGCTCGAAGCCCAGCGAGGCCGCACCCATGACCCGACGCTCTCGTTGGAAGAGACGCATCGTGGGTCCCCCTGGAGCGGTTTGAATTAAAGGAACCCACGGTGAGAAGTGCCGGGGACCAACCAGGAGGCCGAAAGGAGCCTCAAGTCGAGACGCACCAAGTTCACCGCCGGGCCAAGCAGGGTGAAGCGGGAGCCACCACGCAAAGGCCAGAGACCGGACCAACAGGGCTGGCAAGCTGGTCGCCGCGATGCGTTGGTATGCGTATGCGTTGGTTCCATGTCGTGTTGAGCGGACATGGGTGTCGGATGTCGATCCCCCCCTCCCCCTCTGCCCAGAAACATCATCTGCAGATTGCAGACTTGCACCTCCTCGACACGGCAGTGGCTTTGCGGATCAGGCGAGGAAGCCAAGAAGCTAGACCCCCCCTGCTCTGTCGTCGAGAACGAATCCGAGGGGCAAGTTCAACGGGGGAGGCAACGACGAGCCAGCGTTTTATCAGGTCATGGAGAGAGAGAGAGGCATTGCTGCTACTGCGGCCTTCTCTCCTTGATCTCGCAGCATGCCGTGGTCCAATGGGTGGACGATTGGGTTATATCGACTCAGAATTAAGCATGGGCTGGCGGGTCCCATGAACCAGGGGGGGGACGAACCAATCCCGACCGGGAATAGCGAATAGCTTCAATGACTGACCTCTGTCCTCAAGAGGCGGTTTTCAGGGGTCCTGTGCGCTCTGATTCGCTCCGCGCCAGACGCCGCCGAGAAACGAACCGACCTGCGGATCATCGTGTCTCATTTCTTTGTGTAGCCAACCAATGTTTGCTTCTGTCGCCAAAAGATGGTGCGGTTAACGGGGTCGTGCGGGTTAAAGTCTGCCGCGGGAAAAAGAAGCATACTTGAGGGAAGTTTCATCGGGCGGTAGGGACCGGGTTGCGACCGGATGCTGGTACGACGGCTGGGATTTGTTGACGTTGACAGGGTGGTGATTTGCGCATCTTGGTCGACCCGTCGACGTGCTGTCTTATTGCGAATCTTCCATCATGGTACAGGTCTCCTCATCAGATGGTGAACGGACTCTAATAAATCCCCGCGAGCCATGGATTGATAGCCCGTGGAAATTGGGTCGCAGCCAATTGCATCGCGAAACTTGCAGGTGTTTCTTGATGAGATACTTGATGGTCATCTGCCAAGAGGGACAATGTCGCACTTCTGCATCGTGTGATCCCTCCTGGCAAAAGGACTTTTGCTGCGACGGGGATCTAGGCAAAAGTTGGAAAATCCGTTCGATATGAGCTCCATGCCATCATTGGCTTTGGGCAAACGCAGGTTCAATTATATGGATTTCTCCGTGCAGGCTTAACCCACAAGTCGCGATAATACGAGACGGCCGGCCGCTGATTCGGAGTTGCACGTACATTTACGAGGTACGATGTGGGTGGCCGTGATGCCCCGGGGGCCCGGAGCCGCCGATGACTTGCCTCGTAGTCGATCTATCACAACCCAGATAGATTCATGTGAGACAAGATCAGGGGCCAAAGCGAATCGAGCGAAGTGATGCTCACTTCATCATGACGCCGCTGTTCTCCCGAGAAGAATTTGAGGTGCTTCAGGGAAGTACCGTTCACCTTCTTCGCAACCCGCAGTTTTTAGACTCACCTAGGCCACACATAACTCACATTCGCATGCGCAGAGCTAGAGATTTCCCAGGAACATTTTTATTTTTATCCTAGCAAAACGACTGACCGTGGTTCATCTGAAATGACAGACAGGTCCTGGGGTAGAAAGGCGCGTGGGTAGAACTGAGTGATCCGCATCGGAAACATCACCCACGCTTCCGCCAGCACATAACTTCAGGCCTTGACCGCAGGCTGAAGCTTCAAACGGCGGAAACCACCACGGCAAGAGACCTCATTCTGAAGCTCGACCATCCTCTTCTGGTCACCCGTAGGGTCCGCAGAGTCCTCATCAAGAGTCCACTCGAGGAACTCATTGGTGTAGTTGGGCTTGAAGATCTCGTCCAAGACACCCAGCCTCTTGCCATACTTGGTGACCTTGGTCCAGTCGCGCTCGACATTCTTTAAATCGTGCGAGAAGTAGGCAAAGCTCCGCTCAAAAATCTTGCGGTTCAAGTCAGAGCCCATGACGGGCTTGAAGTCGACATACTCCTTCCACGCCTGCTCCGGCGCCTCCAGCACGAAATCCGTCGCCTTCTTGACGGCCCTCATAAACTTGCGCACCTTGTCCGGGTTCTCGGCGATGAAGGACTCGTTGCCAATGTACAAGATGGTGCAGAAGCAGCAGCAGCCCAACTCGGCGAGCTCGTCGATGCGGAGCATCTGCACGTCCGTCTTGGGGCGGCCCTGGGCGGCGAGCCACTCCTCGAGCTCGACCATCTGGACGTTTTCCAGGCCGATGCCGGCGTCAATGGTGCCCTCGATGATGGCCTTGGTGACGTTCATGCCGCAGCGCACGGCCGTGTACTCGTCCGGCGTCATGCCGTAGTGCGAGGTCAGCTCGTCAATCTGGATCTTGCCGAATTCGCCGACGTAGCCGATGCGCTTGTTCTTGAGGGAGCGGAAGTCGGTGGTGATGCCCGAGTCTTTGAGGTAGACGACGCCCGTGAAGGGCTCGTCGAGGAGGCTGCCGATGGAGAGGACGGGGAAGTCGCGAGCCTTGGCCTGGAGATGGGGGTCAGTTCGGTGCCAGGTCGAGCCAGATAAAGGTTGAGCCTACGGCGAGAGTGTGAATCATGGCCTTGAAGCCGAGGTCGACTTTGCCGGTGCCGATGATCTCGGTAACATCCTGTGGTGGGGTCAGCGAGCACTTTACAAATGCTCGGTTGGAAGGTCCATACGCTAGGGTCGTTGGGCTCGAGAAGAGCGACCTTGATGCCTTCATCTTTGAAGTATCCCTTGGCCTGAGCCAGGTACAGCGGAGCGTGGTAAGGCGTAGCATGCCTGACGACTTCGTCAACTCACATTCGTAACAGTCATCACGCGCGGGGCAATCCTAACCAGTTGGTGAGGAAGGTGATCTTGTCAGTCGACATTTTGACAGATCAAGCGTGATGCTGCACGGGTTAGTACACTCAAATCCTCAGTCACCCATGCATGGGGAGGTGGGGGTTTGCCAAAGAAGCATGTCCTTTCGCTGGTATTATCCAGATCAAGTTCACCGGTATTTCTCAGAGCAACTCGTCTACTGTGCCCAAATCCACCCGAGTGCGCCTCTCGATCGATGAAAGATATCGAGAGCGACCAAGGTCTCGAGCCCAGTACATGAGTTGAACACCCGGATGCGTTCTTGTCCTACTTTACCTCGATCTGTAGATGTTTCCATTGCGATAGATGCCATGGCTCTTTGACGCGAGCGTCGTACCAGGTCTTGCTTAGGTAGTTGCTGGTGTGGTATTTTAGGTGAATCTTAGTGAATAGGAGGGCTTCCGTTAACGAGTATGGGTTAAGGAGTTTTGCTGAACAACTGCATGAAAAGGCGGGAGATATCAGGACGATATATGCCTCGTCGGGAGGGGTAAGTTCCTGATCGTTTAGACCTCTGCATAATCCCCTCACTTGGTCGAAGCTAATCATGCATTTCGGCCTGGCTTCCGGCTTCCCGACTAGTCCATGCGTCATTCTTCATTCATCTCGAGTAACTCAGCCAGCGCCAAAAAACGGGCGCTCATAACATGTATCACAGCGAGAAGCATTGCCCGATTCAACGCCTGCGCCCAATCACTCCTCAACTATTCCAGACGACTGCCGATCCTTTCATGGCTCGATCGTATCACAAAAAGTGGTCTTCAAAGCTGAATTCTGCCCGCGAGAACGAACCGGGCCTGAACACGAAGCTGCCATTCGTCGGCGGATTCTCTACAACCGCACCTAGTCGAGGCGCGCACTAGGGCGCGCACCCACAAAACATACTTTGGGTACGTAATGAATGAAGCGTGAGCAAAATGTCTCATTTTCGGGGCTACTCCGTGTTCTGCCACCGTGAACGCCGGGGACTCCGGGATCGGAATCAAGTGGGTGATTCAGGGCCTCCGGTCCCACGCCGAGCCGGCTTAGGCCGATGTTGGCCGTAATTCGGTTGAGTTACAAAAGATAGCCGATGACATGCCGCACGCGTGGTTGAGCTTTGCATCTGTTGCATAAAGTTGGACAATTCCAGGCACCGGTAGGAATTTACCTCAGTACCAGTGTCCCGGAAGCTTGCTATCTTCTTCCCACCGTGTTTTCGAGCATATCTCTCCGAAGTAGCTGTGTGTCTTTGTGGACTCGATACATCAAATTCTTCGGCCAGGAAACCTAGGGCATACTTGCAAGAGCGTGGAGTGTCTTCACTTGAATAACCTCTTGATATGAATGTCAAAAACTGAAGTGATGTCTGTTCATTACCACCGAAATGCAACTCCTCATTACTTCGTCGGCGTCGATGGCGTCGACTCCCGACCAGTGTCTGGCCGTTGCTGGCTCATCTCAATCATCCCAGCCTCATTCCTCGCATTATAACGCTGCTCCTCCATATGCAAATCGTACAACCCTCCCTCCCTTGACACCATCGTATCCCGGTATATCCACAGCGACTTATGTCGAGGCTCGCCAGTCGACCCCTTCTCGCCGGGCTCGCTCGTCGTCGTGCGGTCCCGAATCGCCATCGTCCTCATCACCTGCGCCATCTCCACAGCACCGCCATCAGGGACGACGACCCGGTTCGCCACCAGCGCGGCCGCAATTCCGAGAATGAGCTGGAGCGACGCGGTAAGTATTAAAATTAAGTTGATCAGCCCCCAGTGCGAGACGTTCAGCTTCGTGCCCTTCATCGGCATGGTCCCTTCGACGACGAGATCCGTGTTACTCTCCGCGGCGACGGCGACCACCCCGATGGCGAACCGCGACAGCATGGCCTCCATAAACGCAGTCGTTCCGTTCATGGGCGTGCCGAAGACCGACTCGGAGGGATACATCTGATACTGGAAGTTGGTGTCGTTGACAAAGGACGAGGCGGCGTAGCCCTGCAGTGCGATGCCGGCTGACGCGAGAGACGTGAGGTTGGAGCCGATCTGGTGTTCAGCACGCGTGGCGTTGGCGACCTGGCCGACCGTGATGTTGCAGCTGTAGTACCAGGGGAAGGTATCCGACGCCTCGAACGCCATGACTTGGGAGCACCCTGGCCCGCACTCGGACTGGCTGTAAGTCATGAATGTCGTTTGTTCGGTCCCGCCTCGGAACGGGATGTAAATTTCGTATTTGCCGTCATTCTCGAGGGCCACGGTCACGTTGGTCGTCGTGCCGTCGCCGCCGCTTATCACGGGCCAGGCCGTACATTTGGCCGTGGAGTTGACGCTCCGGTCCGTGGCGACGGTGACCGGGTTGTCATCTGCGTTCGTGATGGACGCCGTCGAGGTTTCGTAAAAGACGTATTTGCACAGCGTGTCTGTGCAGAACATGATGGCATCGCTCGGTACGTGGATCGCTCTGGCCAAGGGGGCATCTGATATATCTCCCGTATCGTACGCTAGAGAGATGATCCCATAGCTTCAAGGTTGATTCACTGTCAGATAGTGCGGGACGCTAGATACGGAGACGAGACCGACCTGTTTGCCGTATACTGGAGAGCACCCAAAGCTTGAGTCTTGGATTTCACAACCCTTTCCGATTCTATGGTCGCCATGTTGGCTATAGACACGTTGCCTGGAAGTAAAAGAGCCCGCTTGTCTGCGACATCTGTCGAATAGCAGAGGCCAATGGCGGCAAGACCTATTTGAGAGCCCTTTACGATCTGGTCAGCAAAGTCACCACACATAAAGTCTCACGCCTCCTTACAATCGTTAGGATAAGCCATCCGACAGCGGCAAGATGGATCGACCATCGTTTCGACCTTGCTGCTAATGTAATCGTGTGCTTCAGGTTGTCGGCCTGCAAAATTAACTCCACCTTCCGCTTCGATCTGTATCGACGACTCAAGATCCACCATCTCAGCTCGGCCACCATGTGGTTTAGACTGCTCGCCACTGCGAGACCGAGAGAGATTGACAGGCCGGTGATGAGGGCGTTGTACTCTCGCTTTGTTGTTTGTGTCATTACCGACTTGTTGGAGTATACCCATATGACGACGTAGATTGAGATAATGATAACCATCGTAATTGCCCATCGTGACAACACCTTCATGAGCACCTTCATGCGAGACTGTCGGGTTGCAGGAAGGCCGCGGAAATGGCCATTGTCGGCATCGTTGCGGAGAATCGAGGCGTTTTCCAACTCATCCTGGGCTGTCAAGGTTGGCAACGCTGGCAAAAGGTCAGCAACCTTTGCACGGATGATGTTGGAAACCTCAGAGACATACTCTGTGCCCTTCTGAAAGGGTAAGGCATCGCGTGAGCCGTCGAGAGAAGAACAGGCCTATCAATGGCTGAGGGGTGGTTCACGTGCACGTGAATGAGTGCCTATGGAGGCATCTACGGCACTTGAAGTTAACCACAAGACACCTTGGACCGAGAAATGTAAGATTTATGTCACGGAGGATAACGCAGGGAGCGACATCTTTAAAGATGTCCCGTGTGGATGTGGATGCGACCCCAAGATGGAGACCAAGTCCAGCCCACTTGGTCCGACTTCTAAATTCCTGAAGGTCGAACAACAGGCCCTCCCGGTTGTACCGAGGACCATTTCGAACCAGCGGCCCCCACTGGGTCCGCCGAGCTTGTCCAAGAGGCTGTGATATTCAAGGGAATCTTGTACACGCAAACTGAGACATTCAAGATCTGGATGGGCACTACGGAGTATAAGACCCCAAGAACTGGCCACTCTCGAACTGCATTTCCACAACAACAAGCATCGTCCGAGAAGTATTCGTACTTACTTGTCTGAGAGGAGTTCTGGCAAACGACAGCGCCTCTAACGACGACGCGCCAAAAATATCAGCCCTTCGGTAGAATTGTGACGGGTGGTCCACCAAGCGCCGACTGACGATTCATGCACTTCCAGGGGTTCCAGGGCTGAGACTCAGGCCTACAACCCTGCCATCTCGAAAACGGGCAACCCGAGATGACATTTTGGCCCTTCTAGGAGATCCAGGAGGCGAAGGACCAGGGACTTTCGTATGGATCCAACTGCCTAATATGGATTAAGCTGAGGTCTTCACCCTAGCGAATGTTCGATGAGTCTAAAGTCTAAACTCTCCTGAAGCCTGGAGGTACTATCCGTACGTGCAAGGAAAGTAGTCCGCCGCCTTTAGCAGGCGTCAAGAGGCACCCCATTCCCAGTGCGCAAGTTTGTGTTCCGTGCCCCCTGAGAATGCTCCAAGCTTTGCTTCTAATCTCAACGAACCCTTTAGCATTCCTCTACACTTGCACACTCGCAGCGTGCGTTCCAACGCAGTGATGTGTCTCATTCATCGATCAGACACGTGCTCGTTCAGCCGCTGACTATGAGAAGAGCACAGTTGGCGCCTCGAATTCCGCCCCAGATCACTCCTGCTTGAGCGACACAGCCACTGCGGCAATGAGAAGGACATGCATGCAGAGGTCACCAACCGGAACACCGCTAAAACCATTAGCCGCTAATCAGGCCTTGACCTGGTCTCGTCGCAGCAAATCTTGCCGCTGTGCTGGTGCCCCGTTCGGACGAGAGAGCCAAGTGGCCGGGCCGTATCGAGGCGGGTGTTTCGCAGGCCGCGCGCACCGCTGACGGGGTTGACCTTGTCCAAGTTGGCCCCATGGGACCGGCCGATGTTATCTGAAATCAGTAATCAATCAGATCTGTTGTAATTATTCAGTCATCGTACTCTGCACCTGCAAATGAGGCACAGAAAGTATGTCAGCAAAGGCGGAACATTAGTCGTTGAATCCGTCCATATTTGTTCAGAGACTCCGTGCCCCGCCCCGTTGACTAAAAAGACGCTGCCGAGTCCCTGAAGAGATGGCCCATTCGTCAATTCCAGTAGCTGTTGTGCTATCTCATCCTTGCATGAGCGCCAGTCGCAATCATCACTACAATACCAGGATGATTCAGTCAGGTGACATGGAAGCGGGGTCAGCTTTTAATCGTCGTTGAGATGTAGCCTGGCGATAATTGCATTCTTGTCAACGTTGTCCTGAGGAAAATGAGCTTTGACAATCCTTGACCAGAAAAAGCCACCAACAGTACTCGTAGCTTTCAGTTATTGTGACTCGGAAATATTTGCGAAAATGAGCTTTCTATGCTTAGTGTGTAAGCAAGCTATTCAACCCGCGTCAAGCGACTCGGCTTTAACCAACATCACGCCAAAGAATCAAACACTCGATGGCTTTCGGGAGGCAGCGTCACGGGACTGCTTCATTTGTTCAAAGTTGTGGAACTTGAGTGATATGCACAGAAGAGGATGGGAGAGCTTGGCTCCCCAATTCTGGCGACCTTTGTCCTTCAATATCGACAGGGAACATTATGAGGGCAAACTCCACCAGATCAGAGTGAGCGTTTTATACCGGGATCCTACCCATATACAGAGCGAATTCGTAACAGACATGCGATTTAGGATGATTCCATCATCAGGTAAGGTTTAATAGTTATAAACGTCCCGGGAACCCCATGGATATTATGACCATGCACTATCTAACACGAAATGTCGATAGAGAGTGAATACGATGACCTCTTTTCACTCGATGAAATGGAAGTCAGCACCGGCTCTTTGAAATCACTCGAGTTAGCTCATTCTTGGTTTCAAAGCTGTTTTCATGGCCATGATCAATGCAGGCGCTTGCCTACCTCCGTCGTCAATTGGCTCCCAACCCGCCTCGTCGACATTGGATTGCAGGGGGAGACGACCTGGAAACTTGTCATCACGTCAGAGGACCTAAAGCTGAAGCAACAAGAGGCACCCCCTCAGTATATGACTCTGAGCTATCGTTGGGGCATTGAACCTCAAAAATTGCTGTTGACATCGCACAACCTGGAACTGTTTCGTCGTGGGAGCCCTGTTGTGCAACTACCGCAGACATTTCAAGATTTGGCTATAATCGCACATCGATTCGGTATTCGATATGTCTGGATAGACTGCTTGTGTATTTTCCAGGATTCCCGGAGTGACTGGGAAAATGAAGCACCCATGATGAGAGACGTGTACACCAATGCAGCTTGCAACATTGCTGCTTCTGCTTCAAGCAGCCCCATCGGTGGATTGTTTCGAGATCGTGTAGCAAATCATGTTCGACCCGGTATCATAACATCCAATTTGGTCTCCCAAGAACCCAAAGAGTTTTACATATTCGATAAAGGATACTGGGACCGACATATTCTGAATGGTGCCCTGCACCAGAGGGGTTGGGTGTTCCAAGAGCGATTCCTCTCTCCTCGGCAAATCTACTTCGCAAGAGACCAAATCATGTGGGAATGCCTGGAGGAGCATAAATGCGAGGGTTTTCCACGAGGTGTTCCACTTTATGAATCCTCAAAGAGCATCAAGCGCCTACTTGCATCAACAAAAAGTGATGAGTCGAAAATTGAAGGCCTCATGCCCTTTGATGCGATGGACCTGTGGATCGACGTCGTCACTGCGTACTCGCGCTGCCAATTCACCTTCATGGAAGACAAGCTCTACGCCCTTGGCGGCGTCGCCAAGCTCTTTCAGGAGGCCACAGGCGACATGTTTCTCGCGGGCTTGTGGCGCTCACGACTACTACACCAGCTTGATTGGTGCGTGTGGACACCCAAGCCTAGGGTCACTAGCAAATACAGAGCCCCTTCATGGTCTTGGGTATCTGTTGACGGGCCAGTAAATTCAACACGACCTGCTCACGGGTTCGATTTCCTGGCGGAGGTGATTGACGCAATGGTAACAACGGTAGCTGGGGGAGACGCCATGGTCAATGTGACCGGTGGATTTATCAAACTGAGAGGGAAGGTATATGCTGCTACTTACAGGCAAAGACCTACAGGCAACGGAACTGTTCATTTCGAGCCCACAGACAAAGGGTTGAGTCCGTTCACATCATGGGTTTATCTTGATGCAGTTGACAACTGTCTGAAAGAAAGCGGTCGAATATCACTCCTACCTCTGAAGAATCAGAGAGTTCGGTGGCAGGATCGTGAAAGTGGTCTCCTTGGTGATACAAATGATGTTACTTGTATCATCTTGGAGAACGTTAGCGATTCTGGAAGTAAGTACCGGAGAGTGGGATGGTTGATTCTTAGAGGAGAAAGAGATCATGGTAAAGAAAGCCAAGTTACTATCGATGATATCTTGCGAGCACATGAGGGTAACCGGGCATGGACTGAGATCACCATCATTTAGATACGGAAAAGAACTCGGATCCTCGTCAACTTGCTGTTTGGCAGCTTCTTCGGTAATCGTGCTCTTTCGTTTGAACCATGATCTGGCATTGACTACCTCAGTCAAAACAGACATGTCAGGCTATATTATAGTGCTAGGCTAACAGAAAGAAGGCATTCCCATTACTTTTTGTTTCCCATGTTCTTGATGTTCTTGCTTTTAGCAGAAGCCGGACAGTTCCTTGAGGCCTGCGATTTGGCAGGTATTGCATGATCGCATTTGTTGTTTTCAAGATAAATCACTCCGAGAATCATGGAAGATAATCGCTACGGCAAACAAGTACATAGCACTCTTCAATTTTGAGTCGAAAGTCTGATAGCGCCCCGATGTTTATTCTTGCTTCTTACACTAGATATTTTACGTTGTGAAATATCTCAACGCCAGAATCTGGTAGTATAGTGCGAATGAACGTGAATGGAACTTTCAAACAAGACTTAATGAGACCTCGAAGCTTGAAAAAGTTCCGTTCATTTTTCCTCTCCTCTGCTCTTTCCTATATTAGGCATGCACTCCGCATTCAGGCTGTCTATCCCTCGCTGCACCTGCATGCAAGTCCTTGAACGATCTGAGAGCAAGAAAACAGCTATCTCGCATGGAATGGCGCTCAGATGTCCCTAGGTAATCTCCTTATACTTCCAGGAACTTCTGCTGTTCAAGCATTACCCAGAACTCTCCAGCATAATCATACTGTTAGTCGTCACAGGTCAACCATAGCTCCCAATGCTCAGGCTGAGAACCATACGCAATACATATCAACGAGCACCGACAAGAGCCACGTTATTTGCCAAGTGTTGTACAAATCTATACTCCAGGAGCCGGTGGCTCATAATCGCTGAGAAAGATGTGTATCTGATCGCGATGGACCCTCCAATACATGTAGACATGAAACAGTCGTCGAGGTGATGTAATCCCTCAGGATCTAGTTTAATGGAGGCGCCGAGCAGTTCGGTCCAATCGTCTCTAATACAACCCGCCACACAATCTTGATCAAAATCATCTATCTCTGACCGGAGCTTGCGCAGATCATGCGGCGGAGTCCAGCTCGATCCGATAGCTAAAGAAAAGATAAGTATCACAAAGCGAGGTATCGAGCGAGAGGTTTGTATTATAGCAAGTAGGTTAATTCAACTGAGAGAAGCCCTTATACAGGAACGCGGATCTACATATTGTACAGTAGGTATTGCACGTGTATTAGAAGGAGAATGCTTCCAGAGTAAGCCAGACTAGCAGAGCTGAGGTGGTCATCAGTGAGATCGAATGGAGGGGCATCGGGGCATGCCTTCTGTCATTGAACCTAGATTGGACGGGTGCACATCTTAATTATGTCGTGTTCTTACCATATAGAACGGCTTCTAAGAGTCAGAGGTCGGAAACAGTCATAGCGATAAACACATCGCATGTTGGCATTCACGAAGAGTCGTGCTATCCAGAAGGAACAATTCCTAATCAATCATCCTCCAAGTTTTTATTGCTTTTATGCAAGAATCCTAAATATCGTCCATGTTCTGTTATTGCTATTTGTATTATCTTCTTTTTTGTCGTTCTTGTCATTGTCGCTGTTGCCCTGTGATCACAATCCGCCCGAATGGCAAACTCCAGTCTTCATCAAAAACAATCCTTGAGTTGGTTGAGCAAAGTCCTTTAGCCATCAATGTCTAGAGCTGTAAGTCTCCAAGAGAAATGCAGACGCCTTCTCCGCCACTGCATAAACAGTGCTCAGTATGTTACCTCGCGGTATTATCGGGAAAATACTGGCATCGCAAACACGAAGGTTCGTCGTGCCTCGTACGAGAAGCTCCCCATTCACAACGCCATCTTTCAAATCGTCCTTCATCATTGCGCATGTGCCACAGAGGTGATAGTTCGTAGCACCGAAACCTCGAATAGCCTCCTTGATCTCTTCTATAGTCTGAGGTGCAGCCGCTGTTGGAAGACGGTTGCCGCCCTTTCTCTGTAGGCCACTGAGCGCGTCCTGGGCCCACAATCTTTCAATCTGCAAAACATGACGCGCGAGAATCTCAACGTCGAGGGGATGCGACAGATAAGCGCAGTCTATATGCGGTTGATCATGCCAGTTTGGAGTCTCGATATGACAAGATCCTCGACTGTAGGGATGAGAGAGCATAGCTATTATGGTCATGTAGTTGCCTGGGGCAGGGTTGGCGCGGCTGGTGTATCTTTGAATTCTGGTCGTGAATACAGTAGCGCTGGCCTCATGGTCGTCTAGAATCATCCGGTCGATGAATTCGTATTGTAATTTGGTAGCTTCGTCGCCAACATGAGCTGAACGTCGAAGAAGCTCCCTTAGCGCGGTCTCTTCGCTTTGCGAGTTGAAGAGCTGCAGGGGCCAATGAGCGAAACTGTACGCCGCCCCTTCTGCCAGAGGACCAGTTCTATTCTCGTCATACTCTGCGCGTTGAGCTGCGGCAACTTTGGGATCTCGGACGGAGATGTCCATCGTTGCAATTTCAGGCCTCACCTCGACACTTGGTCCAAAGTTGAGATGATCTTGAAGATTTTCTGCAGCGCTGCAGTCAGCATGAGTTACACAAGTCGCATCTTGTCAGTACATGCATGCACTTACCCCCAACACCAGGCAAGTTGACTAAACACTGGATACCCAAGGGCTCCAGAATCTGTTGGTTTCCAATTCCAGACTGCTCAAGAATCTTGGGGCTACCCACGGCGCCTGCGCAGACGATGACTTCCTTGTTCGCTCTGACAAGGAATGATCGTTGCGCTTTCTCGTAGATGACGCCAACCGCACGTAGTCGTCCCTCATTGCCGTGAGCATCATCCTCAAAAACGATCTTCTCGACCTCTGCTCCGGTAATGACAACCAAATTCTTTCGGTTCAACGTCGGCTGGAGGTAAGCGTTCCCAGCGAAGCTTCTCACGCCCTGGCCAGGGCGGCTATCGATTGCATTGGTGGTTGTGAAACCCCCCAGCGCTTCTCCAGATGGACCATCAGCAACAGATGTTGCGCCCAAGTCCTCGAAAACATCTTGCCAGGCCTTTTGTAGAATGTGCAACTCTTTCGGTGAAGATGCTTGTATAGGCCCTTCGTTTCGGAGGCCCTGTTTTGAAATGCTCTGAGCCTGCTCTGTCTGAAATGCGCGGTAGTAGTTTCTCATCTTCTTCCAGCCCCATCCATCATCTCCCGATATTTCGGCCCATGCCTCATGCATAGCTTTGTTTGGAAATACTAGACTATGGGAGTTGATTCCACTGCTTCCTCCAAGCATCTTGCCTCTGGTATGCTGAAAAACACGTCCGTTCAAGCCTTTCTGCGGAGAGGATTCCGAGCACCAATCATAGTTCGGATCTCCAAACATTCTTCGGCTGAGCAGGGGTGTCGTGACCTTTTCATCGTCGTTACGATCGCTTCCAGCCTCCAGTAGAAGGACTCGCAAGTCTTGTCGGATGGAGAGTCGGGAGGCAAGCACGCATCCGGCTGTGCCACCGCCGATGATAATCACGTCAAAATCCTTGATCTCCATTTTGCCGGTAATGAGCCTCGATCTGTTTTGTTCCTTCGCAAAGGGCTTGGGAAATACATCAATTTTATTCTTATTGCCGCACGATGCATCATGGTAATACATGACGACGTGACTCTAGGCAGCAATGCCATTTGTGACAATTTATTGGCTGCAGAAAGCAACTAGATCCTTCGCAGGGGTCTTGATGGAGATCTTATCTTTTAGATCAAGAAGGTCACATTCCACGTTGTCAGCAGGCGTTGCGGATTTGCTAGATTCATGCATGTTGAGCGGCATATCTGATCAAACTGGCAAGCCTTATTTGCTATTGCTGCTCGGAGAATGAGGTGTTCTCACTCAACTCTACCCGAGATGGGCATCGTGCGAGCAGGATCGACTCGTGCTCTGCAATTACGCTGCAATCTTGACATCGTCTGGAAACGATTTACAAGGGCTTGGATATCTGTGTTGGGATGATTGAAAAGTGGAGACCTATCAGAATCACGTGTTTACCAGTATAACTCTTTGCTTCCGTTACCGGTTCATATTTACCAACAGTTATGTCGTATATATGCCACTCATTTACAAACTCTAGATGTTCCAAGTTTTCAACCCGAGGAGATGTAGTACCTGCAGTTGGGCTAGCCTTTAAACCACAATATTCCGGATCCTATATATTCTCCAATTGCAGCCGTTTGCCATCGCCGATCCGTCACTCAGATGACTGGTTGAAATGCTCCGTTAATCGCTGAAATGGCGAGCCATATCAGAAACACTCCAAGGACAGAGGTTTGGACCACTGAGGCCATGTTCTCTTGGCTCGCTTGGTCATCAAGGCCATAGTTAAGAAACGGCGACTCCACCATCAAGAACACTCCAGTTTGGCCCATTGGTCAATAGACAGTGCCAGGCTGCATGCAATTGTTTCTACATGTATCCGTACTGCATGTTTATTCTGTGGAACAATCCGTAAAGTCCTCAACAGACCTGGGCCTCTGTCACAAAACGAAACCTATGGAGAACTCTGACCGACTGCTGGCGGTGCTCTACCCCTGATGTGTCAGAAAGAAGCAATGATCTGCCGGCCTAGACCGGGGAGGGATTGCAGATTTGACTTTCCTTAGCCATTGCATCTTCCACAGTCGAGAGCAAGTAAGCTTATCCGTACTGCCTAGCGGATTTGACCGTTGTTGCAGGTCAACGCTCCGGCATGGGGTCAATTCCAGGGGAAATGACTCGGGTCAGGGGTAAGTCACGAATCGCTGCTCGTTGGCTCGTCAGGTCAAGCGAAGCTTTCTAGGACCCCTTCCAGACAGAAACTTACCGCGAAATGGATGTTCGGCATTTTCACCATCGGAGAGGGTTAACTCGTCGACCCCGGGATTCGGCAACTGAGTTTGGGACACATGCCTTTCGAGCATGCCATCGACCCGAGGCCAACGTTGACCACCCCCACCTTGTTCTTGTCTCCTTGGCGATGAAATCGGCAATTACCCTCCCCCCTCTTCCCTGACTTCCAACTGATAAAACACCCGATGATCAATCATTCCAACTCCTCTTCCTCGCATTCCGTGAAAGATGGTTGGGCTGAGCCGGCACCCACCACACCGGCGGGCTGGGAGCAGACGCGGATAGTGACGGAATGAGAAAACCCAACAACAGTCAATTGCTGCCAACTGATCAGCCGATGTACCTACGACGTGATGTACTTACGACGTGGGAAACCTGCCTCATGCAGTCCGATCAGAAAAAATCTAGTCCTTTTGGTCACAGATCTTAGCTTCGGGGGTCGATGAAGCTGCCAGCCAAGTTTTGGTTTTTTGTTCCCCGTTCGGGAACATTGTGTACCGAACCCCTGGTGAGCTTATCTGCCAGCCGTGCTGAGCTATCCTGTGTGTCGTGCTGCTGCATCGACTGCGACGCGACGCTACAGGTGGGCGTCCGAACTGTCAAAAGGTCAACCCTTGAATCCGAAGTGTTGGTAGCAGTCTGAGACGAAGCGTGTGACAGGGCCTCCTCCGTGCACAGGGGACACGGCCCCGAGGCCAGGTGGCGCACGGCAGGGAATCGCTCTCGCTTTCTGTCTCTCGTTACCGCTGGCTGCATGAGTGTTTGGTCGATCTTAATAAGTGTATTAAGGGATCGTCGAGATCATGTTTACCTCGGGGTGATCTAGGCCACATGCTCAATATTGGAGACAGTTATCAGGATGATGACATCCTTGGCTTTGTCGCGCCGTTCACATACACGATATGGAATTGAAGTTGCTCGTATTCGTTGACGACAGGCAATAGCCTAGGGAAGTTGCAAGCAATTTCCCCATCGGGCCGGTGGAATTTCTCCTCGGTGTGGACTGGTCGGAAGGCCAATCCGTGCGTGGTAAGGGGCTCATCGTCTAATGTTTTCCAACACTTCACAATAGCGTCCTGGGCTGGGATACGAGACTTTCGGCTCTGCTCTGAAGATGAAGACGCCGATAAGAAGCAGGTACGATCATGGAATGAGATTAACCGTGGGCGTGATGAGTGAAAGACACATTCACGGCGCGCTCGGCTTAGATTAGGATTGAGGGGTGCAGGAGTGATCGGTAGCGAGCAGTTTGACTTGGCAATTTACCCAATAGCCCCCGGTCTGCCGTTGAGCAAGGCAAGATCTCGACATAGAGTAGAGAACAGCGTTGTGAGTGCTCCACAGACTCTCAGTCCTGGGCAATTACATGCTTCGATATCCAGATTTTCACGTCTGTACGCTATCACGAGAAAATGGAACACAATATCGGTGAAACGTAAACGCTCGAAAGTAAAATTGCTTGTCTATGCTGTATTATAACGCCAAAAAACGCCTTGGCTTAGGATATCTTCCAAAATCTTCTACCCGACGCTTGCCTACATACCACACCATTTGTACAATTACAATCCCCACAAGTCTGTGCCTTATTTGTTGACCTGGATCAATCCGGGACCTGCCAGGGTCGCCTTTGGAATGTCATCAGGGTTGGTAAACTTGCCCTCGTACGTCAACGCCGCGATGGACAGGCCGTACATGCTATTGGTGTCAAAGGGGAACTCGGCCGAGAACGCAATCTTTGCGCCATCCCACTGCGGGTTGGCGACGGGCACGCTCAGAGGGACGTTGAGTCCGCTGAGATAGGTGACGAACAGAGGTGCCTTGTCCTTGCCGAGGAAGCGGCCGGCGGTGACAATCTCCCGCAAGTCTACTTCAAAGTTGAGCATCTGCGTCTTGGCCTCGATTTCTCCGCCCTGCATTTGCATAACGTTCAACGGTGCAAAGGTTGGGATGTTGATCTGATTCATTTTGAACGGGCACGAGTCCTTGACAACAAAAGACTGCAGCGCCGAAAAGGCAAAGGGCGCGATGGACGTCGTGAGGAAGGGCTGCGACGAGGGCGGGCGCGAGAGGATGCTGCGATAGAAGCCGTTCTGCTCGCCTTCCTGGCCGATGACGGCGCTGATGGCTCGGACGGGACCGGCGTCGCCATTCTTTGCCAAAAGCTGATTCGCATCCTGAAGAGTGCCGAGGACGACAGAGGTGAAGGTTTCGGCGAGGGCCACGGCCTCTTTCAAGCTGTTCGTCGGGAACTGGTACTTGCACGGCGGCGGCGAAAAAGCCTTAAAGTTGTCCAAGACACCCTTGGCGTCGAGCGCATGGAGCTTTTCTTGCTGTCAAAGCTGTCAGTGCCAATTCCAACAAAGTCCCGATGATAACCATTTCCTTTCTTTTTTTTCTCTTCTCCCCGTTGATGAGGTGAGGGGAAACTTACAGCAACCACAACCTTCAGTGCGTCGACCATCCTGTCCTTCTCGGTCGTGTCCCAGCCGGGTCCTCCATTGGTGACGTTCTCGAGCATCGAAGTGAAGAAGGCGACCTCGAATTGTTCGTTAAACTGAATGAGCTGGAAAGCTGTCAAGCTGCTCGGCTCCAGCTTGGGCGGCGGTGCAGAATTGGGGAGCGTTCCTCGCGCTTCTTCTTCCACGACCTTGATCTGCTCCGGGCTGATCGGGAGTTCCGCACTGAAAGCTCGGCGTTCGAGTGGGGCCGCTGCCGAGAGGCCGGCGAGCATCACCACGGAGGCCGCGAGAGTTGCTGTGAGCTGCATGTTGGGCGTTGTCTTTTTCCCCCTAGGAGTACCGCTCCAAAAAGAAAATAGTTTTCAGTGAAAAAGCCCTTCGTCGACGAGAGGATGTTCAGTATCAAATAAATGTACACGAAAAAGAAAGGTGAACGATAGACAGGGGAAGCGAATTAAAGTAGGCGGGCCAAAACGAAACGGGTCAGCTTGGCATGAGATACAAGAGCCGCAGTGACATGGTTGGGGTGACCGGGACGAACTATTATACTCTTGAGGAGTTTGTTTCGATACATAATCTTGAAACCTGTTTGTTGCTTGGCGCACGTGGACCTGCAACTCTCTTGTGGAGGGAGAAGAGCCCGCACATGCGCTTCCACAACGTACATCCATCGCGACACACTTACACACAGGCACATCAGATTTTTTGGAGGAGGGGGGAGGGGGTGGGCGGTTGCCCAAGCGCTCCTACGGAAAGATCCTGGCCCGACAGAAATGGGCCACACCAAGGCACCCACGGCACCACAGATAGGGCTGGTTTCGGAACGAAGTTGCACCGCTCAACTTGCTCAAACTGGCATGTTACAGGGGGGTGGTAGCTGGATGACGTCTCTGAAAACGGACAGACTGTAATTGTAAGGTCTTCGAATCTCGAATGGATCGCGTGCCAGGGCGAGGAGAGAGACGACAAGGACGATGCCGGCTCCAAGGCGAGCCTCCAACCCCTTGTTAGCCAAGTCCAGTCCTCAAACAAGACATCATCTTTTCTCGTCTGTCTCTCGCAATCTCTCGCCTATCTTTTCCCCGCGGTATAATAACAGTCACTGACATTCACTCGTGATTGAACGAACCTGACACGTGCTCAAGCTTTTGTCCGGTCTGGAGCTGTCTTCGCAGTCTCTCTCCGTTGGGCATGTCTCCATACGTCAAACGCCGTCTCCCACCCAGCCCCAATGTATTTCTCTTCGCTGCCCTAATCAGGTAACATGGGCCAGCATTTGCGGTATGTTACTGCCGAAGCGAGACCTCTGTACGGCGTACGGAGTAACACATCAATTCTCGTCGAACGTGTGTGTGTGTCGGAGTGTGTCTGAATCAGGCCCAGCTCGAGCCTCTCCTTGCCATTTCGAAGCTCTGGTCACGTTCAGAGTCGGAGGGCCCTAACCATTTCCCGCTTAGCAGCGACCACACTACTGCAGCAGAACGCAACGGGGTCTCCCCATGCCCTCCCGAGCCGTCAGAAGCGGCGGTGGCAGTCACGGTAGCATCGGGAGTGTCACCACGGCTCGCAACCGAGCCACCACCACCAACAAGATTAGCTCCTTTCCCTCCTTCTCCTCACCCTCCTCACCCTCATCCTACTCCTACCACCAGACCTCTCTCTGTTAGTTCTGGGCAGTGCTGGTTTCCTGATGGCAAGGTCCCGGCGTCATCGCTTGGTCCCTTTTCTCCACAAAATGCGCGACGCCCGTCCGCGAGCGCTTCATCCCTTTGTTGCCGAACTCCGCGAAGCCCTTTGCCCTTCAAAATCGAGCTGCGCGTGCGCCCACACGAGCGACTCGTTGCAGTCTTCGCACGCGTATGTGTAAAAGGCCTCGCAGTAGGCCCGCAGTGGCCGGTATTCCTGGTTGCGGAACTCCAGGGACCCGCGCGTTGCGTGCAGTATCTGTTTAAGGCTTCGATGTAGCACAGTAACCCCCATGTTGTTGTTGACTCTGGTCTCGTCGTTGTCGTCAAAGTCTTGGGAGACTTCATTCATGATACTGTCGGAGGTGAACTTACTCTCTTGGCAGAAGCTCGAGCGGAGGCCTCCGCGATCTCCTAGGCCAACACCACCTTGCCGGAAATCATAATGAGCGACGGCGGCGGCGGCAAAGGTCTTCAAGCCGAAGTACCACTGCGCAGGCGGCTGCTCCTCCATGCGTCGAATGCTGGCGTCGAAGAACGAGACCATATTTCGCGGGCAGTTTATCTGCCTGTACGGCAACGGCGTGAAGGGATTGGGTTCGTTGCAGCAGATGTGTCCAATCGGAGACGCGCGAGGCTTAACGTTACCCCTGGCCTGACTTTGCATTTGCCCTCACAAACCGGCGAGGGCTTCATGGTTTCGGGGGTCGACCAGCCGTCTGCCAAAGGCGCAGAGAGTGGTGGTAGCTTGTCGGGGTTCTCCTCGCCGTTGTTACTGCGGCTGCCCAGGCCAAGGTCTCTGTGCTCCGTCTCCAAGTCCTAATTCATACATCGTGCGACCGGTTCGATAGCGGAAATCAATTTCCAGCTCAATGTGGTCAAATGGTTGGACGAAGTTTGCGGCGTCTCCGCTTCGCATTTGCCTCGGATATCAGCCCTACTCGACTCGAGAGTCCCAACTGATACTAGGTTGGACAGGAGCCGCATGTTTTCCCGCAATAAAAAAGGTTCATTTCAAGAAGAGGAGAAAAAGCCAATATGAAAATTGGGTGAAGTATGCAATGAGAGTGTTTAGTTCGGCACGGCCATTGTACACTCACCAGTTGACGCATGTCTTGCCCTTGTCTCTGCAGTCTTGGCAGAGAATGTAATCCAGTTTCACCTTTATTTTCTTACAACTTTCACATTGCCAGTAGACTCGTAGGAACTTTGACACCTCATCGTCGCAATAGTCGTAGTACTGCCAAGCAGATATCGCTGTCCCTGAGACACGAAACGCGGGATGTGATGAGCACTTTAAGTCTCAATTCGCTCGCCAAGAGGACTGCTCGTTCTCGAGGAACAGGTCGACGGCAGGTCTGCACCTGTCAAAGTCGTTGACGATGAGGAACGCGCGGTCGAGCACGCCAAGTTGCGAGTGCAGGCTGTGCAGCGCCTCTTGCATAAGCTTAATCCGGAAGATGTCGCGATAGCCGTGCTCCCTAGCGTCGAGGTAAAGTCGATACTTTGCGACATACGCTTCGTCCTCGTCGACCTGTGTGTGGTTGACGCACAGCTGGCGGAATATGATCGTCAGGACGTCTCCCACAAAGGCGGTACCGCCCGAGGCCACGTCCGTCCGCGCAAAGACGGTGGCGACGGCTTCCCTCTTCCCATTGTGTTTGTTTTCTCTCTCTCAGCCTCTTCGTCGCCACCGTGGACAAGGTCGTCTGAAAAGGCGTTGGTAAGTAAGTCAGTCAGGTAATCAGCGCATGAATTCTATCAGTGTGATGCATCACCAACCAGCGTCTTGGCATCCGAACACCCTATAGGACGATCTAGAGGCCCATGACCTTAATGCAAACTGCAAACTGCAACCTGCAAAACGAAAGAAAGAAATGCAAAGGGAAATGCCAGGGCAAGTTAAAAAACCAAAACCTACACATACCTTGCCTGACCCTGGTCTACCAACACAGCGCTGCATCCACCTGTTGTCATCCCGTTGCCAGCATCGAAAGATGTCGTTCATGAACGCCCAGTTCCACAGCGGCTGCCAGATATCCGCGCCCGGCTCATGCCACTCGCTCAATGCGGTGTGCATTTCTGACCGGCTCTCGAACAGTTCTCTCACCGCGGGATGATGCACTCCTTCTTCTTCTTCTTCTTCTTCAACGTTGTCCATATTTTGGGTCTCCGTTATTGTAACGAAAGCCCAAGTGTCGAAACGGCGCAACGTCTGTATCTTGGCCCCCACCCAGCAGCAAAGTTCAGGTGTTCAACCTACCCGGCGGACCTCCGGACTTGAAGAAACGTTGAACAAGTTTCTTTGGCCACCGTGCGACCGGACACTACGGACAGGGCTCCTCAACGGGAAAGAAATATCGGATTGGCATGAGTCGTAAATGGGCTACCCGTTCAGAAAGTCAATCACTTCCCGCCTCTGGAAGAACGCCATGCTCAACCATACACGTGGTGAGCAGACCATCACACCCACTGCCGGGATAACAAGCGCTTTATGAGACCAGAAGCCGGGTACACAGATCTAATGACTGCTTAGCAAGACTCTACAAGCAGGCGTTTCACCTGGCCGTTTTTGGCGGCTCGCGAATATCGCGTCTGTTGATGCTACCGGGGTTGCGGAGGGGAAAATCAAGCTACTCATGGAGCTGCGGGGGATGGGCCTGGCCAACCCACGCAGAATTGTCTTCCCTCGCTTGCCCAGCTAATCAAAACACTATGCCTAAGTGCTGACTTATATCTTAGCCGTAAATCCTACGGGGTCCCAGAGAAACAACATGTCTCGTTGATCTATCATCTGATGAGCAGCCCAGCCCTAGAAGCAGGTCCCACTCAGGCTACAACGAGGGGCCGCAGCCATGAAGTGTTGATGCATCGCGTGAAGCTGTTCATTCCTGTGCTTGCCAAGCTTGTACTTAGACACAAAAAGGTAACTCAGACGTACTCTCATGTACTAATTAGACAGGCCCTCTAGGACAAAGTCCGTTTCTCCTTTGGTTTTGGCCTTAGTCCGTTGAAGCATTCGTGACTTCACGTTGCGGAACCCCTCGAGTCTAGAATATTGTTGCCTGGCCTGGCACAACCTTACAATTACTCATCAATAACGGGCTCTACGTCTTCGAACACATGTCTTAGGGGCTGTGGTTATATCTGGCCACTCGACATGCAACCTCCATGCAGCCCTGCAGCCTGGTCCCCAGGCTCTGGATTTACGATTGCCTAGCAGGGTCATGGGGGCTAAATATCTAATCTTGGATAGGAAATGGCGCCCATTTTTACAGAACTTTGCTTTTTGCCTCAAGGATGGAGGGAAGTTAATACGAGGAGTGTAGGTGGCCTGCTTCGGTCCCCCTTGTTGAAGCTTGCGTTCAATAGTTTCTCACAAGTGGAATCAACCAGTCTTTGGTTGTAGTCAAGCAGAAATCCTGTTCAGTCTCTCTCTTTCGCTTCTGAGTCACTGCTTAGGTGTCGTAGCTGCTCGACCATCTAAGGCTCCAAAGGCTTTGCCTCGACGACAAAATTCGGCTGCCCTGAACGGCCCATTTCGCTGAAATTAATTTGTGTTGGAGTTATTGAGGCCGTCAATGATCGCAAGACAATCCTTGCAGCATGGACTGACTCTTCTCCCATGTTGACCATCATTCAAGATGTAGGCAAGCCGGCACCATCGTCGTAGGCGGCGCGCCCAAGCCCGGTCCGATGCAAGCAGTAGGCCGCACTCGAGGAGCCCGCATCTACTCTGGCGATTTCCTCGATTCCGACTTCGCCCTCGCCCGGAAAAAGAACGATGCGGCCGCGGCCAGACTACCCGCCGTCCGTGACACGGGCATGTACGTCAGCTACGCGGCCTTCAATCTTCGAGACCAGCTCCGCAAGAACGACGTCTCGACTCCTCTCCAGTTCCACTACTCCGCGGCCGACTACGGTCTAGAATACACTCTCGATAACGCAAACAACATGACTGCCCTCTGGCAGGACGTCGCCCGAGTGAGCTTCGAGAACGTCAGCATGTGCGTCGAAGGCTCAACACGCTACACCTCCCGCGACGACACGGTCCCAAAAGCACCGCCAAAAGCCACAAACTTCTCGCCGTCTGCGCCGAAGACGGACACGAAGTACACCATCGACTGCGAACCGGACACACGTAATGGGCTCCCGGCCGCGCAGGGCATCATCACCAGACAGGTGACGCCCCAGCAGTGCGACGAACCCGCTTGCGGTCTCGAGCTGACCAGCGGCAGAACTTGGTTCAATAAAACACGATTTTCCTGTCCTGATAGTAAATTCGGTTTGATCCCGTGCGCCTGTCTGCTAATGTGTTAACTCGGGGAGAATAAGCGCAGCGACCTCAACCTGCAGTGCGTCGCGCACTCCGTAAACGTTCCGGCGACAAATCGTGCAACCTACGGACATTCGAGGAGTAAAGCTGCTAGCATGTTCACAGCCGGGACGGTGACGTAGGGTTTCTGTGTTCCCAAGGTTGGAAGCGCGTCGCTGGAATGCGCGTTGAACTGATGGGGTATGCTGGTGTTTCCACTGACTCCATATGCGGGATACAACAGTATATCATGCTTGAATGTGCTTTTCAATGATAATCATTGATTTATTCATGCTCATCTGAACTAACCATAGAGCTTGATTGGTGTCATGCCTTCGTCTTGTTGCGGTTCACGTCCGGAATCCGATACTCGCTTACCCTCTCCCTCCTAACAGTCTCCCAGAAGTCATACCCGCCATCTTTCCTCCTCGTCCGTCTCTCTTCCCTCTCCTCTTTATTGATGCGTCTTTTCTCCCTCTTCCTCTGTGGGACAATCTTCTTGATGCTAGATGCTATCAAAACGACAAGCTTCTTCCCGCCCTTGTATCCCGTCCGGACGAGTCCTTGCACACGACTGCTGAACGCGGCGATGAGCGCCGCCGCAATGATGAACACGGATAGCGGTAGGGAAACAGCGCCGATGAAACCAATGGTGGGAAGTTGAGCATTCCACTCGAACGTGTTCATACCAAACAAGCTCGTGAAGAAGGACAGGGGGAGGAAAATGACGGTAAATGTAGTGAAGATCATGACGGAGAGGTTTTGTGACGAGGCTAGCTCGGTCTGAAGTCGTGACCACCGGACTTCGTCGACTTGAGCCTTGCGTTGCACCATTTCCAGGAGTTTCTCGTACTGCGAGATTGTTAGCAGACTTTTCTAGACGTCTTACCGCGTTACCCGGACAGGCCCAGGCTCGGACAGAGAAAACACTCACATCATTCCTCGTCGTGTCGACTCGCTTCAGCATCTCAAGCGTCTGGCTTTTATACTCTTCGAGCTTGGCCAGTGCCTCTTCGAGATACATCTGCCCATTCTTTGTCACGGCTTTGAGATCTTCTCCCTCAAAGATGGTCTTCATGTTCCGAACCACGCCATCCTGGGTCTCGAATAACCTCTCTAGCGACTTGAGTTCATCCTCTAGGTCGCGGAGTTCCATCAGTGCCGATGTGTTTTCGCGGTTCTCTCGCTCGGCTTCTTCGAGCTCCCGCTTATGGCGCTTCTTGATGGATTCCGGCCGGTTGCTTTCCGAGTCCGAGTCTAAACCGCCCACGTCTTTGAATGTCTGCATGCGGAAGTGCTTCAGGGACGAAGTCATACGCTCGGTCTGCATCTGTCAGTACATGTTTCGAGGGAGAGGAACACACGACTTTAGGCTGGAAAAGACTCACGAGCATGCTGATTGCTTCTTCAAAGATTCTAAAGATCTCGAGGTCGGGATGTGAGGCCCGGTCCAGTAGAACAGTGATGGCATGGAGCACGATGAATGCTGCAAGGTCAAGTGCATTCTCGCAACGGCCTGTGAGATCTCCATTCAGTTCATTGTATACGCTGTTTCTGAGATCCGCTTGCTGAAACAGAGGTCCCTCTTTTGGCTTTGACTCCCTTCTATTGAAGAATGTAGTCAGGGTTTCTGCAATGTCTTGTCAGCGTCATATTCTAGAAGCATCAGCACCAACCTGAAATGACCTACTGGTATCAATCGCCCACAGCCATAGCTCGTCAACCATGAGAACCTTGCCGTCCTTGATGACCTCATTGAGATCTTCGTCTTCATCATCGGTGATGTTATCCTCCTCTAAAAGCCCAGTACTTGAAGGCGTAAGTTTACTTATCGGGGTCCAATTCGACCCCGATGTCTGTCTCCTCTCGAGACCCAGTTGCTCTACATCAACGCCACTGGAGGCGCGGTCTTTGGTCAGCTTGTATAGCATCTGATCATCATCACGGGCCCATGTGTCCCTCAAAGAGGGATAGGCAAACTGGTCTAGGGTTCGGCGATAGTTGAGGGGCGGATCATATCCAATGTACTCCCAGATCATGCGAAGCTCCGCAGAGTCCAACTGGGCGATTTCTCGCGGGACGGGACGAGACCGGCCATGCTGCATGCGCTGCTTGATGAAGTTGCGTCGGCGAACTATGTCGATATAAGTGTCGAAGTGAAGGAATGGAAGGTACATGTAAAGGTAAGCTGAAGAAGGCCCAGCTGGACTAACACGGCCTGAAAGGTTGGGAGAGGGGTGAGGCGAGGGAGCTTTCCGGCACGATCAGTTCATGTAGCATATGACTCATTTTGCGCAAAATCTCACCAGAGTTAAGAGGAATGATGTTGCAAGCCGGTTTTACGAACGATGCTTGCGATTGGGAATGCCTGCCAATGACGTGTTTCGATGCCCAGTTATCATGATTGAAGAGTTTCACGAAGCTTGGGTCATTGGGGTTCGCCAGAACCCTAACAACATCCTACATCGCATTGATTAGCGCGGCCGTGAGAAAATGGCGCTCCCATTCTTACCTTGACCCAAGAGGGATTGGTGAACGGGGTGTGAATCCACATGAATTTTCTTCCCGTCGGATCAGGTCTGGAGAATCCAGCCGTCAGATCCTCCAAGGCGGAAGCCCTCGAGTATCGGTCTTGTCGTCTAGACAGCGGCTCTGAGTAGCTCTTCTCGACGCCCGTCGCCGCAAAAGGCTCGGGGTCTGCCGTCTTGGGCGATAGCTCTAGCTCTGTTGGATCAGACCGTGTGCTGTCGGCATGGCTGCTTCGACTGGATGGCCGATTGAATCCCGGCGGAGACAAGGCCGGCACCTTGAGGCTTTGCATGCGACGAAGGGTATCGAGGGGCATCGAGTTGGAACCTCCGGCCATGGAAGGGCGTGTGACGACGATGCCGGGCGAGCCCTGGCTTTCCGAATCGGAGCTCTTGGGTCTGCTCCCAGTGTCGGAGCCAGCCCGCCAAATCTTTTGCCCCAGCTCTTGGAAGCCAGCGAGAATTCCTAACCCATTAGAGCTCTGTTGTGAGTCTTGCTGGCTTGGGTGAGGCGGATTAGGATCGGATCGCGGTCGAAGCGCGGTCCTTCTCAGTCGCTCCTCCAGGCAGCGCTCAGGACCTTTATGCAAGAAGTCTTGTAGATTACGCTTGGTGAAGTATAACCGGATGGCGGATTCCATTTCTGCATCTGGGTCTTCATAGAAGCCAATGATCTCGACTTTGACGTGTCTCTTGAGATTCAGCGGCGTGTGGATGTACTGAGAACTCAAATCTGTTGCCTTTTGGACCGCTGCAGAGAGCTCGCGCAGGTAAGTGTTCATCGTTTCTGTGTTTCCCTCCCCGAACGATGCGCAATTGGCATGTTCACTATCCAAAGAGAAGACCCGTTCTTGCCTCACGCCGAGTAATGATGACTTGATGGAAGCAATCGGAGCACCGAATCGGACTTGCTTCGCTAAGCCTCGACTCGTGGATCCAGAGCCTGAAAGCTGCGAGTCGATGGTCTCGTAGAAGGTCCAGATTCTGAGCTCACTAGCAATGGTTGAGAACTCTTCGTCCATCCTTAGAAGAGGCTTGTGGCCTAATCTCAAATCGTTGGATATCGAGCGTGGAAGCGGTCGCTGGAGGCGAAGAAGGTGGCTAATGCTGTCTTCCAGGTTGTTCATTGACAAGTAGCTGGAGCCCTTGTGCGGAGTTGCTTAGGTAGCGTCAATATTGAAGGTTTCTGTGTCTACCATCCTACAGGAAGAGGATGGACTTACCAAAAAATGTGACCCCATGGCAATTGTACATGAATGGCTTAAAATGCTCGGTCTTTGTGGCTTTGAGAAGAGCCAATTTGACGACCAGGCCGCCAATACTGTGGGCAATGAAGAACAGAGGCCGGGACCGTTGCTGAAGCCTTGTCACCCTGTGAAACCCTTGAAAAGACGAAATTAAAACACTTACATTGCCATATCTCGTGTTCCAAACTTGCTCAATCAAATCGTTGGCGAGCTCTTCCAACGTGACTCCCTCAATCAACTCACGATGCCGGTAGAGCAGCACCCGGGCCTCACTCACCTCCTTCCGGATCCCCTGCCTTACCCAGAGATGAGTCGCCTTGGGAAGATGTCGATTGATCGTCGGCGACAGAATGCTAGCTCCTGCAAGCTCTTTCAACGCAGTCGGCGGCACATCGGCGGCCCGTCCAAAGTATCCGTCCGGCAGCGGGTCACGGGCCCAGGTTTCCACCGGGTCGGCGCCGGGACACGGCACACAAACGATGTCGACCAGAGTCTCATTGTACCCGCGCCCGTTGACATCGCCGTCAATGTGCGCGAAGCCTGGCCGTGGTTCCGAGTACGATGAAGTACTTGGCTGGGGAGGCGACTCGGTCCTGTCCACTTGTGTTTCTTCCGAGGGCTGGCCAGGCGGCAGCGTCGAGGGCGGATGAGTGCGCTCGGGGCTGTCGTTCTGAGCGGCCGCGACTTCGTCGAGGACGGCGTTCTCAGTCTCGCGCGTCCAGTCCTTGTACTCTGACATATTGCCTCATCACTTCAAATCCCGTATGAGATGGCATGGAGCTTTCTTGCGACGAGTGACCTGGGAGGCGAGTTCGCTTAAGAATGACGGGATCCCTGCCAAGCACATCTCGTTCGTCTTCAAATATTTACAGCGCAGTCATGATCCGGACGCCTGTTTGCTTATGCAGCCACCAAGGCGACCCCAACCCCTGTGAGTCTGCGTGACCTGCAGCCAGGCTGCATGGTTATTGCTGACGGTGGCAGGCTGGCTCGTTCACCAGCCTCAATCCCCCCTAGTCCCGAGGACAAGCTGCGGACCGAGCCTCAGAGGACCGCCATCTCGGATTGGAGCTTGCGCGGGTAGCCTGCAGGAGGATCAGCCTACGCTAACTCCTCGTGGTCAGCTACGGCCATCACCTGGACAATTAAGGCCACAGGCAACTGCGGCTTTTTGCTGAGACAGGGTTTCTGGCCCTCTGCCGTGATTGGAGCCGACCACCGGTGAACACTCTGTCATATTGGAAATGCGATGTAAAGAGAGTGAGAATGCCAAGAAGCCTCACAGGAGCCTCCTGAGAGCCTCACACTCGGGTGATGACAATGATTCACCATCCACATAAGGCTGGTTGACTCATCCAGAGGCCGTGTGCTTGGGTGTTTGTTGAGCGAAATGTCAGCTCCTAAATTGGCAAGTTCGCCCACTAAAATCGCCAAAAGTGAGCTGTGCCGCGGATCCGAGTTAAGGCGGTTATGGGCGCTCACAGTCATCTGATCTGAGCAGCGCCCCCGAAGAGATGAAGATGACGCACAGAATTCGAAGAGCCTAGAGCCTTGATCACTTCTTGAAAATCCTTCATTAAAGCATATGTTGACGCGAATATGCCAGGTAGTCATTGACGGCACGGAAGTTCCGTGACGGCACACAAGCCCGCAGCTGATCGGGATTCGGTCGACACATGTCGGCTTCTGTCGGTACATGTTTTTGTGCTTGGTCCAGCCCGGCTCAATGTCGACAGTCAATGAATTCACCTCTCATGGTCCCTGTATCAGCATCACAAGGAATCCCACCCAGTCTCTATGCGTCGACATGAGATGCCCGGTAACACATCGCAGGCAGTTGAGGGGTCTGGTGAATAAACATGCACATCCAAAGAGTCGCGGCGTTCAGTCGACGAAAGGAAAGGGGCGTTTGAAGGTACGTACTCCCAGGTTCCACTCTCAGCACGGGGTTCTCAGCGATGGAACGCGGGGCATCGGCCATTCCGCCGAGTTTGCATTAACCCAAGCGTGATGATAAGAGCAGTGGATCTTCTACATGCTGAGCCTGTTCTACAGCAGCCAAATCACTATCCGGTATCCCCATGTCCTCTCTGAACTCACGGTGTCGCCTATTCAATCTTCAAGATGTCTTCATGGGCGGAAAGCAAGTCGCAAAACCGCAGTCTGCAGATTCTCCAAGCGGCCACCGAGGGCAAATATGGAGTTCTCTCCGTGGTCATGTAAGTATCCTCGGCTACCACTAGACGTAGTCTCTAGAATATGATACTGAGACCTGCTACCTAAGTTACAACATTGAGCACCTCACTGCAGTCGTTCGCGCAGCAGAGGCCAAGAAATCACCCATGCTGATTCTCTTATTCCCTCTGACTGTCAAGCAGCTCCCGACTCTACCATGGGCCGTCGCTGCAGCCATCAAATCTGCAAAGGTCCCACTTGCCTTGCACCTCGACCACGCCCAAGATGAGCAGCAGATTCGTGACATTGCTGGGTCTCTGCCCTTCGACTCAATCATGGTCGACATGAGCCACTACGACCATGAAGAGAATCTAGCCAAGACAAAGGTCTTGACGAGAGTCTGCCACGATCATAGCATCGCCGTTGAGGCGGAGAGTGGACGCATCAACGGCGGAGAAGACGGCATCGCAGACACTGGCGACTTGGAAGGTACGCATGAGCTCAACTCATCTTGTGGTTCTGCCGCTAACTCGAACAGCCCTGTTCACAAGCCCTGAGGAGGTTGAAGACTTTATCGATGCCGAGATTGATCTCTTGGCACCCAGCATCGGCAACATTCACGGAGACTACGGCCCCAAGGGCCCTCAACTCGATTACCAGCGCTTGACAAATGTCAACACGCAAATCAACAACCGCGTTCTCATGGCGTTGCATGGCACCAATGACTTTAGTCCGGAAATCATGAGACGATGCATCGATAATGGCGCTATCAAGTTGAACGTCAATAAACTGCTTCTAGAGGTCTGGAACGTCCACTTGAGGGAGAATGCTAGCAAGCCATTGACACAACTGATGGAGGACGGGATGAACATCTTGCAAAAGGAGACAGAGCGGTGGATTGATATCTGCGGCAGCGCTGGGAAGGCTTAATGTGTTCGGTTTCAGCACTCTCTGCCATAATTCAATCCCACGACATCACGCCGAGTCCCATAACTTCATGTTGACTCCTTCTCAGGTCTTCTCGTCGCCCAACTTGATAGGTCCCAAAATGAACGTAAGTGATCTCTCAAGAGGCGTTTCTGATTCGCCCAATGATCCTGGTTGATGCGTTAAGTGGCTGGTTTGCAGCCAATGATCGCGAGCTCCTGTTTTTCCAAATTTTTGAGGAACAAATTGGACAAACAGCCAGCCATGTCCTCGCCAGGCGGCACAGGTGGATTTCGTGGAAATGTGTCAGAGCTACCAGATTGTTTCCAGATTTGTCCAACTCCATTTCCTGCAGAGGTACTAAAGGCTACGGTCATCACTACAACCGATATCGTCCGTTCACTATGCTTAGTTCATAACCTCGACCAACAACTTACATCAGTCGCTATTTTGTTATCTGGTTAAGAAAATCAATTCCAAGCTCAGCGCTCTCCTTTTGGCTCGACAATGGCCACGATGGACTATGGCGCCGAAGCGGTCAACAATAAATCCGAAGCCAAAAGGTTACAGGATGAACGATTGAGTCGTTACCTCGACGACAAAAACGGACCAATGCCTCTCAGCGCGTTGGCGGTGCAGGGAAGCGAGAGAAGACAGCGAGCTCTAGCCGAGCTCTTGGGCATCTTTGCGGGGTTCACGTATCTCGAGAAGATGGCACGGGGAGATGTTACACAGGAGGCTGCCAACGAATACCACCCCACACCACAACGTGCGTTCAACTACCGCCAAAATCCGTATATCGTAAACCAGTTTACAGAAGAATCCGGCATTTTATTCCTACATGATCCCGAATACCCAAATCTTGAAGAATTCGAAGCATCAGGCGCCTCCGAAAGCAAAGATGACTCGCAACCTCAGCAAAGTTCCCGTCAAGCGGATTCAACAGATGAGATAAAGCTGGCGTGGTCCGGCCTTCGAGGTGTGCGGAAGGGCCTGAAACGCCAACATCAACGACTCCAGGATATAGCGTCCAAGTCATCTTCGGCCAATATTCGGAAACTTTTAGACGCCTACATCAGCCCTAAAAGAATGGGAGAAATGGGAATCTTAGCATACCGAGACGTCCTCGACTTCATTGTCCCCGATACTCTTGCCGAGGTTGTTGCTTTTACTTCATTGTCCTACGTCATCTCGAATCTCCTGCTCCAACGCGGCCGGATCGCCGAAACCGACGTTCTCTCTGGCATACAGCGCTGGGGAGATTGTATTGTGAATGTCGACGATCGGAAGGCTTTCGCTTCATTCGCTTCGGAGATGTGGCCTCTGGAGCATCTCCGAACTATGAACGAGGTCGCGAAAAGCAACGGGCAAGACGACGACAAAGACTCGAATCGCTCGAGGTCTAAGCACCCAGCGGCCGATAATCGTGGTTCCTTAGAACTACCGAATGTCCAGTCTACACCACAAGCTATTGGGGGTAGCAGCACGTCAAAGGAGATTCGAGAAGCGGCCCTACTCAACTCGTATGGCCTAGAAACGCTACCAGAAACACGACCATCAGCATTAATACAACATCCATACGGGTCTCCGTCTCTGGATAATGATGTTCTGAACATCATGAATCAGACCTGGGAAGAGTATGACTTCAGTCAATTTTCCTCTTTGCCCCAAAGCCCTGCCTTCACTGCAGGGGGACCGGGATTTCATCACGACGAACTTTCTCCCCGTCCTGGCGTGGACCCGAAGAGTATGGATTACTATTGGTCTGGCCTTTCTCTCGAACTCATTCCTTCTCAGACCTTTTCGCCCATGCCCGACCCTCCTTTACCCGCGCCGTCGGCACCTGCTGTCGAGGAACGCGCTTCTGTTGGCTCGGAAGTAGACAAACGGCACATCATCAACTTCCAATGTTTCAATAGAGATAGTGACACGGCAATCTTCAAGCTTAGAGATACTCCGATGTTCCTAGCTGTTCTAGTATTCTCGCATGACACCGGCGACTTCTTCTATCGACTATCAGGATGTGGGAAAACAGTACATTGTACTAAACGAAGCTCAGCCTACACCATTGAAAGATCAAAAGCCGAAAAAAGACTGCGCAAAGAAGTTTTCGATCCGATGAAGAAATCAGAGTCAGGCAATGTGGCATTCCTGGCGTTGTTGTCAGTAGCCAAGAGGTTTGTTGTCCTGGGAAGCCTGGGAACTCTCAAAGATGTCCAAGATTACTTGGTCGCAATCTCTCGTGTAATTATTGATCCCTCTCGCTCATCAACATGTCCCCACCGACCACGATCTGATCTCTATCAATAGGAAGTCATTGAGCCTGGCCAGGAGTACGAAAAGTTCGTTCGTTGGGTCTACAGTTCCTCCACCACCCCTCATTCATGCATGGAGTCGCCCCCGGACACGAAGACTAACCAAGATGCTTTTCCATCAATGGCACAAGATGAGTAAGCTCCAAGTTTCATTCTCCCTTCGCCTGGGGGCACATGATTGACCGACGGGAAACAGACAGATCCATCAGCAGATCTATCAATGCGAAGTCCCGAACTGCACAAAGACATACAAGACGGGCTCTGGGCTCTGGAAGCATAAGCAGAAACAGCATGAAAAGGACGTCGTGAGAATAGCATGTCCCCATGCCGGTTGCACTTACGAAGACATCCGGCGGGATCTTGTGAGGCTGCATTACCAAAGACTGCATAGTCTGGACTTGCCTGCGGCTCTGAAAGCCGGAAGCCGGGGCCAGAAACGTCAAAGAGTCTCATGATTTGTCTAGAGAAGAGTTCGATTAGTGCCGTTGGCTTGTAAAGCCAAAAGACGACGGCACATCCTTCCACCTTATTTATCGAAGGAGGCTGGGCGCTGATTTGACATTTGCGGTAGCAAAGTTAGGCTTTGGAATGAGCGACTGTTTATCATGGTTCAGTAATGAAAGAACGATTTGGAGCGAACGTTGCATGAGCATGGCGCAATTTTTTGAGGAAATTGAGTAACTTTTTGTATCAAGTAATTTTGGGTACCTACAGAGTTGTGCAATGAGGTGGATAGGCGACTTTCGTCCCTTCCAGTCGTGAGGCTGTTCTATTTTCGTAGAACTGGCATTATCTTTGGCACCTTTGCGGTCACTTGAAGTTCGTGTCTGTCTTATCTCTTTAGAATAACTACATCAAGGGTCGTTCAGACCGTTTTGAAAGCCCCAGTGTTAAAACGTTGGCCAATTCCCTTTCAAGGCTTAGACAACACTCATATCGCACCCCGTACCAGGAAATCTTGGCTTTCATATCACTTAATTACGCCTTCATTAGGAACTATTCGAAGGATGTCAGAAAGCTTGATGTGCAAGTATGGTCGGCTTTTCTATCAACAGTGAAGTCACAGTTGCGTAACCAGAAACAAACGGAGAAAATTCTCCATCTGCCCCGGGAGAACAACTATTAGAGAGCTAGCGATCATAATTCTGAAGGGTTTCTACTTTATGCCAGTAGTCCGTTCAGTATGTTGCGAGAACCACCTAGAAAAGATGAAATAGTAGATGTACTCCCTGATATTGAAAACTAGTCCAGGCGAATGGGCGAAGAGGCGAATGTAAGTGAGTACCTTACGCTAATACTTTCTTTCTTCGGGGCCCTTTCCCCCTATTTCTAATGTTCCGGTACTGTCATCAATCTTTCGTTTCCCGAGCTTGCTTTTTCTCTCTTGATTCAACGGGGTTTTCTGTATTTACCCAGCATTTAATCGTCCCGATCATGCCGATAAATGTAGTAAGGATGCATGCAGTTGGCCGTGTGAAAACCACGACGGATGTATTAGGTCGAAGATCTTCGATCATGTAAAGGGTCTCTTGATCCAGCTCAAATAATCGTGCAACTCTTGGTGTCAATAGTAAGTCGGAAAAATCACTTCATCGGACGCGAACAAGACGACTGGTCTTTCTGCATCCGTGAACTTACTTACGTAATCACAGTCCGGCGACTAAGAGACACACACTGAAGAAGGCCAAGGAAAACAAAAGCTTGCAGGACAACGTACAGTCAAGCAAAAGATTACCATGCGGCCAGTGTGGATTGAACACACGACCTTCAGATTAAGTGATTGAAGTTGACTTCAGTCTGACGCTCTCCCAACTGAGCTATGTCCGCCGCTGGATGTTGTTGACAAAGGGTTGGGCGAAAGGACTCATGAATCGTGGCCTAGGGCTCCAAACCCTGCGGATCCTCTAGCCGCGTATTTCCCGGTACGGCGGCTGGACATCTCCTGCATCTGAAGTAACCTAAACTTTGCCAAAGCAACATGAAATCAGAAAGTGTTGTTAGTAAGAGGTTTCGTCTCAAGTGCATCGCTTAGCTAGCTAAAGACATTTAGGACAGGTTCATTGTTGTTGATTGCAGTGATGGAACATGGCGATACCATGAAACTCACGCACTAGCCAAATCCAAATGTCAGGTCATGAATTGTTCCTCAATCTTCTACGCCGTAGGGGTCGTTTTCTCTCGCTGCTCCAACACATAGCCAAAAGCCTCATCTAATATCCTCAGACCCTCCTCAATCTCCTCGGCACTCACAGTCACCGGAGGCGCCAGCCGGAAAACACCGCCCATGCCCGGCAGATTAACAATGTTACACGACAGACCCAAAACCATTGCCCTATCGGAAACAGCCTGTCCAAGGTCCGATCCAGGCGCCTTTGTCTCAGCGTTGGAAATAATCTCGATACCCTGAAGCAAACCACGTCCACGAACATCGCCAATGCACCAATACTTCTCCTGAAGCTTCAAGAGGCCAGCACGAAGTTGTTCTCCGCGGTCGGTCGCGCGCTGGCAAATGTTGTCGCGTTCTACAATCTCAAGGACCTTGTTGCCAACCGCTGCTGTGAGGGGGTCGTTGAGATGGGTCGTCAACCAAAGAAAACCGGCCTTCTTGCACCCTTGCGCGACCTCGGCGGTCGTACTGACAGACGCCAGGGGCAGACCGCACCCCAAAGTCTTTGACAAGCAAAGGATATCGGGGACGGTATCGTCGTGCTCGAATGCGAACATCTGGCCGGTCCGACCCACCCCCGTCTGCGCCTCGTCGAGAATGAGCAGCATGTCGCGCTTCTTGCACTCCTCGCTCAGGCGCTTGAGGTAGCCCTTGGGCAAGTCGAGGATGCCGCCGGTAGAAAGAATGGGTTCCATGATGAATGCCGCCAGAGACCCGACACTCTGCCTATCAATCATGGACCAGCCAAAGTCCATCTCCTTCTCCCAGTCGTAGGCGCCGTCGGGCGTGCGAAAGATGGAGCGGTAAGCGTATGGTGCGGGGAACGCAAGCTGTCCCGGCATTGCGGGGCCGGCGTTCTTTCGGCCGGCGGAGTACGTCGCGGAGCCCGAACCTGAAGTCAGGCCGTGATAACTGGCCGACATTGCGACGATTTCGAATTTGCCGGTGTGGAGCTTCGCCATCTTAATGGCGGCTTCCGTCGTTTCCGAGCCAGTGTTGAGGAAAAAGGACTGGAGGCGCACATTAGTAAATACGATCCAGACAAACTGAGCATCGTGGAAGGCGGGTGTACCTTTTCAAGGGGGGCGGGCAGCAGCTTGCCCAGTCTCTCAGCGAGATCAGCAACAGGTTGAGTGATCATATTGCTAAGCAGATGATCGAGCTCGGCGACGTATTTCTGAACAACCTCCACAATTTCCGGATGTGAGTGACCTAAGACAGAGCTCATTTGACCAGACGTAAAGTCCAAGATTTGGCGCCCTTCGGCATCGTAAAGCTTCGTGCCCTTGGCTTTAGTGATGATGACAGGAGAGTAAGGGACGCGTGTGGACATCAGATACTTGTCGGTCTTCGCCCAGAAGGCGGCTGTGCTCTCGGAAGCCATGATGAATGATTGCTTGACAAAAAATTGGTAGTCTTCAGGATAGAAAAAGAGCGCCGGTGATATTTCGCTGCATATTGGTCCAAATCTTGCACTGACGCGAGTATTTAACCGGTTTTCATAACGAGATCTATGAGTTTACCGCGGGTAGCGGGGTTGAGGGGCCATATCAACTTGCCCGAGGCTGATGCTTTTCCCGCGGAGCAAATCAAACGACTACACCATAGCTTACATGTACGCTTTCTAGCACAAGCCTTTCTTAGGTTGATCTGCGTTCAAATCGGATAAATAAACAATCAAATTTCCTAGTTCCCCGAGGAAAAGTGCTACTACCAATGACCATTACATATATCAACACGGACGCCTTATCGTGGTAAGCCTCTCTCCCAAGCCTATTCATCCACTCGCTTATTCCTCGCCATCCAAGCCTCAAGCTCGCCAATTCTACCAAGCAACCCAATGTGTTCCACGTAGCTGTCTGGGCGAACGTACACGTATCCCGCATTGTCGAACCCATACAACTTGTGCAAGCTCCCGTCCTGATCAAAGTACCCCACGTCTTCTTGGCTGGAGATGATGTGCACATCAACAGGCCCGCAGCCAGCAACAGCAGCATTCAACTCCTTCTCGGACGTACATCTCTCGCCCGTTCCAGTGAACAGAAGAAGCTGATAGCCCAAAGAACGGAAGAGATCATAAAGCTTTCCTTGCCCATCGGGTCCAATCAAAGTGCCGTTTGGCGCTCTATCTCCTCCGCGCACCGGACCACTAAAGTTGCTGCCAGTAGCCACAATGTCGCTCTTTCTATAGCGAATGTTGAGTTGAGATGAGAATCTGTAAGCCATCTTCCAGCGATCCGAGTCTCTGAATATCAGAGGTTGAACAAGCGGCCCCAAATAGTTGCGAAGCAACGTAGCAAAGAAGTTCTGCGAGGTCATGACTGTGAAAATCCGGTCAGTCCTGGCGAGTACCGTCTTGCCCACTGGCGATCTCTCGTTGTTGTATGTATCAAGGAATCCTCCTTCTCTCTTGTGCTGCAGCACCTCCGCCAGCTTCCAGCCCAGGTTAATCGCATCTTGTATTCCAGTGTTCATGCCCTGGCCACCTGCAGGGCTATGAACATGAGCGGAATCTCCGGCCAGGAATAGTCGCCCATCGCGGTAGCTATTCACCCCACGATTGGACAAGTGGAATTTGTTCAGCCAAATCGGGTCGAAGAGCTCCCCTTGGCCCGGTGCCATCTTATCGAGCTGGTCTTGGAAGTCTTGGAGTGTTGGGTCTCTGTCCGTTTTCCCCAGCCAGCTGCTCCCGGCAAGCCGAATCACGTCGTCATCGAGAGGCATTACAATGAGCGAACCCTGGCCGAGCATGAACATGGCCTTTGCTTCTTGAGGCTGCTTCCACTTCACGCGACAGTCGCAGAGGAGGAACTCCTGCGGGTACTCTGCGCCCTTGAACTGGAACTTTGTGCCAGCTTGTCGAACGGTGCTGTTGGATCCGTCGGCGCCAACAACATATTTGCAGCGAAGATTTTCGACTTGCGTTCCTCTCTTGAGCGTAACCGTCACTCCAGTCTCGTCCTGATTGATCGACTGGGCTGTTGTACCGCGTTCTGGGAGGATCTTTGAGACCTCCTCCAGGCGCTTATTCAAGAAGCGCTCCGTCTCGGCTTGTGACGCCAGCAAGGGACGCGGAAAGTCCGTTCCATACTCGCGCGCTAGTTCGTCCGAGCTGCCGAAAGTGATGTCGAGGACAGGTTTCTGATTGATCCACGTCGCAATGCCGCTGGGTTGCCGTGCCCGTGAGATGAGTTCCTGGATGTCTCCGTAACGGTAGAGCAACTCCTGGCTGCGAGGTTGCACCACAAGAGCTCTCGATTTGTCGGACTGTTCTGCCCTCGATTCCACAATCCGGAAGTCGACCTTTCTCGCGGCTAACTCAATCGCCAAGGTCAGACCAGTGGGACCGGCCCCAACGATGAGGACATCACATGCAGTCTCCGACATCTTTGTGAGGAGTGAGCAGTACAACTTCGGATGAGATAACCCAATGAGCGGATATCTCTGGTGAATGTAGGATTCATAACAGCGAAAAGAGAGCCACTTGCTTGGATTTATCGCTCAGACTGTGATGACGTTATGGATGACGCGGGTCTCAGTTTGTGGCTTACAACTAATGCTCTCGATCCAGCTTATTTTTTACACCCAGACAGCAATAGCGCAATGGTGAAACAACCCTAGTATATCTATAAGAAGATAGCCAATCTGCCCACGAAGCAGCTTTCAACGCTTCTCATTGGCACACGCATTCCCATCAGAATATTCAAGACCGGCCATGTGTTTGTTACCCACGAACGAATGACTGGGATGGGGAAACACAACATAGCATAAGATCTACCAAGGAACGATCCACTCACTTACATGTCCTAAGTGATCTGATGATACTTGTGGTTCACTACCTAGAGGCTATACAAGGTTAGCCGACCTAGTTGAGTTCATTCTCTATGATATTTGCTCGCCTACAGGAGTCAAGCAAGAGTAGCACGTAAAATAGATGGACAATGCCCAGTTCCTTATAGGCTTTTACATCGACAGTCACGAGATTCGCACCTTCAGCGAACGACAGCAACGACCTGCGGACACGGAAGCAAATCACGAAGGGCAAAACAAGGATGTCCGAACGCAGCACCACAATATATCTTCTTTCTACGCAAAAGTCCATAGAAAATCCCAGACTCAGAAGTCCTGTGTCCTTGGGCATCAAAATTCATGTCAGGCTCCGCCGATCACGGCACACAACGCCTGGTGGACATGCAAGTCGCTGCACTCAAATGAGCAGCAATGCATCAGGCCACCGGTCCTCCGGCCAAAAGCAACTTCATGGTTGGTCTTGGTGCTGGATTGGACTGTTGGTTCTCAATGACTGCAATCTGTTGACGCTGATTTGCTCGGCCGCTGCAGGAGGCCGACAACTCCACACACACACTCGCAGATTGCCGCGCCTAGCCCATCAGCGAACAGCGGCAAAGAAGGGTTATAAGAGAAGAGGATTTTCTCTCACCCAAACGATTTCGAAAATTATTCAGGCTTTTTTCATTCCGACTTTTCCCCTGCAGCAGATCATCATGTCCAACGAGTCCTTCCATCGGATCGATCCCAACGGGGACGTTGTGCTCATCCTTCGCAACCCCAGCGCTTCGTTTGCAGTTTGGGACACAGATATCCCAGCTGGAGAAAATGTTCTCAAAACAACGTAAGATCTACACTGGGTGTCTTTCGAATTGCTGCCCCGGTGACTCTGACTTAATAGCAGTGCAGATCCGGGCACGAGTTTGTCTGACAATATCTCGACACTTCAGGCCCCTCTCATTGAAGATGATGTGTTCGCTTGGCCTACCCGACTCAAGTCTGAATTGAACGGCATAAAGGGAAAGAAGAAGAAGAAGAAGATGATGATGATGATGAACCATGACGAGGCAGCGTTAACGACCGCAGAAACACCGCTTCAAGACACCGACGAGGTTTCCATTGCTGAACCATCAGCAGCAGGTCCTTCAGGTTCGATTGGCTATCAATGGTCACTTACTTCGGAAGCAATTGAATCTATCCCAGTGGAAGAGGCATACCCAGAGCCGATGCCAGAGCCATACGAGGAGCCGGTGCTAGAGGCATACGAGGAGCCGCCGCCAGAGCCAATGCCAGAGCCGGCCGCAGAGGCATACGAGGAGCCGCCGCCAGAGCCATACGCAGATGCGGTTCCAGAGTCATACGAGGAGCCGGCACCAGAGACATACGAAGAGGCGCCGCCAGAAGCATGTGAAGAATTGGTGGTCAAGTATCTTGTGTCATCCAGACATCTGGCACTTGCATCGCGATACTTCTCAGCCAAGCTATCCGGTCCGTGGATCGAAGCTTCAGTCAAGCATCTTGATGGCTGTTATCACATGGAAGCGACAGATTGGGATTCCAAAGCACTTCTTATACTCATGCAAGTTATCCACGGAAAGACGAGAAGTGTGCCGCGTCTGGTGAATCTCGAGATGTTGGCGAAGCTCGCAGTTCTCATTGACTACTACGACTGCCATGAGGTCATTGAGATTTACATTCCCAGGTGGATTAATCCCTTGAAAATCAACCTGCCGACAAATATCGGTAGAGACATGGTGTTGTGGCTTCTCATAGCACAAGTCTTCCAACAAGACGATATTTTTCAGCAAATGACACAAATCGCCGTCTTGCAAACTACCGACCCTGTACAAACACTTGAACTTCCAGTCCCATCTTTCGTGGTTGGTAGGTACTTACACTGTGTTCTTTGCAGGTGGTCCATTGCTGAGTGATGAACAGATATGATAGATTGGCGCAGACAAGATGGGGTTGAGTTCATTTTGACAGTCCTTCACAATCTCCTCGATGCGTTCCGCAATGAGACAGCTGGGTGTAGTTTCGAGTGCAGTAGTATTCTTTTGGGGGCTCTCACGAAAGAGATGGACAAGCACAAGTTATTTCATCCTCGACCAACAAAGCCGTATTCGGGATACTCCGTTGCAAATCTGGAGACGCTCGTCCGTGCCTTTCGCTCCCCCAAATGGAACGCATTTCCTTCCTATAATCGCCACTCTACACAACACTCGTGTAACCTTCAGAGTATGATATCATGCTACCTCAACGCGGACTTTGACAAAAGCAAGAAGGGCTTCAAACTTTATGAGATGGTTTTGCGCGATGTCAAGGGGAAGGCCAACGGTCACCAGTGGAGTGAGGCATCATTTCGTCGTTCATATACTTTGAGGAAGTTCTAAGATGCCATTGCCTTGAATTGAGCTGGAGTTCAATGAAATTTCTTTTGGGCGATGTCATGTCTTGCTTGGATGATTAGATTAGTCTAATACAATGCCATAGCCTTTCTCAACTTCAGGTCATCACTCCCAAGCGCTGCAAAAGATTGCCAGTATCGCGAACCACATATGGACTTTCAAGGCAAAATGAAAATTTTAAGAAAGGGTTCTAGTGTTCTTTCATTTACAACTGCGAAGATCTCAGGATGTCTGGGCATTCTATAGTGCTCAGGATCAGCATCGCTGACTGGTACATAGGTACTTTATGCATTCAAGTAATTATACTAGACACTAGGCACAACGAGTTGGTCAATATCCGGGCCCCATCCCTCTGATTTCGAAAATGTGATCAAGTTTTCACCCTGCTGGAGGTTGACGTGAATAGCGCTGCTTCCGGTGGTGGAAAGATGAGACGTCGCGAGGAAAGCGGCTGATTGATCTTCGTCGTTGACAGACACTGCGGCATGGCGCGAGGCAGTATCACCGTTCTTATGGTTGACAATGAGGGTGACCCGCTCAGCCTCAGCCACAGTGAAGTTGAAAGTAGCAGTACCATCTTCGTCCCCGCCCAGATATCCGGCAGCCGCAGAGCCACTACACTCCGAACATTCGACGACGCGGGCACCGTTGGAGAGTGCGCCAGTCTCGCCCTCGATCTCGTTTGTGATTGTACTCTCAGACCAGGTGCCTGCGGCTGTATCAAGGTTCCAGGAATCGTGCCAGTTGAGAGTCACAGTTGTACCATCAAACTGAAGAGGCAACCAGATGTAGGTGCTGGCAGCAAGGTTTGTCGAGTGCCACCTATCGCCCATGTAGATGGCCTTGTCCGTGCCAAGGGGAAGCACGAAGCTGACTTGGCTGTTGTAAGTCTTGGAGCCGACGGGTGCGAATTCCGTCCAGTTGGACCAAGGTCCAGAGAGAGACGTGGCGTAGCTATAGACCTATGAGGGTGTGAGCAAGTCTCATCGAAAGTTTGACGGGCTCGGTCTTACGTTGTCATTGGGGTTCCAGCCTGTGAGGTGCGAGCCGAAAATGAAGTATGTGCCGTCACGCTTGACAAGCGCGGGAGACTCGGCGAAGTACTCCCAACCAAAAGTTACCTCGGCAACATCGAGGTAGTCATCCGTGAGTTTGATGATGCGGGTTCCATACTCGCGCTGTTTTGTGATTAGTTGAATTATTGGAATGGGAAAAGGGTCTTCAGACTTACATCCTCGCTCAACAGGTACGCGCTGCCATCATCATCCTTGAAGATGCCAATATCGCGGCTCTGGAAATCGAACGGGCGGAAGCTTCGAATGTACTCATACTGACCACAGACGCTGTCGCCTGTTGCGACGCCGACTTTGGCATCCTTGTAGTCGGACGAATCGATGTGGAGATGCAAGACGTACTTTCCAGTCGCATCGTTCTTGGTGACTTTGGGTCGCTCAATGATGCGATTGGGGCCGAGATCACCAGCCTCCTCGGTTCGAGTCAAGAGGCGTCCCTGAAAGCTCCACTCAACCAAGTTGGTGGACGAGTAGCAGTTGACTGCTTGGAATGAAGCACCATCTGTCTTCTCCTCGCCAATCATGTAGTAGACACCATCTTCCTCGCTAATCAACGTTAGCTGTCTCATACACTTGAGCCGTAATCCCAATTTAGCAAGCGGGAGGACTAAGTTTAACTAACATGATACCTGCGCCATGAGCTTGGACGTGCTCTCCAGTATTTGTCTGTGGATAGGCGAGTCAGAATAAGCTTCTTCAATCAACTAGGATCCACTTACGGCAGTCCATGTTGCCCCTGGAACGACACTGAGGGCAGCCTTTACACCGCCCACGGTCAGGGCAGCAGCCAGAGCAAGTGGTGAGGCACGCATGGCTACTATTGGTCTCAAAATGACTGCTTGACGAAGTATGGAGGCTCGGTTTTCGAACTTCAATTTGCTCAAGCAGCATACTCGGACTGCGTGGCACTTGCGACATTTGTATACATCCTCAATGTCCAATGCCAATGTCTTGGCAACTTACATGTCAGGACTTATTACGTAGTTGCGCAGCCATACAGAATCCTCTGGTTGTTGCGCCTATAGAATCAATGGTTCGGGTCAGTGTAAAGCGAAAGAGCAAAATGTCCAAGCCATGCAGCGTAGCATTCGACAGGTTGAATTCGGTTAGTCTTCCGACGAAAACACCACTGTGGGGGTGTCGGAGCCGAGGATTGCGTTGTTTCCCCAGCTTCTTTATCACACTATAACGGTGATGTTCAAAAGCAACCTCCACAGCCCCGCATCAAATGCGGGAAAACCTGCTGATTCAGTCCGTGTCATCTTGCAGTCAGTCGCCTTGCATTTAATAGTCGGATGCCAAGTAAACTCGACTTCGCACGCATCGAGTTGTCGAAGGAGGGGATGAGTTGGGGAAATCACCTGCCACCAGGCTACCACCGGGAGGGCAATCTCGGAATGCGCAGCGAATATTCCTTAGCTTTCTCACTACACTGTTGTCCAATTTTTGATAATGGGACGGTAATCAATGTCCTGAATTGGAACAATTCCCGTTCATTGTTTACATAAGCATCGACATGGGAGTATCTCATATTACAAAGCCAGCGAATTACGAATCATCTGCATGCATTGAGGTGCCTTCAGGAACCAGGTCACTGAACATCGGGCGCATATACTTTGAGGCTGCGGATATGTTTACAGTTCGCCGCCTTCATTTTAGTTCCCTTAGTTGCAGTCCTTTACGTCAGCTACCAGACTATTACTGCGAGTGCAGGGTGTTGAGACTAGGAAGATTGGCGAGGCTAAATGTGCACCAGCTGAACTTTATGGCATGCAGATTGGCTAGAGGTCAAACTCAGAGCCCAGCGCATTTGCTTATCCCGTGGCCTCTAAACGACTAAAGCCGAGTAGCCGTTTTCAAACGACTTCGACAAACTGCATTTTGTTGATGTCCTAGATGACTGTCAGAACACCTAGTGATATGAAAATGAGTTAAGATGTATTAATCTTCAGTAATCGGAGGCTTTACTTATTTTCTGTTCACCACTGATCATAACCAGATTTTTGGGCTAATCAGATCATGAGTCTCGCTGGTAACTGCTGTGGTCTTCAATGTCTCTCTGAATTACGATGTTATAAGGATATTTTCCTTGCTCGAGTACGTACATGTATAAAGCGGGATCAGTAAGGGAGCGCTCGAGAGATATGGAGAACACGAAGCTTGATTCAACGTACGAAAGACTTCGGCGATCGGGGTGAAAGCATCGCTTGCAGTGAGACATGTGCTTGAAATTAGACAGATGAATATCGATGGACCCGGAGCAGACATGCACTGGAATCTCTAAGGATGCACATGAATCCGGAGTCGAGCTATTGGTGAGGGCTTCGTCAGTACCCCCCGTGCGCGGTTTCAATAAACTCCGCCGGCATGAGGGTAATTGCGGGCGTAGCATGCGTCACTCCATCACCAAAGCTTCTCCTCACCGAGGGCGGGGAAATTTTCCGATCCCTCTTTCTTGCGGCCAGAAAACTCTCAAAGCTAAAAGCTGCTAAAGGGCATCAAGTTCGTGCCTGCATGAACCGAGAGGGGATCGCAAATGTTAAGCGACCAGCGCACTATTAAGGCCGTGACGCATGTTGATCGTCCCCGAATGTCCGTTGACTCCACCAATCTTTGAATTTAGTAACTCTATCGTTCATTCCGAGCGAGGTTGCAACGGGTCGACGAGGTGGCTTCTTAATTGGGTCGTTCCTCGGCACGCAGGGGCTTTCGAGTCTGGACTGGGCTGGCCATCCGAACAGTCGCTCACAGAACTATGACGACGTTTCCAGATAACCGGGAGTCTAGATGGACGATGACGAGGTTCTATCCCATTCAAGATGATGAAGCTCTGGACTGACCGATCAGAGAAGCCGCCCTCCTGGCAACTTGTCAGGGGTAAGAGGGCACACAAGCACCAATCAGCAACTCAATCTCATCTCCTGACTCGATGATGCTCGAATCTTCCAAATACCGAGACCTTTTCAACTGACAGCCGAACCAGAATGATGCAATTCAGAGTTCACGGCGACAGCCTTCACGTGTTGGTTCCGAGGCTTGTGATTTTCTCCGAGGTTTCCAACGGGGCGGTACCCGGGACTGAATGCCAGAATCCTGACAGTATCATCCTAGTTTACATATCGACTATTCGGCTTCTCATCCGAAGTTGGACACACGGACACGTCATTTATCCCCAACTCGCTGGATGCCACCAATAAGATAGGTTCTTTTCCGGCCTTGCGGCTGTCCCCTTGCGTATTCGGATACTTCAGTCGTCCAATGTTGTCGGCGTCAAGAATATCCCTGCTTTTGTAATAAATACATGACGGCCTGCGAGCCCTTAAAGTCTCTGCCCCACGGCTCAATACGGAAGCCGAGAGCGAGAGCATGAACGGACGTCATCCACTGACGTTCCAGGGACTGATCGAAATAAACTCCAAGTCGGAGTGGGCCGTTGGGTGTTAATTGAGCTATGAGGTAAGCTCCATCGTGTCATGGTAGGATGCGATCGTATTCGCAGAACCCGAGAGACACCGGAGAGGGGGTTTTGTGATCACAAAAGTCTTTATAATGCCGGTGTAAATCCCCTTCAACGACTTGCTTCGTCTCTATCATTACACATTTCTATAACATCCACAATCACCCAAAAGCAAACTCCCAAATCAAAACTGCAGCACATCATTAAGCAGCTACGCTGAACTTTACACACATCTCAATCGACCACAATCAGCACCAATAACTTGGTACTTCAGACTACTGGCATTCAGCACATTCACAAAATTTCTTCATTATCAGGCGACACTTCCCTTCGTCTCCTCCCATTCACATCTGTCAACACTATAATCAACTTGCAAAATGCGTTTCTCCACCGTATTTACTCTTCTGGCTGCCTCGCTTGTCATCGCCGCACCGGCGCCAGCTGACCTGCAAGCCGCTGGTGACAAGGGAGGCAAGAAAGATGGAGGTGCCATTGCGACTTGTGAGACGTCAACTGCAGCGGAGCATGTCAAATGCATTGACGCCTGTGGCGGTGGCAAGAGCGTCGCGAGAAGGGAAGAACTGGGTCTGGGAATCAGGGGAGACAAGGGCAACGGGAAGGACAAGGGGTGTATCATGGATTGGTAAGTTCTTGAGAAAGACAATCAAATTGTCAATGGCTTTTACTGACAACTCCACTAGCACTTCCAAGGCCGTAGCAGGTTACATCAGTTGTGCAGGTGCTGGTTCCGGCACTGCACCTGCTAAGCCGAAATAAGCAACATTGCAATGCTTATCGGTCTTGTCTTGGCGTAAAGCGGTTTGGCAGCTTTGATAGTTGGTTTAGCTGTAAGGAGAGCGATTACAGCGTAACGTATTATGATTAGACGAGAGAAACTGTATACTAGGTCGAGTAGAATCTGCTCCCGCATCAATGATGTGTGTTCTGAACGACGAATCGGATGTTTCCACTATGAATTTTCACTCCTCTGCCTGTGATAATCTTGAAAGGTATTCAGCGGGGTATTCTTTTGACCTAAGATGTATGACATGTAGGCGCCAATTCGGAGGGGATTCATGCCAATGGGGTGTTAACTACAGATTGACCGGTGGTGAGACTACTAAAGACTTCGTTTATGGAAGAAAAAAACACAAGACACTTTACACCCAAGTGACATGTGAGGTAAATTCTTGACGCGGCACTTTTCCGCCAACTCACTCGATGAGCAAGATCGTCAGTATGGTTTATTTGAGCTTGTGTTGGAAGCGACTAGCCATAACTTGACACGTACTTGCGGAATACATGTACCATCTCAATACTGGGAACCATTTTCTCTCCGCTAGTCCAACTTGATCTATGATCGCTGTATCCCCTTAAGCATTCAAACTGTTTAATTTTGGCCCCTGGCCTATACCTCTTGTACATTGATCCTGTATACGGCGGCCCTGTCCACACCCAAGGCTACTGAGACGATTAGAACAAGGCCATTGAGTGCGCAACGTCTGAGGCTTACTTTATGCTTGTCGCCATCTGACACTCTCGAAATACTCCATGGGAACTCGACGTTGCAAGTTAAAAGGAAACTCAGGATTTCAAAATCGGAGACCTCTTAGGTCGGCGGATGTCGCTTAGATTTTCTGTGGCGTACGGTTGCGGCACAGCAACAAGCAGCCAGGGGTTGCTTACCCTGGAAAACCAGGCTCCTCATGTTTTCAACACATTCGTCCATGGCAAAGGGGTGAAAAATACCAATTCAAGACGTGATCAAACTCATCTCAGAGCCACGAGCATTGCGATCCTCTTACCAGGAAGCAATCCCATCAAGTTGACCACGCGCACGCTTGACGCAATCCTAGAGCCCGTGTCTTCCCGAAGTCGATGTCTGCTGACGAGGAAATCTTTTCGGTGGAGGATCGCTGTACCGGGCACCGATTAGTCTCCTTCGGGCAGGTCGACCGTCAACCTACAGCGCTGGGACGGAACACTTGAGAGCGTTAATACCGGCTGTTCCCGATTGCCAAGGCGTTGAAGGTGTAAGGGGTCCCGGTCTTGGATTTTTCAAAACCGCCCTGGTGCGAATCCTTCGCTGAAAGGGGACTTTTGGCCGTCGCGGTATCGCGGTGCTCACTTCCTGGGCGCGTCACTCCTACAATTTGAAGAAATTGGCGCATCAAGGAAGCGTTAACGCTGATTCCGGCTGAGGGCTTCATAAGAATCCTCGACGGACGACGACCGGGTCGCACCCTAGCCTCTCGTGGCATCTCTATCACTCTCACCATCTACCACAACCATGACTTCTGAAAATAATCAACAGGCCGTCGCCATGGACGCATTCGCCTGTTCCAGCTACTCAACGTGGGCCTACGCGCTATGTCATCAAGGCTTAGATCCCAATACTCGTGTCGAGGAAATCACCTCCTCCATAATTCCTTGCTCGATCGCCTTGATATGGGGACTCCATCGTCGTCGGCAGCTCCAGACTAGAGCAGTCGTCTCCCACGGTTCCCTTCGCCCAGTAGCCAACCTGATCAGCCTCGTCGCGTTGAGCTTTCTACTGCTCTTGTTCGCACCCATCACCATTTCCATCGTACCTATCGCGGTTGCCCTCACCTCTGGCATCGTCAGATATGTCGGAAGACAGGGCGGCCCGTGGACCGACCAAGGCTCGGCCCTTCTTACGCTCAAGCAGGAAAGTTCAGATAGATTTGTGTTGACAGAGTTGGCAAGGCTAATGCACGCATGCAGATCCTATGGCAGGTCCTCGCGGTATTTCAGATCATGGCACTGATTACCATTGCCCCTGACAGATATGGTCAGAGTCACTTTGGCATCAGTCTTGCTTCCTGGATCCTATCGGTTGCGACGAGTGTCCTCTTTATATTGATATCAGAGCGAGAGCACAGCAGATCCTTGGCTCCATCTGCGCTCCTCCAACTCTTTCTTCTGGTCACTGTATTCCTCGACGTAGCTCGCGTTAGGACGGCTTGGCTTCTGTCATCGCAGATCAACAACGAGGGAATGATCGCTATGCTATTGACAGTTCAGGTAGCCCTTAAGGTGTTGCTACTCCTAGCCGAGTCTGCGTCAAAGCCCACCATCATCGCCATCCCAGCTCGCCGTGTCTCTCGGGAGGAAACAGCAGGCATCTTTGGCAAGAGCTTCGCGACGTGGATCAACCCACTGCTACGGCTGGGATGGAAGAAGGATCTCGTTGCGGAGGATCTCGATCCTCTGGACGAAGCCCTCGACGGCGAAGTGGTGCTGGAGCGGCTCTCATTGGCATGGAAGAATGGTTTGCAACCATCCCCCTTTTTTTTCCCTTGCTCAAATGCCCTTTGCTGACTGAGAGTATTGGTTCCAGTCCACCAGGAGGAAAACCACGCCCTTGTCGTAGCGGTTCTCAAGGCCTTCCATGCCGAGCTCTTGTTCATCCACATCCCGCGCGTCGGCATGGTGGCCTTTGGTCTGGCACAACCCCTCCTCGTCCAGACCACCATCGAGTACATGCAGAACCACAACGACAAGCCCGTCAGCTACGGCCACGCCCTCGTCGGTGCCTTTGCCCTCACATATCTCGGACTAGCTGTACGTTCATGTTCACCGTAGCGATACGGTGGTATAGAAAGCTGCAAAACCCTCGGCTGACCACTTCATTCCATTCACGCAGATCTCCACCAGGTGGTCCGGCCAGCTCACCCACCGCCTCATCACGCGCATCCGCGGCGCCCTAATCGCCAAAATCTACCAAAACATGCTCACCCTCCGCGCAGAGACGGATAACTCCCAGGCGGCGGTCGCGCTGATGAGCACCGAGGTCGAGCGCATCACCGTGGCGGCTCAATTTTGCGTCGCCATCGTCCCCAACCTCATACAGCTCGGGTTCGCCATGTGGATCATGAGCGAGCAGCTCGGGGCCGTGAGCGTTGCTCCCATCATCATTGCGCTTCGTGAGTCAACGCTCTCCTACCATTTTTTGTGTATCTTGGATGATTTTATTTTGTCTAATTAAGTGGACGTGCAGTCAGCGTATCTGCCGGTATCAGAACGGGCCAGTTGATTCCACCACGCCAGCGCCGGTGGATGCAGGCAATCCAGAAACGGGTCGGCATCACCACGGAAATTATTGGCTCCGTAAAGGGTGTCAAAATGAGCGGCTTGACCAATACAGTCCAAGACCAGATTCAAGGTCTTCGGGACTTTGAGCTCGACGAGTCTAAAAAGTTTAGACGGGTGCAGATCCTCAACGTACTCATCGGTAAGTCAGACAAGCCATGCCCCCCCTCATGACGCCATGGTTAACACTGCCTAGGACAATTTCCATCAATCATGACTCCCTCCATTACCTTCGCAGCCTTCGCCATCATCTCGAAAGTAGCCGGCGGAAACCCGCTGAACGCGGTTCAGGCCTTCACGTCCCTCAGTCTTCTCGGCATCCTAATCAGTCCCGTCTCCGAGCTCGTCATGATCCCAAACAACCTCGGAGCGGCCATTGGTTGCCTCGACAGGATCCAGGAGTACCTCACAAAGGAGAAGCGAGAAGACTACCGCCTCGTCAAGTCCAAGACGCCTCTCGACCCGGTTGAGAACGGGAGCAGTAATGGAACTAACGGACCGTCACAGACTGACAGCCAGCTCCAACCTCTGATCAAGGTCTCCAACGGATCCTTTGGGTGGCACACAGACCAGGCGATTCTCAAGTCTCTAGACCTCGAGATCCCGCCAGCGAGCCTCACGATCCTCGTCGGACCCGTCGGCTCCGGGAAATCCACCCTCCTCAAGTCCCTCGTCGGGGAGACGTACCGCATCTCGGGGTCCGTAGAATACACAATCTCAACGGACGTGGCATACTGCGACCAGGACCCGTGGATCCTAAACCAGAGCGTCAAGGAAAATATCACTGGCGGCAGCGTCGCCACACACGACGAAACAGACTTTTACAACAAGGTCATCCGGGCCTGTCAGCTAGAAGAGGATCTCGATCTCCTCCCGCAAGGTGACGAAACCGTGGTCGGGAGTTCAGGTTCAGCTCTCAGCGGCGGACAGAAGCACCGTATTGTAAGTTCTCTCCGTTCAAGGCTTCATGAGTATGCAACTTGGGTACTGACAGCTTTTGATAGGCGCTTGCCAGGGCCGTCTACAGCGGAAAGCAAATCATCATCATGGACGACAACTTGAAAGGCCTCGACTCCAAGACGGCCTCAAAATGCTTCAATGCGCTCTTTGGGGGCGAGGGATTGTTGCGTGGACGAGGGAGGGCCATAATCTTTGCGACGCATAATGGTAAGAGGACTGCTCTGCTCCCCTCCCCTCACTTCTTCCTTTCTGTCGAGCACCATTGATGACATGATGACAGCCCAATGGCTTCGTTCGGCAGACAACATCATCTCCCTCGGCAGCGACGGAACCATTTCAGAAACGGGCTTGTACAAAGACCTCTGCAAGACCGGGGGTTATGTCAGTACTCTAAAAGTCACCCAGCAGAGCGACGAGAGCGTGTCCGTGACAGAAGCAGAAGAAACACAGGAGATCGTCGACAAAAAGGCCAAGGCTGTGGCTGTACTGAAGCCCGACGACTTGCCCAAGACCAAAAGCCGCGGCGCCGCCAATACGAGTTCCCTCTTGTATTACATCAAGTCTATGGGAATCACATCCTTTGGGTTATTCATTTCCATGGTAATCTTCCAGACAATTTGCAGAATTATGCAACGTAAGATCCTCGAACCCCTTCAACCTCCTGTGCAACTCTATTGCGAGTCCAATATCGGATGCCACTTCTATCCGTACTGACCAAATCACAGGCCTCTGGGTCAAGTTTTGGGTCGCAGCCAACGAGGACGGCGGACAGGAGAATCTAGGAATGTGGGTGGGCGTCTACATCCTCTGGGGCATCTTGACGGAGCTGGCCGTCGCCATGGAGACATAGTAAGTCCTCGTCTGAATCCCCCGTCTCTCATAGACCAAGACAGAGCCGGTCTACTCACCAACTGACTTTACGCGTTCCAGCTACTTCCTCGTCGTCATCGTCCCTCACTCAGCCAAGGGACTTCACTTTAGTGTTCTCAAAGCCGCGCTCGCGTGAGTGTCTTCTACAATCTTGCTTTGACGATTTGACAAAACATTTGAACTCACCTGTTCCCAGCGCACCCTTGTCTTTCTTCGTCAAGACTGATACAGGCATCATCATCAACCGGTAAGTTCCCCCCCTCGAAAGAACCCTCTAGATCCTCAACTAATGTTACATGATTCCTATCAGATTCAGCCAGGACATGAACCTCGTCGACCTCCCGCTCCCACTCGCCTTCATGCTGACCTTTGACAGTAAGAACCTTCCCCCAAGCACCCAACCTTCCCATCAAACTCACGAAAGACTAAACCCCTGGAAACCGCAGACCTCACCCTCGCCATAGCAGACATAACCCTAACAACCCTGGCAACCCCATACCTCTCCCTCTCCATCCCCTTCCTCGCCCTCACCCTCCACCTCCTCCAACGAACCTACCTCCAAACCTCGCGCCAGATCCGCCTCCTCGACCTCGAGACCAAATCCCCACTCTTCTCCCACTTCATCGCCTCCGCCGCCGGCCTAGCCACCATCCGCGCCCTCGGGGACCCCTGGACCGCCCGTGTCCGCCACCAGAACCTGCGCCACCTCGACCTCTCCCAGCGCGCCTTTTACGCCATGGGCAGCCTGCAAAAATGGCTTCTCCTCGTCTTGAACCTCGTCGTCGCCGCCTTGGCCGTGCTCCTCGTCGCCTCCGCCGTCGCGCTGCGCAACACCGTCGACGCGGGGCTTCTCGGTGTCGCGCTCGTGAGCGTCATGACGTTTGGGCAGCTCCTGACGCAGTTGTTGAATTACTGGGCGCAGCTGGAGACGAGCCTCGGCGCCGTGGCGCGGATCAGGGAGTTTGAGGCGGAGACGCCGTCCGAGGAGGGGACTGGTGACGGCGGAAATCCCGCCGCGAAGGAGGCAGGGCCGGGGTGGCCTTTGGGGGGGCGGATCGCTATCCGCAACGTCTCGGCGGCGTACGACGATCACCAGGTCCTGAGCGGCGTCAACATCTCCATTGAGCCCGGCGAGAAGGTGGCCATTTGCGGGCGGACGGGCAGCGGCAAGTCCACGCTCCTCGCGCTCCTCCTGCGTCTGCACGATCCCTCCGCCGGCGCAATCGAGGTGGATGGCGTCGACATCCGCAGCGTGCCCGTCACCCAGCTCCGCGAATCGCTCGTCGCGCTGCCACAGGACCCTCTCTTCCTTCCCGGAACGGTTCGTCGGAACTTGGACCCGTTCATGGCCCGAGGTGATGATGATGATGTCGGTATCTGGGACGCCCTGGAAAAGACGGGGCTCAAGGCTCTCTTTGAGGATAAAGGCGGTCTCAAGGCGGATCTGAACACGGACTGGCTGAGTGCGGGGCAGAAGCAGCTGTTCTGCATGGCGAGGGCCATCTTGAGGGACAGCCGCGTCTTGCTGCTCGATGAGGCGACAAGCAGGTCAGTTTTTCTTCCTTTCTCTCCCTCTCTAAACGTCTTCCGGGAACGACAAGAAAGCTAAAATGGTTTCCCCAAAGTCTGGACCAAGCCACGGAACAGCTTGTGCAAGACCTCATCGCTAGCGAGTTCCGAGGCTGGACCATCATCGTCATTGCCCATCGGCTACGGGCCGTCGTAGACTTTGACAAGATTGTGACACTCCAGGACGGGAGAGTCGTCGAGTTTGATAGCCCTAAGAAACTGCTCGAGAACGGCGGCGCGTTTGCCGCCATGTGGAAGATTCAAGAAGGTTGAGCGAACGTCGTCACCGTCGCAGCCAGACGACTGGACTGCTCTTAAGAACTTTCCATTCCATCCGACCGCCAAGAAATCAAAAGAAATGGACACAAGCCGGCAGTAACGCCTTAGAGAAAACCAATGCTCTTAGAGAAACCGGGCTCTAATAACTAAAATATGAATACTTCTTTTCGGGTATTATTTCATCATCTTCGTCTCGCTTCGTTCCACGTCATATCCAAGGAGAAGCACCCCCCGCCCTCTCACCTGCTCTTCATCTTTTCCGCAGCCTTCGCAGCGAGACCCTTTACCTTGGCATCAGAAATCTGAGGCGCCGCCGACTCAAAGGCGCCGGTCCAGGCGCTCCACCTCTCCTCGTTCAAGCCCTTCCACTCCCGATCACCAAACTTAGCCCCGGCCTTGCCCGACTTGCCCTCATAGTCGCGGTTCTTCGAGCTCAGCTCCCGGAGCGCGTCGCCGGAGTAGTCGATCCACTGGTAAGCTATGCTGACAGCGACGGCGCTGTCGCCGTCGCCGGGTTGCTCCTCTTCAAAGGCCGTACGCAGGGCCCAGAGGCCAAAGAGGGAGAAGTCAAGAGGGTCATGGGAGTTGGTGAGGTCGGCGCGGGATGTCAATTGGGCGGCAAAGGCGGAGAGGTTGATCCAGCTGGCCTTTTCCTCCTCGGATGCGGATGTGTCAAAGGCGTCTGGATGCGTCAGTGGGAGGGTTTTGTTCTTCATGCAACATTGGTGCCAGTCATCCTCCGCGTAAATGTGATTGTGACTTTCTTCCTCTCCCGCGCGACATAGCGTGTTTACTTACCAAAATTCCACAGATCGCGGGCAACCCATCCAAAAGTGGGAAGATCCTTCCACACGACCTGGTTGCTCAGCTTCAGGGGTTGGCCGTCCGAAGCCGTGACGGTGGTCTCGCGCAGGCGTTGTAGGAAGTCGACGAGCGGGGTCTGCTTCTCTGGTGGGGTCTGCTTGGCCACGGCGAAGATGGCATTGTATGTGTCCCAGAGGAAATCCTCAATCTCTGACTCGGACTTCTTGGCCAGGTCCTTGAACTCGTCGACGGTGTCATTCAGTCTCTTTTTGTCGTTTGTGCCGGTCTTGACAAAGGCATCAAGGGACTGGTAGGCGGGCAACGCCGCGATGGCACTGTTGACGCTCATTTTGATTAACTGGGTAAAATAAATAGCCGGAGTAGAGGGAAAGCGTTTCCTGGAATAATCGGAGGAAGAGAAGGGGTTGCGATGGTGACAGGGTGGCAGAAGGCGTGGCGGAGGTGGTGCTAGTGTCGATGGCCGTTTTATGGCGACGATGTCGCACGGGGCAGGTGGGAAGCCTGGAAGAGGCCAATCTCGGCCCACGTGGAGGCGACGCAGCTTCACTAAGGTAACGTCGTCAGCGTGCAGACACGGTACGTACCGCAACCACCTGTAGCAAAGCGACGCCGTGTCGACATTGATTAGCCCCACTCTCGGCGACTACCTTACTTTGCACCGTGCACGGAGACCAGGAAGCGAGGGGAAGAGGGCAGGAGCCGGCCGGATAGCCACGGAAGGCACGGCGGCCGAGGATACGGAGAGACACGCAAGCCATGCAGTCCCTCCCGAAGCATGTGGCTGAGCCTGAGTTGTGATTACATGTTCATTTGCGTGTGGCACTCCCAGCTGAAATATTTGTTATGTGCATTTATTCCCATTGGACCTACCTGCCTGCATCTCGTCTCGGCTGGTCGGCTCCTCCCGCCCTCCGGCCCAGAACCTGGCGCTGCACAGAGCTCCCGTCAGCTAGCCAATCAACAGCAAAAGTGCGGAGACGGCGGCCTCTCAGAATCAGGCGTGAGATTAAGCTTATGTTTTTTGTCAAGCTTTGATTGGTGCCAACCTCCATGCACGTGACTTTTCACCCTTTCCTTTCTGCCGGAGTTGCTCCGCACCTGGCTCGCCTGGAAAAAAAAATAGAGTTTTGGGCTGTTTGGAAGCGTTTGGAGCGTTTGGAGCGTTTGGAAACCGCCTAGCTTGGCCCCAGCCAGAAACGTTGTGAGCTGAATGAGATGGATTTCAATTTACGTTTTCCGCACTTGGCACACGGGACCCTCGTGCCGGCCAAGTTCTCGGCAGCTTTGTTGTCCTCTCCCAACTCGCCTTGTTTCCTTCAGTGACTGGGCAAACCAAACTCAACTACCATATTATAATCACGGGCTGGCCCTTTTCTCATACACTGTTGCTTCGTAACCACACGCCTTACAACCGTCTTACTCTCCTCTCGTCTCAACAACCCAGGGCGCAATACACCAACAACCCAGCGTTGAAAGACAGTTCAAAACCAGTCTCAACCCAAACCACCTCTCATACCACCATATATAACGACATTCAAAATGGTCTCCATCAAATCTGCCCTCACTCTCGCCCTCTGCGCAGTCTCCGCCGCCACCGCGAACCCCATCGCCAGCCCCGATCAGGCCCTCGAGAAGCGCCAGGGCACCACCGACGTCGGCACCGTAACCTGCGGCGACAACAGGTACTCCAAGAAGCAGATCGACGACGCCGCCGCCGAGGGCTGCCGCCTCTACGCCGCCAACCAGCAGATCGGCACCAGCCAGTACCCCCACCGCTTCAACAACCGCGAGAACCTCGTCTTTGCCACCTCGGGCCCCTACCAAGAGTTCCCCATCATCACCTCTGGAAACTATACTGGACGTAAGTCTCGCATTGAATCTCCCGAAACTCCTTTTTTTCCCCCACACCCAAACATCTCATCACCCATGAACCGCTATCTTGGCACAATCCCGTGTCAAGTCGCCGTTTCTTGGCACGTCATCGAACATGAGAAGAAGCATCTCACTCGCCGCACGGCCCTGCGCTGACAATGCTACACTATGCAGGGGCGCCCGGAGCCGACCGTATCGTATTCGACCCGACTTACCGGGGCAGCTGTGTCTATGTCGGTGCCATGACCCACAGCGGCGCATCATCGCGCAACGGCTTCATCACCTGCAACCAGACGAGGTCGTCGTCGCCTTCCGGTAACGGCGCGTCCGCGGCGTCGAGCTACAGGGGCTCCTCTGGGTCGATCGGTGCCGTCGTGTCTATTCTGTCGCTCTTGGCACTCACTGCTTAAAATCGGATTCGGACATGGTACGCAAAAAAAAAAAAAAAAAGTCGAGCGTGGGGTAAAGGCAGCCGTGAGGCACCTGAGTCGTCCAGCTCCCGGCATCTGGACTCTGGTCTGGTCATTCTCAGTGAGCGTCGCCGATGAGAGAGAGTTTCGTGGATAAAAACCAACAGGAATGAGGCTGTCTACGCTCAATGTTATTTGGGAACCAAACCAACTCTTTTGAAACGTGCGCAAATACTCGGCTACTGTCGATATTTGAGTTCAGAGCTTGGCCATCTGCGGTAATCCTCCCGATCAACTGAATTGCCGCACCAAAGAGGCGCATAGGGTTCCTCTTCAGTCCCAATGCCATGGGCCTACTGAAGTATTGGGGATTGGATTGGATTGGCTGACTATACCCTTTGGCTCTTTGGGTTGGCGCTTGATGTCAGTGAATCGATCGTCAAGGCACTCGGACTCGGACTTGAGCTAAGCAGCCTCACTCATACGCTAATAAACCACCAAACAATGAGATTCATTTGGTCCCAATTTTTGTTCCACTTTCTCTAATCGTTGTCGCGCTCATCTTATCGTCCAGATGCTAACACTGTCCCTCTTGCTTCCAATCAAGACCCCTCCATCTCAAGATGGCGGTTGCCGGCCCAAAATCTCTCTTCAGCGCCGTTGCCGCTCACTCTCCAATTCAGGCTCGTAGATTCAGATTTCTTGGATATGAAATAGACGTGTTCTTCTCATGCCTCCATGATGATTTGTAAATCTGCAGAGCCACGGTCCTCGGTCTGGTACACCCTTGGTTCGATCACGACCTCGAGGTCAAGTCTCTCTTTCGCTGGAACATCCGGCAGGCTACCCAGATCCGTGAAACAAAGAGTCATGTCTCCGCACGTGCGATCGGGGACACGAACCCAAAGCTGCCGTCTCAAATTCGCGTAATTGACACCCTCTGCGGCGGCTTGAGGTGGATGATATCCTGAAAGTCTTTACTCTCTCATAAGGGGGTTCAGCGACGTAACCTGGAGTCATACTTGGCATGCTTACAAATTTGGCAACTAAACGACCGATTTGAGTAGGAGCTAGCCAAGAAATATCGAGATTGCGATGCTTAAGCTAGCGGAAACCGCAGTTCATGAGGTCTCTCAGAGTGATCCGTTGCCAAGAACTATCCGAACCCGAAAAGCCATCAATGAAGTTTGGATGACAATGAATCTGCGGCAGTGCTTCATTGCGCGTGGCTTTCACTCCGTCCACGCGGGCTTTCGAATCCTTCCAATCGTCATGGTTCAACCGTGATTGCGATCTCGAGCCGTGGCCCGTGATCACATCAGGCAGTGCTGTTTGGTTGTTGAAAACCTAGGCACTTTTCAGACAGCATCTTGGCACTCGTAGAGACAATAGATTCGGGAAAGGAAACGTATGTTGTGAATATGGTAGACGGAGATGTACAACACCCGCACTGACTGCTGGGAGAAGTCCCAGTCGATGAATAAGCCTCGCCATGGTATGGCGGCGGTCGCTTACAATGGTAGCGTGTACACGCCTGGTGGTGGCATTCGGGGCTTTGGGATCGTTGATAACATGGAGGTTCTCCACCCCAAGTCACGGAATTACTACCTGTGAGACTCGATTCTACCTTTATGTCTTCTTTTGGCCTGATAGCGAGGTCGTCGGACGCTCGCGGCGCATCTAGACGGAACTAACTAGCCGTTTATCGTCTTGGCTAGCTACCATTTCAATTCCCTCTTTGGTTCGATTCCGCCAGATGTCGATGAGAAGGGAAACCTACGGCTAAACGTCATCTAGTGGTTCAAGCAAGGAGAGTATATGGCCCCCGCAGACAAGCTCTCTAACCAGGATGAATCCGAACGCTGAGATGATCTTAAACGACCCCTACAATTCCATGACTGACTGTACGGGCTTTGACTCTGTATATGTTCGCATCTAGATGGGTTGTAATGACATTAAATAGTATCTGTGACTCGATGTTGACTATTCATTTAGTAAAACTCAGTTTCGCATTTGGTATTTTGTATTTTTTGCATTTTGCATTTCTTGCATTTCTTGCATTTTCCAACTCGACCTGCGACTGGTCAAAATGGAAGCTAGTCCGTGCGGGTCAAGCCCAGCGCGTGAGAATCTTGACGAGATTGGCAAGTTGATAGTGGAGGGCAAGCAAATATCGGGTGTTGATGGACGACATGTTTGAGTGGTGAGATGCACCAGAAGCGTACATGGAGTTCAAGCAAGGACAGACGACGGGGAACGTAGTTATTCCTCCACGTCAGCCAGGCCTGATTAACAACCCTCATTATCTTCTCATCTATATTCTACTTTATCTAGCAACTCTCACAATTCGAATAATCGCGTAATCGTGGATAGCCTGGGAAATGTCAATGTATTAATATGTTAACTACTCAGTCCATTTCAGGACCTTTCATCAGTGTAATCGAGTGTGGTCAGTGCTTGAATTTGGTCGTGAAGGAAACACAAGCGTTTTAACCGCGCGGATGTACACGCCAATACAGTATCAAGACGCTGTTCCTTGTCTCTCCACCTAGTCAAATCCAAGCACAACTCAATGACAGCCATTCACCACAATTACACCAACAGCGGCTTGAAGATGGGGCATGAGTCTCAGTATATTCGCTTGAAGCAACGCAGTCTGTATGATTCTGATCCGCCAAGAAACCCCCTACTGCTGAGCTCAACGAAAAGTTGTTGCCGCCCTCACATTACCACCCCTTGGAGCCGCCATCTAACAAATGAATACTTTCGAAATCACAAACTAGGTCATGCCGCTCCAAAGACGCCAAAAAATACATCTCACTGGTACTCGATGCAGATGGCATCGCTCTTGACATCCATGACTTCGGCAATGGTGATGTTCTCAACCATGCCAGCCATCCACAAGACGTGGTCGAGCGTGGTGACGTTTCCGTTGTCGTTGAAGTAGGGCAAGAAAGCGTCGACGCCCAAGGACGAGGGCTGGTAACCGGTCCAGAAGGAGCCCTCGGCGACGTTGTTACCGCCCATGTCGGTCAGGCGGGACTCGTTCTGGGCCTGCCACTGCCACCAGATACGGTCGAGGTTGGTGTGGTGGAGGAAGAAGAGCGGGTCGGCGGGCGAGAGAGACGGGTTGTCCATCTAGAAGGATGTTTTTGTTAGTTTCCAAGTTGCCAAAACGTCCACTGAATAGAATTATTTGCTTACAGTACCGCCAATGGCGTAGTGACCGCCGGTGTGAGGGGTGCCGCCCAGGCAGTTGTTGAGGTCCACGTAGTCCTCCAGGACCAGGCAGGCATCAATGATCGGCTGGGAGACCAGGTCGTACTGCGCTTGCTTGAAGTCGCGGCTCAGGCACACGGGGTCGACACGTTTGAGCTCGGTGTCGAGGGTAAGTCTCAATTTGGTGTAGGGCCCGTCGGTGACGCAGCCGTTCGCGTCGAGTGCGGTGGAGCCAAAGCCGGCCGTGGCGCTGCCGTTGAGGATGCTGGCGTCCTCCAGAGGGAGGGCGGCTTGCTCTGCCTGCTCGTCCCAGTACCTATTCTCTCGTTAGCGGCCGAGACCGCCTTCGATGCGAGCGCAACTGCAATAAACCCCGGTGCAAGTACCGTGCAGAGAGAATATAGTTGCTCAGGGATGAATCACTTACGGCATGCGTCCAGTATAGCCGCACTCATTACGGAGGAGATTCTCTTGGACGGTCATGTACCAACGGTGCCACGGGAAGAAGGCGCCCTGAATAAAGCCCCACGATTAGCCATTATCTTTGCCACATCGCTCGCTCATCTACACAGCGCATGATGGCGTCGAAGACTTACAACCGAGTGAATGAATTCGACCTGGGAGACGTGGGCGGCTTGAAGTTCCTCCCAGCGAGTTTTTGAGCTAGCGAAGCCGGTCTTGGACGGAGCCTGAGCAGGATCCATCAAGCAGAGGGTGGCGCTGATGTACGACGTCTTTTCATCATCAGTCAGGGCGGACCTGTTGGTTTCGTGTAAGCCAATTTTCCTTGTGATAGCCGCAGGCGCTGAGACTGAAGAGGGCTGAACCAACCAAGATTTGCGGACGGATGGGTTCGTGCAGGCTGCCAGGACTCCCTGAGAAGCGGCGAGGACGGCGACTGCGGTAGACAAGAGGGAAGGCATCGTTGCTAGCTATTCAGTGATTGTTGTCTACGTCCGAAGAGACTGGAGAAAACGAGTGGCTGTCAAGAGTGAGCTTGCTAGTAAAATAACAAGTGAAGCCGGTGGATACCTCTTGAACAGGCTGTTTGTTTGCTGAGAAGGAGGAATTCTCTCTGATTCTTGGGACAAATCAACATCTATTTATCTTTCACATCGTCTGGTACAAGAAATTCTTCAGGCTGTCTATTCACTTGGATCATTCTGCCTGTTCAAAGATACCGTCCCCGGTATACTGTCCCCGGCAGCCCAACCCGCATGAGCTCTAAAATTTTCTGAGGTTGAGCACCTGCGCATTGCGCAATACGCCAGGTCGGCAACGACCGACCGACCGACCCTCCCCGTTGCATACTAACTTAGTACATTACCCCCACCGAGCACGTCTGCTTACCCGCGCGCTGCTGCTGCAGAACACAAGGAACGAGAGATGTGGTCCTCAGGGTGGGTTGCTACATTATTCAGAATGCTACATTGCACGAATCGCCTTCACGATCTGAAGTCCAGGGTGCTAAGTCTGAGGCTTAATACGGACTAGCATGGCTTGACCATAGATCCATGTGGAAGGAGAACTCGTGGACGGTGGATCAGAGATTCCCTGTGCGGTATAGGTTTAAAGTCTCCAATATTATTCAGACGACCTGACTGGCTCCATACGTTGGCAAGCTCGTGGTCTACGCAGCATCGGAGGAGTTGAGGCTCAAGAAACGTGCTGGTACGGCTAAGCGGCAGACGAGACCGCGGTGAGCATCTTGGTCATGGTGCGGGTAACAACGACTGGCTCCGCCACTGCAGCGGAGATTGCGCTTTCTGAGTGGATTGGAGATGCGGTCGTAACTTTTGGCACTTCCACGGGTCAACTGTCTATTGTGATGACTATTTCCCCCTCGTGACCTTGATATGTTAGCCACAGAGTGCTTGGTAATCTCTCCAATCTCTATCGTCCAAGCAGGCAGAGCCAGTCATATCTTTCATTTTAAGCCTTGGCTTTTAAGCTTTCTTCTCCCTCGCGGAGGCGGTTCCTACGATCTTCTGCCGCGGGTACGGATACATCCGCAGGCCTGCACTCACACCTTGTGTAGTGGACCTCTTTTACGGGCCGTACTTTATTTGGTATCCGCAGGAAGCAGTCAGAGGAGTTGGTGACCATTGCGCAAGGGATCAAAAACATCCTAATCGGTGATAATCGGTAATCAAGATGCACGGCATCCCCAACATGGCTCACCAATTACGTTTCGTCACGGATAGTACAGACGCTGAAAAGGGAAGCTCCTACGAGTATTCACATATCAATACAAGTCGATAAGCACTGAAGACCTATTCATAACTCAAGTTACTCTGCCTTATGAACGGCATTCCCGAATACGCGCGTTCCATGGAATAAACACCTGAAAGAGCAGTTGAATGCGGACCCATATCCGCCCCGCCTGCCAGGCTCTTCCGTCCCGGCCCCTTGCCTCCCCCCTTATTATCTGTAAACCTCTGGCTTACCCATGCCTTTGTAAGAATTTGACCAGCACCGATTTATTATCAGCATTCTGGATCTCGGCACCTTATTGCCGTCCTCACTACCGTCCTCACTGCCGTGGAGATCATATCACAGATACAAAAATGAGATCGATGGCACTGCCGAGACTCGGACTCTGTGGCCTTGTTACGAGAAAACCGAGCTGAGAGTGCGCACGAACCAACCAACACCTTAAAAAAGCCATGCCATTGTCAAAGCTTTGTGCTGAATACGGATATGTTCCACCGTTTCGGTGCCGAGAAGCTTCGTGGGTCCCAAGGCAGCCGAGGCTACCCTGCTACCTTAATCACCTTTGCTGGACCAGCCGCGCGGTTGTGTCCTGCCAGGGAGGCCGGCAGGGCACGGCTTCGGCTAAAAGCCGGAATTAAACCTCCCAAGTTGCTCTAAAGCCCCTCCATGAAAAATCGTTTCTAAAATGAACAAAGTCCGGCCGATTGGATTTTGTACAAGGTGCTGTGCAACGGTCGACCCGCGGATATCGTGCCGCAGTTGTTGCTTTTTGCAAAAACCGAGACCAATGACACTAAGGTACGGAGTACATATACGTACCAAGATGCACCGTAGTGTGGCTGATGATCCTGGTTGAGGTGAAGCTTAAATCCACCTAGGTTCAAGTAGAACAAGGTGAAGCTTCTTCATGTTTGTTGGCATTTGACGCGCCGCTTAAACACTTTGCCGCCTGCCTGGGGCAAGCTTCGGTGACCTTACCCAGTTGAGTTAGCCTGTAGCTCCTGTGGACGTGGGGGTCGTCGCAGGGATACGCCGTTCAAGGTCGCTCAACTCTCTACGATTTATATAAATGAGTCTGGCAACGGTAAGGGAAGACTGATGTCGGGTTTACTTGCACTCTCGCGATCAAAGACTGTTCAAGAGTCTAGTAGATGATGATGAATGCGACAGCAGCGGTCACGGCCGAGAGACTGTGCGCTTCAAGATAGAAGGGGACGAAGGAAACAAGGGAACGATCGAACCTTCGTGCGAATGACCCAAGTACGGTACTCTCAGTCTGATTGTTTTGGTTCCATGAGATGACTCATTTTGGTTCTGACTGACACTTGCACCGAGACTTGACTCAACGTGGTGATGGATGGCGGCTTTGAATTCCCATCTTTTGAGGATGGAAAAGTCAACTCCTGTGACTAAATTAGAATAGAACGTGCACGCGCCACCTTGAGGCCCCATCAGGCGTTGCAACAGAGCCTCTAGAACCACAATTCATCATCACTTGCGCCCTTCATGTCAAACCGTCGTCGTGGAACCCATTAGAACAGCCAAGAAGACGAAACGTCGCAGCAACTCACCAGACTTATAGAGCATTCAGTGTCACTCACTCAAAGGTTCTCACTGACGCAAACAACTTCATTTCACAATCGTCATCGGCACAATTCCAACTCATCTATACAAAACAATGGCATCAACAGCAGCAGCCAGGACCTACCTGGCCTTCCAGCACAACGCAAAACTCCACAACCTAAAGACCATCGTCACGGCAATCCGCCCCTTTGCCGACCTCGAAGAAGTCAACCGCGGACTCTTCAAAGACGGCAGCGACCAAGACCACGTCGTCGTCACAGAGCAAACCATCTTCCACCCGCAAGGCGGCGGCCAACCCTCCGACACGGGCTCCATGACCGCCGCCGCCACAGGCGCCGCGGGCGCCTCCTTTGCCGTCACCTCCGTGCGCATGGACGCCGTGCGCGACGGCCAGGTGCTCCACTTTGGACGCTTCCACGGCGGCGGGGCCGCGCCGTTCCGCGAGGGCGACGAGGTAGACCAGGCCATTGACGTCGAAAAGCGGCTCCTGTACTCCCGCCTCCACACGGCAGGCCACGTCCTCGGCGCGGCGGTCCGACACCTCCTCGAAAAGGAGGTCGAGGGCTTTGACGAGCTCAAGGCGTCGCATTTCCCCGACGCGGCGTCGTGCGAGTTCCAGGGGCTCATTGATGGGGCGTGGAAGGCGCCGATCCAGGCCAAGGTCGACGCGTTTCTCGCCGCAAAGATGCCGGTCAAGGTCGACTTTTGGGACGAGGAGGATTTCCGGAGCCGCGGCCTCGCGAGGCTGATTCCGGACCGCAGTCTCGCGCCGCCGGGGGAGAAGTTTCGGGTCGTGGAGATTGTGGGCGCCGAGGTGTATCCTTGTGGGGGCACGCATGTTGACACGACGGATTTGTGTGGGGAGACTGTTGTGAAGAAGATTTCGAGGAGTAAAGGGAAGTCCAAGGTGAGTTATACGGTGAAATGAGACGGCCCGGAGATGAACGAAGACGAAGATAATGCATTATATGACAGACGAAGATGATGCATTATATGACAGACGATGAGGCTGCAAACTTATTATAGAAGAGGGGACTCTTTTGCTCTCTCTGAAAATTCATAATGTCCTGTGTAAACCAGGCTCGAAACATCTGTACTAATTGCCCTTTACAATTACACCCATCGATACTAGATGGCTAGTCCTAGATGACGCTAAGAACATGTTTCACCATAGCTATTGCCTTCTCCTCTTCTAACCGCCCAGCAACGAGTTGAAGGCTGATGGGCATTCCATGTACCGCTGCAGGGTCGTCTGCGCAAAAAGCGTTAGCTGCCTCAGTTCTCGGCTACCAACAGAGAGAGAGAGAGAGAGAGGAACGACGTACACTCGGCGTGAATGGCTTCACAGTCTGCGCTTAATGGCTTTTCTGTAGATGGGTCGAGAGGCGTGTCCAAGCTTTGGTCTGCTGACAAGCCAGTCGGGAAAGAAATGCAAGAATAGTCGAGGATATTATAGACCCCCGTGTATCCAACTACATCTCCACGTTAGTGAAATGCGAAAGAAAAGAAAAAAAAGGAAAAAAAGAAAAAAAGCCGGCAAGTCGTCGTTCGCGGGGGAATCCAAAAACGTACCATGCTTGAACGTTCCACTCTTGACACTGGTAAACGGCGTCGTGGGACAGAGAATCGCATCAATCCCGGCCGCCGTCCAGCGGTCGAGATACCGCTTCTGGAACGCGGTGCGCTCGAGATGCAACTGCCACATATCGTACGTCCCGAGCTCCTGGGCAGTCTCGTACGCCGCCATCTCGGGCCGGAAGGGCTCCCCCGTCTTCTCGAGCTCCTTCTTGATGGAGATGCCGCCGTCGGCGACGAACAGGCGCTCCAGCAGCGTCAGCCCCTGCCGGTGGTCGACGGGCGCCCAGTCGACAATCTCGATATCGCTCCCGGCGGCCTTGAGCTTCTCGACGGTGGCCTGGAGCGCGCGGGCGACGGGCGGCGTGGGCCTGACCATGCCGTCGTTCCACATGACGGCGATTTTGAGCTTTGGGGGCAGTTGGACGTCGCGCCACGGGATCGGGACGCAGCGGGGGTCGTGGAGCCACGTCTTTTGGTTGACGACGGTTTTGCTGTAGAGTTCCAGGTCGGTGATGGTCCGGGTCATGGGTCCGTTGACGGATTGGACGGCTTCCTGGCCGCCCATGCCGGAACGGCAGCCTAGGGTGGGGAAACGGCCGAACGAGGGCCGGAGGGTGAAGATGCCTGTGCAAGCGGCGGGGATACGGAGGGAACCACCTGTGCGGTATCGTTAGCGACCTCCTTCCCTCCCTACCCCATGTGGAACAAAGTCAAGGAAGACTGATGATAAGACTCACCGATATCCGTTCCAATACCGAGCGGGCTACCCTTCATCACAATAAGCGCAGACTCTCCGCCGGAGCTCCCACCGCTAGTGAGCTTCCTGTTCCTCGGGTTCACCGTGCGGCCAAAGACGTTATTGACCGATTCCGCAATCATCATGGCCGTCGGCACATTCGTCTTTACGTAGAACACGGCGCCGGCCTCCTCCAGCAGGGCGGCGAGCGCGGCGTCGTGCTCGGCGGGGTCGCCAATGTGCGAGGTGAAGCCGACGGTGGCGTCGAGGCCTTTGAGGTTGAAGTTGTCCTTGAGGGAGATGGGCAGGCCGTGCAAGGGGCCGATGGGCTGTCCGGTGCGCGCGAGGTGCTCATCTCTGGCTTTTGCTGTGGCGAGGGCGCGGTCGAAACATGTTTCTGAGAGGCAGTTTGTCTGGATACAGCGAATGAGCGGAAAAAGTTCGCCAGCCAGTGAGAGGATGGGTGGAAGGGGTATGATTGTAAACTCACCAACTGATGCGCGGCAACGGCCCGCTTGCAGAATGCCTTTGTGACCTCTAGCGACGTGAGTTCTCCGGACGCAAGCTTCGGAATGAGGTCAGCGGCGTCGCTATTGGTGATGGCGAGCTCTTTCTCGGTGAACCAGCCCGAAGTCTCTGGCCACGATGTCACGTCGTTTTGGGAATCGGGAGGGAGGAGGTTTTTGGGGATGAGCCATTCTGAGGGGAGCGACGCCGCGAGGGACTCTCGCTTCTTGGCGGCGGCCAGCTCCCACGTTTCGGTCTTTATGCTACCCATGGTAAATTATCTACTTTGGCGGGAAGTCTGACTGTTGCTTGCGAGGTTGGATCTAGAGGTTGCGACGATAAGATGGCCCGATGACAGCAAAAGCGATCACCTCTCTACAGCCAGACAGACCAAGCCGGCTCCGGAGTTGTTAAATAACCAGCGACGGCTGCTGGTGGCCCAAGTATGGGTTAGTATGGTGGTCTGGTAGGCTCGAGGTATGGCGCGAACAACCGGCGCCGCACCGGTCATCGGCGATTTGATCCGGGACGCATCGCCCGAAATCCAAACTGAGGAGACGAAAGGACGTGCTACAGTGCCAGTTCGGATCCGCGGGAACTGTGGAGGGAGTTGTCTCGATAGATAAGACAGGTCGGGGGAACACTGAAAACTATTAGAGGTGGCTGTGCGGGGAATTTACACCACCTCCATTCACCTTGATAAGCTCGACTGCATGCTGCCAAGTCCGGTTTGAATCGAGCCGACGCAACTCGATGGGTTTGGGGTCGGGGAGTTGTCGTGGAACAACTGTGGGTAAAGACATCCTTCAACCACAGTCAGTGAGGGGAGTCGACACTACGGCCCGCTGGTCTTGGAGAAGACGCTAACTTTTACCCCGTACGTGCCAGCTCTCCCTAATCAATCCTTCAACAAAACCGCTGACATTAATGGCCTTATTTGCATAGCTAATGCGCCGTAGAGAGCGGGACAGTTCCGGTGCTACAACAATGTAGCGCCTCGATGACGCAGATGGCCGGTCGCTTGAAACAACCCTTTAAAAAAGGACCTCTCCTAATGGATTGGCTCCGTCGTCGCGCCGGAACGAATGCCGCCATGTGGCCGCCGGGGTAGGTCGCCTTCGGGTTTCTTTTACCGCATGGTTGGTAAGATCGTCGTTGTTCATCTACGTTACAGTGAGAGATGGCGGGTTAAGACATGCACATGTGCTGTACCGTTCCTCTTCATCCAGCCCTCAAGGTCTGTAAAAGACGCGTTCAATCAAAGTGGGACGCGTCCAACGGCCCTTAGCCCTAAAATTTCTCTCAAATCGATAACGCCGAGCCTTTGTCGTCGCAATTCCCATTTCACGATCGCATTAGACCCAAGCTTTGGGTGATGAAAACACACAGCCCGCGCTCTCGCCCGTCTTTGACAAAGGAGCCCGCCCCAAAGATCATAACGTCCAGTCTACATCTCCCGTCGGCACCCAGCGCTCAGAGCGTATCCGGCGTGTCTGGTGAGGCTGAAAGGACGCTCCCGAGCTCCTAGCTTACCCTCTCGGACAACCATCGGACGACGTCTCCGGGCGGACAGCTGTAAGCTTATCATTTCATTCTGGTTCGTTGCGGCGGCGGGGGGGGACTGCGATGTCCAGATATGATAACGGTGGTGCCCCTTGGTCGCTCACAGTGCAACAGGGCCATCGAATCACAACGCATTGCGACAGGGAGCCGGCAACAGCTGAGTCGGGTTACCACCGATCGCCTCGACGACAAAGGCTCACTACCTATCCGTAGATAAGGCCAAAACCCCATATCCGAGCAGAATTCTACTGAACACCTGAGCGGTTCCTGTTGCGCCGATTGTTCCCCTTCCCCCCCGGCGTCGATTACCGTACGAGGAAAAAACAACGCCAGCCCTATCGCACGACCCCCCTGCTATTTATTCCTGTGACCATATTCCTTATCTCTTGGGAGATAGCGGCCGCGCGATACGTGTTTAAGCTTGACGCCCTTGGGAGACAGCTAGCATCAGGACGCAAACGTGAAGTCGTTGGATGCGGTATTCATAAGAAGTCGGTCAGGGTTCAGGTGCATCTTCCAGTTCCACGGTGAACGGTGTGCTCTAATTGCTCAACCTGACAACGCAATCCATTATTTTTTTTCATTCGCTGCTAGGCACAGAGGGTCGGTTCTTCACTAACACCGTCAAGTCGCCAACTGGACTCGCTGCCCACCATGGCCTTTGACAAAGTCCGCCAGTACTTGAATGTGCAGTATCAGCCAGGGGAGAAGAAGCTGGTTTCCAAGATTGACTTCTTCATCTTGACCTTTTGCTGCTTGAGTTACCTGGTCAACTATGTAAGTAATGACCTCTGGATTTCTTGCCACGGGCGTGCAGTGTAGCAAAAATGCTTACACATTCTTCTCCAGCTTGATCGCACCAATCTGAACAATGCATACGTCTCCGGGATGAAGGAGGAGCTGGGCTTCGTGGGGAACCAGCTCAACGAGATTAACACGTGCTTCACCGTGGGGTAAGTCGAGAGCAATGCCGTCAGACTCTGCCTCATGTTCTTACCTCAGTGCCAATGACTGACAAAACTGAACCAGCTATGTGATCGGACAAATCCCCTCCAACCTGTCCCTCCACTACGTCAAACCGAGAATCTGGTTCCCCCTCATGATGATCATCTGGGGCGGCCTCACAATGTGCACAGCCAGCGTCCACAGCCCCCAGTCCATCATGGCCATCCGCTTCTTCCAGGGCATCGCCGAGGCCTCGACCTTTGTCGGCACGCACTACATCCTCGGCGCCTGGTACACGGAGCGCGAGCTCGGCAAGCGCAGCGGCATCTTCACGGCCTCGGGCCTGGCCGGCACCTTTTTCGGCGGCTTCATCCAGACGGGCATCCACAGCAGCATGAACGGCCTGCACGGCCTCAGCGGCTGGCGCTGGCTCTTCATCATTGACGGCCTCATGACCGTCCCCGTCGCCCTCTACGGCTTCGCCTGCTTCCCCGACACGCCGCACACGACGACGGCCTTTTACTTCACCGAGGAGGAAAAGGCCCTCGCCCGGTCCCGCGTGCCCGAGGTCCAGGAGCGCTCGCCGCTGACGTTCCGCTTCGCCAAAAAGGTCCTGACGTCGTGGTACTGGTGGGGCTTCGTCATGCTCTGGGTCATTGCCGGCGAGACCGAGTCCTTTAGCACGAATTCCCTGCTGGGCCTGTACATGAAGAGCCACCCGACGCACAAGTACACCGTCGCCCAGCTCAACAACTACCCGACGGGCGTGCCCGCCGTCGGCATCGTCTCGACGCTCTTCTGGGCGACCCTGACGGACTTTTTGGGCGGGAAGCGGTACCTCGTCGCCTACTTTATCGGCATCACGGGCATCGCGACGTCGGCCATGGTCCTCGTCGCGGCGCGGGACCCGACGAGCGCCGGGTCCACGGCTGTCGTGTTTGGCGCGTATTACTGGGCCGGTGCCGTGTATGCGTGCCAGGCCACGTTTTTCGCGTGGTGCAACGATACGATGCGGTACGAGGAGGGCGTGTTCCGCGGCGTCGTTCTCGCGGGTATGAATTTGGGGAGCAATGCTGTCAACGCGTGGTGGAGCATCATCTTTTATGGCGCGTCCATGGCGCCGTGGTTTACGGTACGTTTTTCTTTTCCCTTTTCTTCTTTTCTCTCTCTCTCTCTCTCTCTCTCTCTATCTCTCTCTCGTGCTCGGTACAGAGTTACGAGAATCAGACTGTCGGGAATGGGATGTGGACTAACATGTACATTGTAGAGGGGTATGTGGGCCATGATCGCCAGCTCCATTGCCTTGATTATTTGGACCAGCGGGCTCACTCTGCTCACGCACAAGGAGGAGAAGCGGCGTGTGCTGAATGCGGAGGCGGGGGAGACTGGGTCCATGAGCAAGGGACCTATTGCGAAAGACGACGACGAGCAGGTTTAAGAGGAAGCGTGGAACAGTGTATTGAGATGATGCTGTAGTTGCACAGGATGGGATGGAGGTGGAATTCAAAAGTGTTTGAAATGTGCTCTTTGCGTTGGAAAGAGAACCAGAAAGTGACGAGTTCTAGCGCAAGATGGGAGATGTTGATGAAGAACGAAAATTGGAGGAAGAGACCCACGGGTAAGCCTCGCGTTCTGGCCCAAGTTGCTCTGGACAATCCATTTTGAAGATGGCTTTAATCAACTTCCTCCTGTCCTTTGTCTAAGGGAGATAGTGTGAAGAGGTAAGAAGATGGACTGCTTTCGAAGCTCCGCCTGGGCACGCCGCACCAGAGATCTACAGGCAGGGAAGGATAAGGAGTGTATTTCGAATTGGGTTGGACGGCAAGCGACGGAATAAGGTCCGCGCCTTTTCGGAAATAACTCAGACGGGTCCTCCCACGTCGTATGGTATTGCACACGTGTAAGAGCGACCCCTTCCGTCTAGAGCGACACCGACTCGGACTCCGAGTCCCTGACAGGCATTCCTGGAATTGCCGAGGCCGGTAGCATGAGGGCCCACTTTATAGACTCGTGGGTGCCGAGGCCGGAACCAAAAAAAAACGGGCCCGCCCCGCCAGATGCCGAGGTGTCGGATTTAAAAAGTATCTTGGTTTCCAAAACAAAGGTAGCGTCTGCCAGCGGCATTCCTGTATCTAGCGGCTTCGCGCCCTCGGAGAAAATAATTGAATTTTATCTTATTCTAACCTTCATCACGCTCAAATAGCAGACCGATTGCTTTTGACTCCGCAGCTCGTTTTCCCACTCAGAAATCGACAGCTTCAGGGCCAAAGTGGGTCCGTCGCCGGCGAACCCGACTCGCGATCGGCGCCGAAACCCGATTCATGTGTCCAAGGCCCGCCGCCCATGAACGAAAACGAACGAAGACTCGCTCCATACCCACCTACGTCAATGCGCCTTTTCCTTTCCTGTGCTCTTATCCCTTCACGCCACCGGGGCCAGACCGCACGACGACCCCTGGCCCACCATGCCCAAGCTGGCGGGTCTCCGGCAGCGTCGGCGATTGCTCAGGGGAATGACGGTGTGCTCCGTCATTAAGTTTGATGGAAAGTTCTTTAGGTTCTAGCCTGCCTTTTTTGATGCTTCTTCGATTCATATAAAAGCTCATCTGCCGTCTTGGCTTTCTGACGTGTCATGCCGCGCCGTAGATCTTACATCATTAGACAATATTAACCCTGGACCCTTCGTTTAATCTTCCTGCTCTAATAGTCCCACCGCATCAATGACTTCACTACCATCAAACTACAATGACCGTCCGGTCGCAGTTCTCGGCGGCGGTGTGCTTGGCCGTCGCATTGGTAATTTTTGGACTCTTTTCCCGGAATGCATTCCACCAGACTCGAACTAACCCTCAAAAAAAACAGCCTGCACATGGGCATCAGGCGGCTACAACGTCCAAGTCCGCGAACCCGACGCCAAGCAACACCAGCCCTGCCTAGACTACGTCAAGCAAAACGTCGACGCCTACCCGGCGTCGGGCCGCAAGCGCGCCGGCAACGTGCAAGTCTTCCAGGACCTCGAGACCGCCGTCGCCAACGCCTGGCTCGTCATCGAGGCCGTGCCCGAGAGAATCGAGATCAAGACGGACACCTTTGCCGACCTCGAGGCCGCGGCGCCCGCCGACGCCATCCTCGCCAGCAACTCGTCGTCGTACAGGTCGTCCGAGATGCTCGGCAAGGTGAGGGACGAGACCAAGACGCGCATCATGAATACGCATTACTACATGCCCCCGTACAACATGGTCGTCGAGCTGATGACGGACGGCTTCACGCGCCCTGAGATCTTCCCCTTCATGACCGAGAGGCAAAAAGAGGTTGGGACCCGGCCGTTTACGGCGCGCAAGGAGTCTACCGGCTTCGTGTTTAACCGGTTGTGGGCTGCGATTAAGAGGGAGACCTTGTCCATTTTGGCCGAGGGCGTGTCGAGCCCCGAGGAAATTGACACCTTGTTCTACGAACTCAGCAAGCACGGCAAGGGCCCTTGCGAAATGATGGACGGTAGGTGGCAGGATGCAACAAAAAAACCACTATGCGGATTTGAGTACGATGACTAACGAAACCAATAGAGGTCGGTCTCGACACCGTCGCCTTCATCGAAGACCACTACGTCAAGGAGCGCGGCCTGTCCCCAGAATACACAGTCGACTTCCTCCAACGCGAGTACCTCTCCAAGGGCCGCCTCGGCAAAAAGTCGACCAAGGGCGGCCTGTACCCGCACCTCCCCAAGATCATTGCCCTCGACCTCGGCATGGCCAACGAAGACGACGTCTCGACGTCGGGACAGGTCCTCCAGCTCTCGTCAGAGGGCAAGCTGGAGCGCGTGCTCGTCGACCGCCAGCACGTGCCCGACGGCATCGACATTGACGCCGACGACACGCAGCGCATTATTTGGACCTGCATGGGGATACCGGGCAGGCAGGACGGCACCGTCTTGTCCTCGAACCTGAACGGCAGCGACGTAAAGTCCCTCTTCGCGGCCGGCGCCATCAACACGCCCAAGCAGCTCATCATCGAATCCGTCTCGAAAAAGATTTACTTTTGCGACCGCGAGGGCATGAAGGTGTACCGCGCCAACCTCGACGGCAGCGACCTCGAGACGCTCGTCGTCGCCGGCAACGACGCCTCGGATCTCAAGTCGTGGTGCGTCGGCGTCGCTGTCGCGCCGAAGCTGGGCAAGTTGTACTGGACGCAAAAGGGCGCGCCCAAGTCTGGGCAGGGCCGCATCTTTTGCGCGAATATTGAGATCCCGGCGGGTCAGACGGCCGAGACGCGGGATGACGTCGAGTGTTTCCTCGGCGACTTGCCGGAGCCCATCGATTTGGAGGTGGACGAGGAGACAAACACCCTCTTCTGGACCGATCGCGGGGAGATCCCCCGGGGCAACACGCTCAACCGGGCCGGCATCGACCCGGCGACGGGCTTACGATTGCAGTCCGCCGAGGGATCCAAAAAGTATGACATCTTGGTGAGGCACCTCAACGAGGCGATTGGCGTCAAGTTGGACCGGGAGAATGGGCACGTTTACTTTAGCGATCTCGGCGGCAGCATTTACCGCAGCAACGTGAATGGCTCGGAGAAGAAGAAGATCTTCTCCGATGATGACCGGACTATTTCTGGAATTGCTCTTCTTCGCATTTAGACTTGGGAGCTCTGGATACATTAGAAAGCAGAAGGATGAGATGGCGTTTGGAAGACACAGGAGTTGTCATGGCGAGGTTTATATGTAGAAGGTATAGATTGATATCCCGGCATGGGCGGTGGTTTCGTCAATTAGATTTAACCAATGCAACTTGACTCTTTGCAGTAGTCTACACCTTTCTCCAGTGCCACTATGCTGCTGTACAAAACCCTCTGTCTTCAGCGTGTGTAAATCTTACACTTGCATACCGTAGAGCTAAATTGATACGAAATATTACCATTATTAAAGATCACTATGAACCTAAAGACAGAGCAGACGTTCTTCGGGTCCATAAAGTAACCTTTAGTCATCCAAAAAGGAATTTAGGGAACAAAACAATTAGATACCGTATGGATTAAGTATCAAGTCTTGAATTCGTCTCTCAAGGTGATACTTCACTCTTTGGCCGAATATCTAGGCTCATGTCGTCAACAAACCTGGTATCAGGATACACCTCTCGCAGCGAAGCCTGCAAAATAGGTATATCTGTTGGCGGCAGCACAAGCAATCATTCGTGTCCTTGAGCCTCCCGGTTTTCCCGATTCTTCCGCTCCCGATACTCATCCAGTCTGTCCATGCACCTCTCCCTATTGTACCGCTCCGTGAAGACGCCCTCTTCCTGATATATCTGCGCCTGAGGCGTATCTGGGCTGGTGCAGTGTACGTGTTTTCTATCCACGGCAATCTATATTTGTTGTTATGATTTAGCGGAAGAGCTATTGGAATTCAAACCACGCCGTAGCGCGGAGATGGATGCCACCAACCATTTCAAATTTTCTAAACATTTCCTTTGCCATGGAGAAGAACTCGCCAAAGTTGTAGGTCTGGAACCTGCGCCAGGCTTCTTCATCTGGTGCTTCCTGTGAGCCACGATATTAGCAGCGCATTCATACAAAGGAGACAGACTGGTCGCAAAAATGATGGGGAGGGGGGAAGGGGGCGGTTTGCGTCGCTGGGGGACTTGCGGGATCTGATAATCGAGTGGGCTCCGGACCGGTCTGTGGGTCCGCAAGGACAATCGTGCCGCGCTCCGTGTCGATAAAAATGTAACGACCGTTGTGGCCCGATGGAATCGTCGCGTACACGAACACGTGGGGTGGTATATGCGAGATGCTGCCCTCCTCAGGCTCAAAAAGAGACTCCTTTGCGTATTTCGTGGGCAAGTCTAGGACAACGTCGCTAGTGAAGTCTACGGCAGTGGCGTTGCCGTAAATCTGCCACGGTTCCCAGTCGTCCTCCTTTGTGCGGCGGATGTAAGGGATATGTCTCATCAGGTCCGCTACGGTGTCGTTCTTGCCTAGGCAGAAGGAGTCGACGAATTCGGGTGTGCTGTGCTCCCAGCCGTCCTCTGGGGGATGTTGGATGACTTCCGGGGGCAGGTAGAGCTGCGTCAAGAATTCGTAATAGGATGTGAGCTCCGAGACGAGCTCGTCCCTCGAGTATGAAGGCTCACCCATGTTTTGAGCCGAGCGGGAAGGATGTTGGAGGTGCAGAAGGATGAACCAACGCAACAGCAGGGAGGGGTGTGAACCTGTCCAAAGTAATGGAGAAAAGGTGAACAGGGGTACATGCGGTACCGAGATCGCAAAAGAAATTCACTCCAAAGTCTTGTCATACGAGGCATTGGATGAAAAGGTCCGAAGTCATGATGTGCACCAGGAGATCTGCTCCCGTGGACTAAATCACTCTGTTGGAGCGCATAACATCCCATCGTATGAGCAGCCTCAATTACTTGGCGTACCAATGCGAGAATCCCGCAGCGGGCAATCTCGGCAACGCTCGCAGAATTGAAGAAAAACGCCAGCGGGGCCGACCCCAGTGCCCAACCTCTTAAGCGTAACTGATATCTTGGCATCAGTCTCACGACAGATGCCTTTCTGTTTCCCGCATCTTAGCCGCTCGTCCTTTTGCTGTTGGTTCATTGAGCTGCGCCCTACTTACCTTTGCCTTTGATTATTGGTATTTCGTTGTGAGAGTGAGCAGTCAAGTACTTGTCTATATGAAATTGAAGGCAAGGCCTGAAGGTACCCCTAAGCGCCCAGGTTCATCTCTTTAGCTTGAATTCTGCAAGATCTGCACAAATTGATCGAGATTGTGTCACAGTCGTTCGTAACTGCGCACACTGCCACGGCTGTCATTCAGAGCTTTGCTGACAGTGATACTAATCTGACACAGCTGTAAAATATCCCCCAGACTCCTGAAATCAAAGCCGGCCGACATCTTGTGGGCAAGACAGCTTGCTATTGCCTGGAATGCGAGCCGGAAGGGGAGGGGGGGCGGAAGGGGCGACTTTTGCGTTGGCATAGAACCAGGTCAAGGAAACCAGGCTTTGAAAGGGACTCGATTAGTTATACCACCCCATTCAAGTCAAGTTGTTGAACCAGATTGCTAGCAACTCTGGCCAAATACTGGGCGTAGTTGAGGACTTGATGCAGCGACCATCGATACAAATTGACGTGTCAAACATCCCATGACTGCGCCACCGGGCGATGATATGCCATTTAATTGACCTCATCTATTAGTCAGCTTTCGGCAGAATGCCTAATCTTATACTATGCGACAGGAGTGTATACTCAGGACGAATCACTTTGTCCATGCCTTGAATCGCGCTCTATTAGAGAAGGCCACTGGAAAGGACCTGGGCTAAGCTACGATAAGTAGCTACTAAGGCGCTCGCACACGGTGTTTAGAGAGGATAGAACAGGAAAGAAAATCGCGTTCAGGAGCGATCGCCTGGCTTTTGAATGGATTCATGCATTTGCGCTCGTTTTTCTCCTTCTTGTTTTAATAATTTCTATATAAACAATAAAGAGCGAGTGCTCTAAAAGCATACAATTTTTAAATCAATATTGAGTACCGTGACCGTAAAGATTTCATAATCGAAATCATTTTTTACATAGCGGTAATTAGTACGACCTTTACCCAGATTTCCTTACTTTCCTCTGTAAGAATTCCTGAGATTTCCTTAGTGAAAATCATAAGGAAATCCCAGATATTTCCCCGCAATTTCTTGAGGAATTCTGGCAGCCTTTCTAGGAGATTTCCCTACCTAAGGCAAGCCCAGGTAAAGGAAGGGTCCGAAGGTTCTGAAACTGTTTTTCTGGCGGCAAAGTCCTCACATTGAAGATCACACTACACTTTGCTAGGGCATTTTCTTGACTATTTACAACTCAAGCAGAGCATTGAGGTCAACAACGCTAATGCTGACCCGGTTGGTGCTGCTAGGAGGCAGTCTCCCACCACCAATTATAGCCAACTTGCTACCATCATCAAGCACCGCGAGGGCGCGAGAGTAGGCGTTGGGCTGGGGAACAGCATACTCGACCCAGGCGCCAGCATCACCCAGAGCCCGGTTGACAAAGATGTTGGATTGGCTGCCGCCGCTAAGCACGATGGTACCGTTGACGCCGCCGACGGGGGACCAGACGACGTAGGGGGAGCTGACGGGGCGGGTGCCGGAGGTGGAGATGAGCGTGATTCCGGGCACGGCGAGGATGTTGAGCGGGTCGGCGGTGAGGCGGTAGTGCACGCGGCAGCCGTCGGTGCCGCAGACCTCGTAGGCATAGATGAAGTCATCGTTGGGCAGCTTGGCGATGACGGGCATGCCCGGGCGGGCTTCGTAGGCGTTGTCGTCGTGGACATCGTCAACGACGGCGCTCCAGGTCTTGAGGTCGGTGGTGGTCTGGTGGGACAGCTTCTGGCCGTACTTTTCGTCGCGCTGGTCGGCGTAGTAGATGATGAGCTCGTCGTTGTGGAGCCTACATACGGAAACCACCGGTTAGCCGAGATTCAAGATGGAAGCCTCTTGGGCTGGAGGAGGACTTACAAAAAGTGAGGCTCCCAGACTGGAGTCAGGCCGTTGTTGGGCAGGGCCTCGCCTCCGCTGGCAACGCTGCTGAGGAACTCCCAGTTGGCACCGCCATCAGGGCTGATGTAGACATCAATCTTCGTCAAGCTCAGATCCGTCGGGATGCTGTTGCCAGCGAGCAAGATGGTGCCGACGGGGTAGCCAGCAAAGGCCTCCGGAAGCTCGTAGAGGAAGGGCTGGTAGCGCAGACCCCAGCCGTTGACGGTGTCTTGAACACGGCCGATCTCTGCCCAGGTAGCTCCGCCATCCTGCGAGCGGTAGATGGGGAAGTAGACGATGGGAGGCTCTGGGGAGTAGTTTTCCCAGGTGGCGATCAGGTCGCCCGAATCCAGCTGGATGGTGCGGGCATACAGGACGCGTGGGTCGACCCAGCTGGCGTTCGAGGGCGGGGAGAAGATGACATTGTTCGAGATGGTTCCGCTGGCTTGACGGGCCTCTACTGGGGTTGGGACGGGGTTCGCAACGGCCTGGAAGGATATAAGACTTGCTATGCCAGCGACGGCGGCACCGAGGAACTTCATGATGGACTTTTCCAAACGCTTGTCTCGTGTAAACGTGAGGGGAAGATGAGGCCGACGGCGAGAGGTTCAGGTGCCTTGAGGACATACATGATCCGATGTTGTTCGGGCAGCGTGGTATCTCATATACGTCGTCGACATTGAGCTTCAAGAGGGGGCAGTGTAGAATGTCCACGCCAAGACAATGCCAACCAGATCATCGTCAATAGCTTCGCAAAACTCGGAAGCAGACTTTTCTTGATTTCGTGATTCGTAAACGAGTGATTAGAATCCACCCCCAAGACGGCAGAGCGGCCGCGTTGAGGTTAGCTGACAGCTCCTGCAGTTCCCGACACCATGATCATTGATTCATTGGCGCGTATGGTCTGTTATGTTTTCGCAGCAGGGTGCAACGCCGTATTGTGACCTCATAGAGAGGCTGTCACATCGGTTTAAAGCTCCCCGAGGACAATGTCACACTCCCCGCGTCCTAATCCATCGCCGTTGAGATCCTGGGGTTTGGTGTGGGGATGAGCCAGCGATGCCTGTAGGTGATTGCCGAAGCTCAAAGACGCGCGCCAATGAGATCAACTCCTTGGCTCGGAAGCCCCCAGAGATCAAAAAATTCAGCAGTTCACATACGACTGACAGCTCGAGTTCCTATGTGAGAACTGCCAAGAGCTTCTGCGGAGCACTTTGATCTCCTCGTGGGTGGCTTGGACTAAATTGGCAAATCAGATCCGCAAATGGCGTAACCATTTACTGCCCTGCTTGAGATCACTCGATGGCCGTCACATCACAAGCTTACCTGGGTTGAGACCGAGGGTAGAAGACTCTTGAGCCTAGGTTCCGGGACCGCATAACTATGGAATCGATGAACTTGCAGCAGCCCTGGGTGACTTTATCTAACAACTTGCGTCAATCAGGCACGCGTCTTCGTCGACTTTTCGATTATGAATATTCCTGTAGGGAGCACAGATACCACAAAACAACTGAACGTGACCTGATTCGAGTGTTTCATGAACGACATTGAATAAGCAAATGAGAGTACTTTCCAAAGAGGTCAAGATGGCTCCAGAAAGCGTGTCCATCCTATTAAAGTCACAGGTTAGGTAGTGTACACATATGTAGGCCAATGATTGATTCATTCTCAAAAGGAAGGAAATTCAATCTCCCCCTCCAGCGACACGTTCATTTCTGCTTCTTACTTTATGGCGAATTGTTGTGGCTGCTTTCATCTATCGTGTCAAGCTCGCTCATCTGTTGTGACGATGTACCCTTTTTCGGTGTGAGCAACGAGCTTCTATACTCGGCCGCAGCAGAACTCAAGCGCTTCTTCTTTTCGGACTGTCGAAGGATGAACCTGACAAAGAATTGACGAAGATTCGGTATGCAGGCCGTGAAAATCCCCACATACAGCTCGAGGTCTGTCCATATGACACTCGGCATCATAGCCACTGAGAATGAGAGGCATTAATCAGTTCAAACTTTTCGAGCTATGTTTGGAGCGAGGCAGCTGTCGACTTACCGGTAGGATTCAGCGGGTCTTTCCGGAAATCCAAGATGGCTTTAATCCGGATGCAGCTCACGACCGTCAGACTGAACAAGGTATGTTAGCCAAGTATCCACCATACAGTACGCGGTCGATACTGATTTGCTCACAACAAACCAAGACTAAACATGAACATGATTGCAAATTTCTTGCGGCGAGCCAGGTTCATGCCCCAAATTTGTGTCAGGGGAAGGAGGAGCATCCACACATCTAGCGCAATGTTGATACCCGCGTGCGCCAGGGCGAGATAAACGATGTCGATACACTTTCCAGTTGCATCCCCTGTCCAAAATGTCCAGGCTAAGCTTACAGGGCTGCATTGGAACAAGCCGACGCAGATGAAGATGATGCCATTCATAAGGTTCAGTGCTTGTGTAACCCACAACGCAATAGTGATCTTTTCGCCGGGCAGGTGGAAGATTCGAAGGTACATGAAGAGGATCGATGCCTTGATGATGTCGATGCAGGCATGATATAAAGTTTGCAAGGCGTAGAAGCCCTATGGAGTTTGATGTCAGCAAAGATGCGTGCTAGGTAGAAGTCACATCGCCAGTGGGTCAACCACACAAAAAACGGTGGGCGTTGATTACCTTGAAGAAGTGGGTGATTTGGAGGTCACTGAGAGTCCATAGGTCTCTACCGGCACCGTTATCCTCAACTGGTCAATATTATTAGCGCAGGTCCGGTTTTGAGACTCTTGCCATGAGAAACATACGGAAGACGTGCAAAGACACGTATGTCACAAGTAAACCCTTCAGATTCTATGTCAGTGTCTTGAGCAGTCCTCTCCAAAACGGATGTTGACTTACATATGCCACAAAAATTGTGTAGTCATCCCAACCCCACGTTGATAGCCGAGCCAATTTCGTTATTAGTCGAAGTATAATTGCGAGTGTGGGCAACAAGGCAAACAGGACGATCCGAACGATTTTTGTTTTCGGAACCTCATTGTGCAGAGGAAAATTACACGCCGTCCAAGTGATATTTTGCGTGACTATGGTAAACAGCAATTGTCAGACAAATGGCTTCTCGACGAGGAATGGCAAAGACCTACTGATAGCGTACTTGAGTGGGCAGCTCAAGGCGACACAGCCTTCCACGAATTTGATGAATCCGTCGTCCTGACACAGACATGTTTGGTCATTCGTGGGGCACGTCGTTTGATTGAGGCCTGTTAGGAGGCATGGCAGCTTCGCTTGATGTCAATAGTGCAATCCTCAGTCACTGGGGGCAACATCTTCTTACTGCGCATGGAGGGTTATCGTCGAGTGAGAGACCAGGGACATCGGGAAGAGTTGGCTGTTGGGCGAGGGTCGTCGTCAAACAGAGAGCGATGGGCACGGCCAACAGGGTAATCCGCATGGCTTCAATTAATTTCAGTGGCTCTGATAAGCAAATTTGAGTATAAACTTGAAAGAGCGCCAAGAAACCGACAGTCCTGTCTTTAGAACGACCTTGTGGCACTTGAGAAATACGTTTGAAAAAGAAACAGCTTTAGATGCCAGATTTGAAGGGGCACTGAGGTCTACCATTAAAATCATCTGCCCGTTGCACTCAGGTAATGAGAACCACGCATTCCAGACAGGAAGCCCACGAGACGTGGCTGTGAAAGCGTCCATCTCGGCGGCGTGGCTGTCAAAGGGTCGCCCGTCAGGACTGAGAGTCTCGCTTGATTTCGGCCGCCATGGTTCGGTTTCGGAGAGTGTCTGGGGCGAGGCTCTTGTCAATCAGCAATCGAGGCGTCGATGGCTTGGCAAAGCAGCCGGATGAGTTGAACATGGGCTGGCCTGAATACGCATTTAGCCTAGTCGGCCGGAGATGGATTTTTATCGGGTACATCCGACACCAATAGATGAGCACCGTGCCCCAAGATCCCGTTAGCAGACGCGATGTCTCAACCAGCATCGCCCCGGACAAGCGCTAGTTTATTCACATTCTAAGGTCGATCACGCGATTTCCAGGCAGCGGCACATGAGCCACATCGAGACAAATGACACGAGTAATTTATATGTATTGATGTCTTCCCCCCCAAGGAAGGATTGGAGGAGATCTGTGTGCTCATAGACTTAGTGCAAAATGGTTCAGTGTGGAAAGGTTCTCAATTATCACTAAGTCTACCTGATCAACCGATCGTCCTCCGCTCACATCAGTTCTCTTCCACTTCCTCAGGCTTTTGTGCATAGACGACATGGCTGCGAAAGACATCTGTCAGTGGGTATGTACGCGTTCGCGGTCAGAGGGTGAACTTACATTGCACTGTAAGCATTGAAACCGCAAGACTTCAATTCATTGCGCACTTGAGCAAGAAGTATCGTCACCTCCTCCTTAGTCCAGCCAAGAACTCCACAGAAAGTCCTCAAGCTGAACCCTTCCAGCCCGTCCAAGAGCTGGATCAAATTCGTCATACCGACATCCTTGAGGTGAGGATCCTTCGGCCATGGACCGATAGGCATCTTGAACTCCTGATGAACTACGTTGGCAAACCCAGCCTCTCTGACCCAACCTTCCAATTTGGGCCCGGGGCAGGCATCCCGCCCAACCTTCTCACAGGCTTCCATAAGAAGGCTCATCCACTTGGCTGTATGATGATCTTTGGTGAACGTGCCGTCATCCGAGACCATGGAGATTTTGTAGTCTTGGAATTCGACCCAACCTCCAGGGGCCAAGTTGCTGTATATCTAGTCAACAGAGTGGACTCTGACCTCACAATATAACGTACTCAAAGGTGTTCTTGACCAGCTTTTCCCAGTCTGCGATGGAGGCCGCCATGTACCGGCAGAAGATGAAATCGAATAGATATCCATGCACCCAAGGGCTTTCAACATCGTCAACTTCGAATTTCACATTGGGCGGGACCCTAGTATTCATGTTGTCAGTGAACTCGTTCACTAAGGTACCTAGAGCATAGGATTTTCAGAAGTTATATTACCATGAAGGCTGGATCGCGCTCAGATCGATTCCGAGAATCTGTATGAATAGTGAGCTACAGGCAGGATATGCTGTCCAGTGGGAATCCCGCTTGCTTACCTCTGCGTTTTGGAAGACATCTGCTGCCTCAATAGCCCCTGGTAATCAAATGAGCACAATACAATTGCGCGTGCCAGAGATGATGAGACATACATATACCCGTGCCTGTCCCAATATCAAGGATTCGATGAGTACTTTGAGGCGGAACCGGGGCTAGGAAGAGCTTCCGCCCAATCGTCTTCATCACCAACATGTGGTTCAGGTCTAGCCTATCCATCTCGCTCTAATCAAATCACATCTCGTTAGTCGGTTCGTGGCCTTGCTTGGAATAACCGCAGTCTCTCTTACTTCATCGTTGGGAGCAAGGTATGCTGTTTTGCTGTCAGCTACTAAGCTCATATTCAAACGAAAGCAGTGGCTTTCAAGACCGATTCGACAATTCTTAGCTACGTACCACCTGCTCGGAACGCATGGTATCGTCGACCGTATTCGGTAGGGTAATCCAGCACACTGGATGTAAGGGTGGCTGTGTAGGTCGATCTGGAACTGGTAGTCAGGATCATAGCAAAGCAGTAATAAAGCAGGATATTCTTGCATCTGATCTTCAATGGTCGATGCTGTATCGTTGAGCTATTGTGAATGTAAGCAACCTCCTCAGGGTATCAACTGCTGGTAAGGAACTCCACTAACACTAGCCGCATCATCAACTTCGATTTGGTTAACTCCATTAGGAGTTACAGTGGGAGGTACAGCAGTATGGCCAATTTCTGAAGTTTCATTTCTTCTTGGAGAAGCTGAATTCGAAGCCGAAGCCAGAGCTGGCGAAGGGGAAGTAGGAGCTGAAGTAGACATTTTAGCAGTTTAATGTTTCCTTCGGAACAAATGACAGACGAAGAGGAAGTTTTGAGTTGGATGCCTCGCATTCCAGCGAGAGATGGATGCATCTTAAATCATAAAATCAAGCAAAGAGGGGTTCATGGTGCCAAGGGAACGACCCGGGGGACCATCTGTTGTTGGTGCAAGCAGCCGGTCTATGCATGAAATATCACATCCGAAATCAGTCTTCACGTTAACTCACCCCACTGCCTCGCTTTTAACCGGCGTTGGGAACGAACCACCTGTCAGTCGAGTCAACAAGAGCGGGTCTCAGATGGCGTAGGCATGTTTGCTTGAGTTCAAACCAACCAAAAGTTTGACTCTTCTGACATGGATTGCCGATATTGCTTTCTTCTTCTTCTTTGAGTAAGTGCTCCGATGCAGGCACACGAAAAAGCGTCAATGCAAATTATTGGAAATTTACACTCAAGACAACGACCCAAGACCGCTTCACCCACGTTCCTACTATTAACCTTCACACCATCCGCTCCGCTCCTGTGTGATTATAGGGTATCTTCCTCTCCTCCAGGCTTTTGTGCATAAACCACATGGCTATCGAAGAAATCTGTCAGCAGGTACTCTCAACAGTGAGAGCTCATTGAAGCAACGGAAAAGCGACCTACATGGCCGTGTGGGCGTGGAAACTTCCTGTTTTGAGCTCCTTGCGCACCTGGGATAGCAGCACCAGGACCTCCTCTCTCGTCCATCCATGAACGCCGCAGAAGGTCCTCAAACTAAACGCCTCCAACCCGTCCAACATCTGAATGAGGTTCATCATTCCAATCTCTTTATAATAAGGGTCTTTGGCCCATGGTCCGATGGGCATCTTGAACTTTTGATGGACGACATTGACGAATCCAGTGTCTTTAACCCAACCCTCGAGTAGCGGCCCGATACAAGGATCACGACCAATTTTCCTGAGGGCATCAATCAGGAGTTTACCCCATCTGTGGGCATGGTGCTCTTCAGTCAGGGTTCTATCTTCCGAGACAAAGTTGATGTCGTAGTCTTGGAATTCGACCCAGCCGCCGGGCTTGAGATTCCTACAATTCTTGTGAACTTTGGTCCATCTAAACGAGAATTAGACGTACGCGTAGACTTGTTTCATGAGTTTGGGCCAGTCGACGATAGATCCGGCCATGTATCGACAAAATATGAAGTCGAACTTCTGCTCGTTGATCCAGGGGCTCTCGACATCGTCGACTTCGAACTTGACGTTTGGCGGAACCCTAGAGGTCTGTTAAGACAAAGTTATTGTCTCATGTCTTTGGGCAGTGCGCTTACCAAGATGGCTGGATTGCGCTCAAATCGTTTCCTAAGATCTGCGCAGACACCAATAAGGTGAGTAAAGAATTGATAAAAGACACGATCAGGGGTGTGCGACCTACTTCTGCATTGGGAAGGACATCTGCTGCCTCGATGGCCCCTACAGTATGATTAGCAATTCTCAACAACAAATTTGGAAACAAGTGCTGATTACAGATTCCAGTGCCAGTGCCAATGTCAAGGACTCGATATGTCGTTTCAGGTGGAACTGGAGCCAAGAAAAGCTTCTTTCCAATGATCTTCACCATATAGGTATGGTGAAAGTCAAGGCGGTCCATTTCTAGCTTAGGATTGGAAGTACATGGTCAACGATAGTTCTTGATGTCGTGGTATGAATGGCTCAGAGCTTGCTCCTACCTCATCGTTGGGGCCCATGTATGCTGGTTTCTTGTCAGTCACTGAGAAATTTCATCTGCCCAGGGTTTGTACTGTTTGGAAACCAAACCCGGGCGATGTGCATCAGCTACTTACATCCCGCACGGAATGCATGATACCGTCGGCCGTACTCTGTGGGATAGTCTATGGCACTGGAAGTTAAAGATGCTGTGTAGGTGGAGCTAGTTGTGATGTTAACATTGTCTCCCATATCGGACACTCTAAGCGTTCTCTACATTTGATCTTCGATACTTGAGATCGTCCCATCAACCTGGTGTTCACGTTAGTCAATCCAACTTGAGCAGTTTGCAAATCAGTGTTACAAACGCTGGCTACATCATCGACCTCCAGAGTAGGGATTTCGTGAGCTGTGGCGAGAAGCTGTTCGCGAGTCGGTGACACGGTCTGCGACCTGTCATTCGTTGCCGAGGGACTGTTTGAGGAGTCGGCCATTTTCGCTATCAACGCTGTTTGCGGGATTTCCTCCAAGAAAGATCACTTTTTTGTACGAGGAATTAGTGATACCATCGAAGACTCTGTCCTTTAAGTAGGCAAGCTCTGAGGAAAGAGGGGTTCATGAGGATTACAAGTCCTTGACCGGAGGAGAAGCCATTGTTGGTGCGAGCGCCTGCAATATGCATGCAACATCACATATACGATGCTATGTTACTTGCCTGGTTCCATATTCTTGCATAGAACAAGGATAAGGAGCAAATCAAGAACTTACTAATTTCCTCATGGCGGGACTCTCCAACGGCGCAGCCAACATTCTCACACGCAAACAACGCAAATGCGTCCAATTGAACCCCGATAATCAGCTCACTCCCACATGAGTTAAGAGAAAACAATTTCATGAGCAAGCTGAAAGGTCTGGACAGTAGAACTTCAGTAGAGGACCTGTGACGTCAAAGCGTACATGTAGCATGAGCAAGCCTACGTTATTGCGCCGATTGAGAAAATTCCATGTCTGCTATGAGAGGTGCCGATTTCTACGCTTCCAACATTTCTGCAAGTGTGGTAATTACCTCTCCCATTTTACGCGCAGTTAGACTTTTGTGTGCCGCCTCTGGAACAACTCTGAGTTCTGCCCCTCGAATCATTTTCGCCGCCTCCTCGGCCATCCGCAAGGGAACATTCACATCCTTGCCCGCATGCCAGACAACCAACCTCCCTTGCTGCACGTCCAAATCCTCCAACTCGAACCCCCACGGGCTACCAAACAGTTTCGCCTCCCACGCGAATCCACGACCGCTCTCGCAAAATGCCTCGCGAGTACTCTGTTCCAAAAGCCGCAAGATCTTGCCGTCATCGGCGTACAGCGCTGCCCGGTCCTCTACCGGACGACTCGCCAAGGCGTCCGCGACCGATTGAGCAAGCCGCTCCGGGTGCTCCACATCCCGGGCAAGGTTTCCGACTTGCCAGTCGGCGATGACTTGGATGAGGCCCGGCATCCAAGGTGCAATGTTGAAGAGAAGGCGATTCAAGAGCATCATTCCGCCTAGGCCCAGCGCGGACGGGAACATCCCGGAGACGACGGCGGCGCCGGCGAGCCTTGCTGTCGGTATCGAGTGGAGGCAGGCGAGGGCATACGGAGCGCCGCCGGAGATGCCTAGCACGGCGAAGCGCTGGACTTTGAGGTGGTCCGCTAGGGCGACAACATCCTGCGGAAACGCGAGGATTGTGCGGTTGGGTTGAAAGGTTGAGCCGCCGTAGCCCGGCCGAGTCACGGCGACGACGCAGATATTGCGCTTGATGGCTTCTTCGTGGACGGTTTGGCCTTCGTGGTTGGAGCCGGGGAGGCCGTGGAAGTGGAAGATGGTCGGTTGGCCTGGTTGTGGGGTGATGCCGAATGTGGTGTAACTGAGAGTTCGGCCGTCTGGGAGGAGAAGAGATTGGTCCTTTGACATGATTGTAAGTAGGAGGAATCCGATTATAGACCTCTGGGAACCGGTATATCCTCCCTTCAATTACGTTCTAGTGGAGAGTTGGCTGGGATGTCGGAGCAATTTAGCTTAACATTACGGCCGCCTGAGCCACATCTGAGAATGCAACGCGATTACGTACTCGAATCCTTCGATACCTAGCCAATGATATTTTTGCCCATCTATCAACGGCCGTTGGATTGTGTACATTGGTGTTTTGATTGGGCTAATGATACGCAAAAAAAGAAATTATGCCAGCCAGTCACTTAGTATTAATGAGAAATCTTGGATTTGTGCAGAAGATTAAAGAGGGATCGGGTTGCTAATAGATCACTTTGAGTATGGTGAGTTTCTTTATGTATACGTCGGCATTGGAGTGTTGAATGTTGGTTTGTTTTTTTCTCACTTGTTTAAGGTCAGGAATCCATCTTGATTATGCATTTTCCAATGCTTGTCCTACCGCTGTTCTCCTTTTCATAATTTTTTCTCGCCGAGTCTAAGTCCATCCAGTCTACCGCGTATTATTAATGAGTACCAAAGTTGAGCCAGGTTCAGAAACCAACAAATCCAAAATGGGATCATGGCGGACCGCGAGATCTCCTTTGCTAAAGGTGACGGAGGGATAGATGCCCTTCTAGGGTTTCAGTAGCGATATACTGGAGCTCATAGTGTTCCATTGTATGTTGAACATTAAGTCCACGCTTCTCTTAGGTACCGCAGAATCGATATCTGTAGCAGTTTACCTAGTTAATCAATCGATCGACCAGACCCGGTAAATGTTGCTCCGCGAGGCTCATCTTCGGAGTCGAAACCGTGGAAATAATCTTTTGGCGCCAAAGACGTACTTGACAACTTGGTTCGCGCTAAACCCTCCTCCGCTCAAGGCTCCACGGATAAAGACCGTCCTGCCCTCTAGTGTTTCCTCCCTGGCCAAGACTAGGCCACATTTGATGGTCTGATATGCCTTGACGGTGCAGCCTACGGGAAAAGCGGCCTCTTCAAAGCTCATGTGCTGTGGCTTGGGCAAAATCATACTACCCAACAGCGTACTCGGAGCAGAAGCCCGTGTCGGGAATGCTAAATGCTGGTGGGAAGTACTGAAGGCTGGTCATGTAACGCACAGTCCATTCACTGCGTCGTCAACTTTGAGGGTTTTAAACTTCCTTGCCAACAGCTGCAATGACGTCCGATCTCTCACATCCAATCTTCATAGGAAAACTGGATTAAAAATTGCTGTTAGCGGTAGCTGATTTGCTCCAGCTTGCATGTGAAGAAAGGTCCATGAATGCTCTGTTGTATGTAAATTATGGGCGACCCCGCAGCTCTCTAACAGTCGCCCTCCATAACGGCTCCATCCTTTACCTAAAAGATCACATTCGCTGGTCTGGTATTGGTCGGCAACGGCTTCTCAGCTACTTCCCAGCCGGCTGGGGCGCAGTGCTTCAGCGCGACGAGAGAGCGCATTATCTGAGGGAGAATGACCATATTTCTTGTTTTTGACCTTGAATTCGATAATATGAAAAGTCCAAAAAAAAGATGATCTCAGTGAATCCTTGTCTCTTAATTTCATCCATCGATAGGCAGGAACAAGCACGCGACCGAATCCTTGAGGCCTCGGTCGGCATTCCGGTAGGACATCCGGCGGCTTCGGAGCCACGGCCCCACCGAAAGCACCGAACGCCCCAGTCGGCCGGCACGGCTCAATCGCTGGGTCTCAACTCGCAAAGCAAGAGAGGAAATAATCCTTAAACCATCCTGAAGGACTTTAATATTGTCCCCGATAATGTGCCAGTAGATCCTACGCATTTCTGACGCGTCGCGCAAGAAGAAGCCCCAGCCTCCTAGGAACGCGGTCTGCCCTTTATCGGTTTTGGTGGCGGGGTGAGTCAAGGGGTAACGGCCGCCCCTGCAGAAAGAGGGAACATGACGAGGCAAAGTTTGCATTGGCGACGCGCATCGGACTGTGTTGCGGAATCCTCCATCGCAATAATGTCTGCCGGAGAGGGAGGACTATTTTTCGCCGCATGCCTTTTCTGGACACTTCCGCCCACGGCAGGACCGCAGGAGAAGGAGGGGGTGGTGGTGATGGAGGGGGTCGCGCCTAGCTCTTGAAGGGAAGATGCAAGAGGAGCGTACACGTACTTTCTAGATGCTATTTAGAGAAGGAAAAGCCCTCATCGTCGCACGCTTCATGGGAAAGCAACCAGCAAGCCACTCGCCTTCCCATCTGTGCAGACCTAGGTGCCGACGTCATCGTCGTTGAAGTCCTCGTTGCCTCCAACATCACCACGGCTATCATCTTGAAGCGAATGCCGGCTGTTGGAAGGGATTTCAAGTCTTTTTTTCTCTTTTCTTCGCACTTTTCTATTTTTGATACCCTACAGATCCCTTTGCTGTGATGGAACTCTTCAGTCTGCTCGCTTTGTTAAGCATAGCAGTCACACATTGCTCTGCAGCTTTCGACCCAACTTCAAAGAACAATGTCGTCGTCTACTACGTAAGACACCACAGCGTTTCGTCATTGACATATTTCCGTGGCTGATTATGCGGTAGGGACAAGGTCCGAACCAGCGCGACCTGATTTACCAATGCCAGCAACCCGAGATCGATGTCATTGTCCTTTCATTCGTGTATCTGTTCCCGGCTCAGGCAAATGGCTATCCTGGGACAAACTTTGGTAATCGATGCGGTGGTCAAGTATACCCAGGTCCTGGGTTTAACGGTGTCAACGACCCTTCGGAGAATGAGTTGCAATCAAACTGTCCTACTTTAAACGCCCAGATTCCAGTATGCCAGCAGCAGTATGGCAAGAAGATCTTGCTCTCGCTTGGGGGCGGCGTGACATCATACCAGCTCACAGGCAAAAACGAGGGCGAACTCCTGGCAACTTACCTGTGGCACATGTTTGGACCGAAAGATCCCAACTGGACAGGCCCCCGCCCGTTTGATTATAACGGACAAGCTGTTGAGGTCGATGGATTCGACATGGATATAGAGCATCCGTCCACAGGTTCGTTGATACTTGCACCGTCCTGCTCCTCATGGGACCGACAACTGTTTGCTGATTCGCTGCCCACAGACAATTCGCAAGGCTATATTGCCCTCGTCACTCTTCTGCGTTCATTCTACGCGACAGCGTCGAAGCAATACTACCTGACTGGCGCTCCTCAGTGCATCGTCCCGGATGCTAACATGGCTGCCATGATCTCCGCCGCCAAGTTTGACATGATCTTTGTCCAATTCTACAACACGCCGAGTTGCTCGGCTGCGACGTGGGTGTCAAGCAACCCGTCCTACACGCCCGGTCAGACGTATCAGCAAGCCGGATTCACTTTTGACGCCTGGGTTCAATGGCTATCGAATACCCCAAGCAGAGACGCAAAGGTGTTCATCACCCTGCCTGCTTCCCCAGACGCCGCCAATGCAGGGAACTACATCACCCCTCAGCAGGCGAACAATCTCATTAGCGCCTACTACTGTCGGCCATCATTCGGAGGCGTGGCTGTGTGGGAGGCAACTCGCGGTGACAATAACCCGTATAACGGCAAATCGTTCCAGGCCACGATGAAAGTTTGGCTGCAGGGGGCTGCAGCAGACCCGCGACTTGCGAGCTGCCAAGTAGGGCAAAGGAAGTCAAGAGAGAGTACAACTCGGCTAACGATCAAGTAGGCGCCAACAACAACAACGACACCGGCACCAGCACCGTCGTCTCCGCCGCCAAACACGCCGAACCCATCTACCCAACCGACAACACCAGCACAGCCCAACCCCGGCGCGCCTGGTGCTTGCGGTTCTGGGATTGGATCCTGCGGTAGCGGATACTGCTGCAGTGCATACGGGTATTGTGGGACGTCAAGTGCTTACTGCGGAACGGGTTGCCAGCCGGGCTTTGGTACATGCAGTGGCGGCGGCAGCAGCAGTGGTGGCAGCTCCGGCGGTAGCTCCGGTGGCAGTTCCGGTGGCAGTTCCGGTGGCAGTTCCGGTGGCGGTGGCAGCAGCAGCGGCGGCGGTGGCGGCTCAGGACTGCCGGTCGCAACAGATGGGTCCTGCGGTGCAGGCATAGCTACTTGCCGAGGCAACGGCGCCTACCAATGCTGCAGCAGAAATGGGTTCTGTGGTAATTCGGACCTCTATTGTGGCGCTGGTTGCCAACCCAGCTATGGCATTTGTAGTTGATTTCAAGGGAGAGGGTAACGTTGGACCAAGTACATGGATCTCTTTGGCGTGTCTGTACATGAGAACGAATAACTCAATAGTAATACAAAATCTTAATGTAACTTTGCGGCGCCACGACAGGACCGGTGAATTAATGATGCTGGCAGGGAGTGCTGTTGCAAGTGTTGAGCCAGCAGCACACTGCGACGTCCGGACGCGGGAAAGACAGCCACGTGCATGCGGCGTGTCTCTGCCCCCATTGGCCTCTCGTGGATGTCTTATCTAATCAATAAAGTATCTGTACTCGGATGGTTCATTCTCCAGTCCCACGTTACACTCCGTGCCACTTCACTTCACAGATCCTCGATCTTCAGTCCCCTCGATACGCCTTCTCTCATCTTGCAACTGTCTGTATTATTATTGTTATTATTTTGGCTGATTACAATATTGGATGGCAATCACGTTTCTGGAAGCGAGGAAGCGAATGACTCGGATGGGACGTCGAACCTTGAGATTCCAAAGCCCGTGAGTCTCTTAAACTCTCCCAGTTAACCGCGGCCCGGCGATGACTAACTAGGCAACGCGGCCGACATGTATACTCGAAATGGAGATGACTGATCCCTCCCCCGTCTCCTCGCGATGCGGCAGCGTTCCTGAGAGGTAACGGAGTTTTCAGCGAAAGGCTGTCTCATTCGCGACTGATGGCCAATCCTCGTAGCGCCCGGTGCACCATCCGACGGAGGGGTGGGGACGCTTGGGAAACCTTCTGTGCTTGTCTTTTTTTTGAGACCATCTCGTCTCGCCAGACCGGTGGGAGACTTGGAGTTGGCTAGACTCCAACCGAATGACTCGCCCACACCTACCCCAAGGTACTATCCATCCTCCTTCTCCTTTTACGCAATCAGAGTTATGCCACCGGAACATGGAAGAATAGAAGCTTGTTTGTAATTCGCCGAAAAGGTGATTGGCTGCCAGATTTAAGGATTGTGCCGTCGACACATGGCGGCTCCCGTCCTCTGACATGGACCCGGACCTATGTCTCGATTTCTCACCTTCTCCCCCACGATGATTGTCCACCGAACAGAGCCTATCACCAAGTGATTCAAGACACATGCGGCCGGCGGTGTTGGTTGGCGTGCACAGCAACGGACCGAGATCGCTGCCGACATGTCCGTTAGGCTGCTGCAGCCGACGACCGAGAGATATGTCATCCCCATTGCGTCGGGACCTCGAGCTAATCTGGCTGCCAAGATGGCAGAAGAAGAAAAGAAAAAAACTAGCCCCATCGTGAAACCCGGCTTCGAGAAGATTTGCGGACGGCCCGCCCCTCAGGAGGGGCGCAATGCGGCTTGCGAGTTGCAGCTGGCTTCCTGTCAGCCAGTCAGAGATATTGCGAGAAAGGAACCATAGCCTCGGCGCCTTCTCCATAGTAAGACACGACGACATCACATAGTATTACGTGTTGTTGTCTGGGCCCCCAGTGCGCAGCCCGTCTTCTGCATGTCACCAACCTTCGGATGCCCCGCAAATACTGACTCGAGTATCCTCCGGACATGGACTTTTGAGAAGCGGCCAAGTTATCCCGACTTTTCGGCATCTCTTTGGCATGCGGTTGTAGAGGGCACTAGAGGCTAGAGAGCGTAGACATGCATCTTTCCCCTGCTCCATTCTTACGCCCTGCTGCAACGCTGCGAGAGGGAGCAAACTCCACCGGATCTTGTTGAGTAAACAGGTGGATGAGATTCTTGCACGTTGCGAGATTTCAAATCCATGCATCCCGTCTCGGATGCAACGTTTGTAGAACGCATGTGTACAAAAATCCTTCCACAACACACCCTCGCGACAAGGATATGGGCGACGTGCTGCCCGTTGATTGCCCAACATTCCAATATCCGATGACAAGTTATACCTCAACGGAGCCAGTGACGTTGGCAGAAAATGCAACGGAAACTTTTCGTCTCGTGAACCCCGAACAGACTTCGGATTCCAATTTTCCAAGACGATAGTCTGACGCACGGTTCATGGGCTAGATCTTGGGCCCGAAACCTACGCACTCAACCCCGACAAGCACATCCATGTATATCAAGATGACTTTTGGAATACGAAGTGCTTTTGGACATGGTATGGCTGCTACCTGGACAATTCTTCCATGGCCGGATGTGCAAGATCAGGCACCAATACTACAAGTCACCTACCGTGCTTCATAGGGTTTGATCATCAACTCTCGAGATGGTTACACGGCGCCCGCAGCATTCCCGTCGTCTGCTTCTTCCAGAACCAAGATTAACTCCTGGGCGGCATAGGGTGGCTATCTTGGGTATGGGGTTTCAAGCGCAGCATTCACAAACTCTACTTTGTCCTCGATATACAGGCGACTTATCGGGGACCGTCGCGACCAAGGTCTAATCCGAGCAATTTATTCACCCCATGTGCACGAGCCACGTGCTCACCACACTCTGGTGGCTGCGGACTTGCACAATCGAAGAAAAAGGAAGAAGAAGAAGGCCCGGCTTGGGTGATCCCGTAGCGGAATAGCAGCATTTCTTGTCTTCGATTCGTCCATCTACACAACCTTTCTGGCTCGGCGAGACGGGGTCCCCAAGCACACACACTTGTTGCCGCGGGATTTATATGCCAAGCTTTTTCTTCTTTCTGCCCACTCCCTCCATTCGTCGGCCCTCTCCTCCCTCAGCTCTGCAGCCACGAAGTGTCTTTTTGGGGGAGGCAAAAAGTTGAACCGCCCTAATGTCGACAACCAAGTCATGTCCCCCAGTGACACCTTGCCAGGGATCGGCACTTCAACCGCTGCAGACTTGCCCTTCACCGCTTACACGGCCGATCTTCTGCCGCTCTCGCATTTTCCACGTCGTTCCAATATTTGGCTTTGCACTCCACTGGCAGCAGCATCGGCAGAGTTCTGCTACTCCATACTCTCTCCACGTTGTCGTTCAGCAAGGGCCATCTTTGCCGTTCAGCAGGAGAGAGAGAGAGAGACCTTGAAGGTGAACCATTTTGCTCACATGCTTTGCATTTTCGCCGCCATAGGGGGGGAGGGCCAAAAAAAAAAAAAAAAAGGGCCAGCCACTAGCGAACGTTACTTCTGATTCTCATCTCCCCATCGGAATGGCCGGCGCTACATTGTTTCTTCTCTCGCGTTGACGCTTTTCCCGACTGGGCCGCGCCTTGGAAGGATGAAGCCGCCGTTTGCTTTCCCGGCGTGGGTTTTTACCTGCGGCAGAAGGCTGGTATTTCCTTCCATACTGCGGTGGAAAAACGTTCCAGGCTAGCTAGCGTATGCGGTCTGGTACCTAGGTATTAGGCTGCGTTGAAAGGGGGCGGCGGACGCCCATCCGTCTACGGATACCGTTGTTCGTTGTACCGCGTTCCCTGACTCGCCTGTGAAACACGACGTCTCGGGGTCCGATCGCTGCGCTACCCTGGATGACTGCTTGCTTGCTTGCTGCTAGCTAAAAAGGTCTCGCCTCGAAAACACCAGCCTCTGCGCATGGCTAACTCTCAGCCGCCGCCCCCACCCCTTCCTGTGCTCGTCCGCCCTTCCGTTCTTGAAACGACCACGAGCCCAACTTTTTTGTGGTGGAGAGCCACATCGAGAGACGAGAGGAGAGAGACCCTAGGTAAAATTCCGAATCTACCTTGCCCACTTTGTGCATGACGTCGTGGAAGTAGTACTCTTTTAGTCAACCAAGCTCTCGGTAAGCTTTATTGTTTATCCCTTCTGTCACCCCATCCCTTCTCATCCAGACTTACCACTAACTTACCATCTTTTTTGGACATGAAGCACAATACGGTATAACCTGTTCATGTCTCAGCCTCCGCTGCTATGATGTTCAGGCTGGTTCATCATGATTACCCTCCTCTCCCCGCACTTCAAGCTCGAAGAGGTCTCCGAAGATGACATGGTCATTGCATCCCTGGCCTGGGGCTTCACCCTCGGCTTCGGCTGGCTCACGATATGGACGGCGGTCAAGCAGACGACCGCCATGTATAGACGCCAAGGCGACCGCATTTACCGGAATTCCTACATTTGGATGATTTGGTTGGAGATCCTCGTGTGTAGCATCTTTAGCATCATTTGCTGGTTGCATCTCAAAGGCATCATACCGCCAAGGTGAGCTTCCCCTCTCCCCGGACTACGTGGACAGTCTTGTCGATTGCCCGATGCTGACTGTCATCGTATCCAGCTTCGCATTCTACTTTTGCATTTGTGAGTATCCCTCTGCATTCTTACTTGCCAAACAAACGTACTGACTATGACAGTGACCACTTGGGCTCTCCAGGTATGCGCTTTCCCGCATCGCAACGCCGCCTGAAATTCTAACTCGCAACCAGGTTCAGTTCCTTCTTCAAATCATCATCAATCGATGCGCCATCCTCCTCACCAACCAGAAGCAGGCATGGCGACTGAAGGTGGGCGTCGCCGTGCTCATCACCGCCATCAACATCTCCGTCTACAACATCTGGGTGCCGGCTCGGTTACAGATATCAGAAAGATATATTGAAATCAACGAGTGGTGGGATCGCTGCGAAAAGGTCATTTACCTCATCGTCGACGGCGCTCTAAACATTTACTTTGTCCGCATCGTCCAGAAGAACTTGGTAACCCACGGACTCACCAAGTACAAACGACTGACGCAGTTCAACATGTTCATCATTGGGTTTTCTCTGAGCATGGACGTGCTCATCATTGCTATGATGAGTCTCAACAACACATTTGTGTAAGTCATCCCGCGTGTGACACTCAAAACTCTTCCCGCGATACAGCGACGGGGTCTTCCGTCTGTTTCTGTTTGTGTGCTAACGCTGCTATTTAGTTACATGCAGTTCCACCCGCTGGCCTACATGGTAAAACTCAAGATCGAGATGTCGATGGCCGAGTTGATTGGCAAGGTTGCTCGGAAACGCGATCTCGGCATATTATCCGCCGCGGGCTTCAACGGAACCCGGGACTCGTACCAACCATCCGAGTACAGCTTGCAATTACCCACCTACGCGAGAGGACGTCCCGTCGGCGGAATCGACGCTGCGATCAGTCACCCACCGCCGAATCCAATCGAGCTCAACCCCGTCGCGAAGCCCAAGCTACCCGCCCTACGAGGTGTCAACGTCGCCGCCGTCAGCTCGGGCCCCAGCAGCCGGAGACCCTCGATTGGTGCCGCGAATGCCACCGACGCAGATGGACAGCCCAAGATGGCGATATACAGGACGCGGGAGGTGGTGGTCGAAATCGAAAGGGTCCCTCCCAGCCAGGGTCATCAAGCAAGCACGAGTCAGGCGAGTCAGCTCACGCTCGACGACTCGTTCGACATCACCAATTACGAGGACAATGCTTCCACAAAAGGTCTCCAGAATGCGCAAAAGTCCCTGGCATTACCCAATTTCCAGGCCCCGTGGGCTACGCAAGAATTTAGCACAAAGATATGGGACGGCACGAATTGCGACGAGGATCCCACCTTGCCGACGACCATCGCGAAGATTGGATCATGGCCAAAGGACACTTGAGAGAGAGACAGAAGAGAGGGGTAATTACCGAACTACACATCGAGAAGGCAAATACAGCCGAGGCATTTTTCTCCGGGCTGCAGACGCCAGTCGTGAGGTGGACCCTCGATCACGCTCAGACAGAACCGAGCGGCGATGCGGCGGTGGGCGAAGCTTGGACGACGACTAAGGGACGCCACACATCACCCAATCGCGAGATCTGTCGCTATTTAAAAAAGATCGGTCGAACGCCACCGCCCACCTCTTTACGCCACGATCTACCCGCCGCCCCTGCTGCCTCAAACCTTTGAGCCTCGACGCTGTGGCGCAGAGGGGGCGGGATGGGGGGAAGGATGCGATACGCCTGAGACTTTTTTGCGTAGGGCTCTCCTGATGGCGTTGAGTTTCAGCATTGCAGTTTCACAAAGGTTGCTGCACGCAACTAGATCCGTAGATCCGATCTAGACATGTCATCATCGACTGGGGTGGCTGAACTTGATGAGATGAACCCGATTTGGTGGAGGTGCTTCACTCTCGGCGTAACGCCCAGTGTGAGCTCACTCCCAACGAACGGGTTCCCGAATTAATCAGTATGACGGCGGTTGCAAACCCAAAAAAAAAAAAAAGACATTTGGTTTTGCAAAAAAAAAAAAAACGTGAGACGAAGGTCGGGGCAATTCAAGCAAAGTCAGGGGAGGTACAAAAGACCAAGTCAGTTGTCGCTTGGGTGGGCTTCGGAAGGACCACCTTCACCCGGTTATGGAGCGACGGAGTCTTCTTTTTGGGGGGAGTGGATTCGATTTTGGGACTGACGCACACCATGGTCACCGAGCAAGGCGTTCAAACAGCCGGGAATGACTCTTCTTTGTGGGTTTTTGAATTGATCGTTGATGATACGTTTGCTAGGAGTACGAGCTCCTTTTATTTTATTTTTCAGGGATACCCCCGAGCTAGGAGAATAGGAATTTTGGTGTTGAGGAATTCATGCATGAGTTCAACACGGCTCTTTTGACGCTTGGAAATTCCGGCCGTATGTTTGTAAGCATGCTGTGAAGTGATACCTGTTGAAGGAACGGGGACTATGGACACGTTCGCGGGGAAAGGTTCGGTGTCAGCGATGGCACGGGTGTCCTGGCATGTTGCACCAGTGTTTCCTCGACATTGCTCCAAATATATCTCCCCGTAAGCATCAGTGTATAGGTAACATCCTCTCCCCTTCATCATGTTTTGTGAAAGAACGCTGTTTAGCGAATGTCATCCTCTACATTTCCAAAGAGAATCGTAGTATCAATGGCACGGCGCCATGCTTTCCCCATATTGTCCCATTTGAGTGGAAGCCATGTGAGACAGAAGAGGGAGAGAATAAATTCCAATCTACGAGGAGAGGACAATCTAAACGTGCAACTTTCATGAAGTATGTTAACTACAGAACCATTGCGTGTTATATCAGAGTTGGATGTAGAACCCGGACAAGGTTCCAGTAGTCACAATTCCAAGATGTCGGGAAATGCAGTATATTTTCTCGTGATTGGATATGAGGAGCACTTTGCGCGTGAGTAATAACATCGAGGAAGACGGATACCAGTCTTCCCCGTCCTTGTGGATGATCAATATGACACCCGCTTGATGCTACAGGGTTTAGCTACCCGGCCTACTGCTCGTATAACTTTTACTCTCCCTTATAGGCCCGTTCCGTTTGGCATGCAGGGCAAGTCGGAACGGACTCTCTCCCACCCTCGATCGGTCTGTTGCCAAATTTGGCGCCAGGGAAGGAAATGGCAGGGACCTGCGTGTCATTGGCGGCCATGGCCAAGTTGACCGAGTCGCAGACTGATATGTTCTCTAGACAAACGGTGATTTTGAAAGAGCTTGCTGCGATGAGCATCTTGGCCCCAGGGCATCGAGCTGGCTGGGCGGAGGCATGTCTTTACCTGTCCGTGGCGTTTTCTCTCTTTTTTTTTTTGCCTTCGTTTTCTCCTCAATTCGCAGGCAAAACTGTCATTTACAAATAGCATGCTACTGCCTCCATCTTACTTCTTGACGTGACGTTCAAAGGAGCCATACTCGTGTGCGGTAAGGTATGTACTGATGGATAGGTGAGGTGACAGCGTAAGCCAAACGGACCCTGGCGATATGGTCGATCCACTTTTATCGGTAGGCGGCTCCGGGTCGGGCTGAATGAACCCGGAGCCCCCGATTGGGGAGGGGGGGGGGGGGGGGGGGGGGGAGGGATGGCGGCGCCCCGTGGATGGGACGCGGGCTGGTGGGGGGCGGGGGGGGGGGAGGGAGCGTGCGGGGCGGGTGGGGGGGGGGGGGGGGGGGGGAGCATCCGTCACCAAGACCGGGGCTGTGGAACCCTGAGCCAGAGCCTCCTCCTCGCTCCTGTAGTGGACATGGGGGAGCTCGTTTTTGCCCAGGTGATGCGCGCGTCCTCGGGGTGAGTTAAAAATGCTGTGAAGAATGCAAGCCTCAATTTGATCACGGAACTTGGGCAAGGCTGCAAGCTGGCTTATTAAGTAAAGACCATTTGGGTGAGTTAAAAACGCAGTGAAGGAAGTTGTAGAACAAGGAAAATCCTGACTCTCAGCCCTACATGCATGTAGGTCAATGGGACAAGGGATGGTGGGTAGCCAGTGTAGAGATTCCTCTCCAGTTAGACCATGGTTGTAATCAAGGCTTTGTCTCAGGTACATGTAGAAGAGGATTTGACTATCAACTTGGTCTGTTGCCATACCAACCCAAACTTGGAGATTTATTCCTTCGTCGCCAGATCTTGACGCCCGAAGAGGGCCTTACAAAAAAAAAAAAAAAAAAAAAAAAAGAAAGAAAAATAGAGAAATGTTGAGTGAGAGATTACGAAAAAAGAAGGAAAAAAAAACAACCACACGACCCCCCCCCCGACCGTGAGGAACAAAAAGGAAATTGAAAAAAAAAAAAAAAAAAAAAAAGAAAAAAGAAAAAGAAGAAGAAAAAAAAAAAAAAGAATATGAAGAAGAAGAAGATAAGAAGTAGAATCAGAGCAGCAATGTCGCGCCGAGCCCAGACCATCAGCGGTCACTCATCGAGCAGCAAGCCACAATCAGCACGCTCAGCCTTTGGCGTCATGTTCGTCGAACCAGCTGTTAGTGCTTCCCCGGTG